AAAAAATAATAATAATAATTAAAAAAAAAAAAATATATATATATATATATATATATATATATATATATATATATATATATATATATATATATATATATACCTAAAAAGGACTTTAAGACCAAACAGCTAATCAGTTTTGGGTAATGCAAACTATTATTTTTCTTACAACATCCAGCTGTGCAAGAAAACATACTAAAGGTTGTGAGTGAAGTCATCTTTCACTACTGTATTTTACAAGTAACTTTTATTCTTAATCTTGGACCTTATTCGTGAAACAACCAATGAAAATGAAAATGACCAATAAAAGGTGTGAAACACCAAACGCTCTACTTCTAATTTTGTAGAAAATGAATTTTCCTCTAGCTTTCCTTACATATTTATCCATATTGAAAAAAAATGCCCAAACAGTAACTCTCATCAATATTATTGCTCAGATCTTTCTGCATTTTCATTTTCAGATTATCACAAATGGCTGCATAATTTGCACTGCATGTAAGCATAGAATCAGTCTGAGCTTTACATGGTGACTGTACACAGTCTACAGATACACTTCACATTTTATTTGTTTTGAAACAATGTCCAGTTTCATTCATGAGATGAAAACTGTTTTCATGCTGCAGTTGCTCATCAGTAAGCATATATGTGCATGTCAATTAACAACAGACAGTTCCAAAAGTGTGCTGAAAACACTCGATTGCTTTTGACTAAATTAAAGAAAAGGTTTACCCAAGATTGAACATTTTTTTCTCACTGTTTAATTTACTCACTTATTTACTCACCCTTAAGTAATTCCAAACTTTTATTTTTCTGTTTAGCCCCAGGAAAGATGTTTTGAAGAAAACTGAAATCCATTGTTGTTTATAAGAAAAACAATAGTCGATAGTTACAGGTTCCCACATTTCGTCCAACTATCATCTTTTGTATTCAATAGTGTAAATAAATTATTTTACATTTTTGGGTGAACTATCTATTTATCTTTGCACATGATAATAATAAAAAAAACAATATATGCGCCACACACAAAACATTTTAAATGCTTACATCTCTTTTAAAAGCACAAATAAACAAGTAAAAAAGGGCAATCATGAATCATGTAATCATGAATTTAATGCTAAGCATGTTTTAAAGTTGTTTTTTTCTTCAAACATGTGAAACAGTTTTTGGACATTTCAAATAAAACACATGTGATCACATGGGTTTTGCATGAAAACCTTCCAAAGGCATGTTTCCCATGTGTGATTATAACATGCAGTTGGCCATATGCAGCTCAATGTTTCTTTTACATGTTTTTGCAGAATATGAGCTAAAATACTATTCATTTATTTTCTTTTCGGCTTAGTCTCTTTCTTAATCTGGGGTCGCCACAGCGAAATGAACCGCCAACTTATCCAGCATATGTTTTATGCAGCGGATGCCCTTCCAGCTGTAACCTATCACTGGGAAACATCCATATACACTTATTCATATACATACACTATGGACAATTTAGCTTACCCAATTCACCTGTAGCGCATATTTTTATACTTTAAACCATTTGTGTGTGTGTGTGTGTGTGTGTGTGTGTGTGTGTGTGTGTGTGTGTGTGTGTGTGTGTGTGTGTGTGTGTGTTTTTGACAGAAACGCTTTTTTTTATGCATCTCAAAGCTTTCTAGCACCGGAGTTTTGAAATATAATATAGAACCTTCCTCTAGTCTGGTTCTGCATCCAGTGCTGCTGAAACTCTCACAGGAAAACAATTCTCCATGTTCGGTGCAATAACTTAATCTTCTTCTGAATTTTGTCTAGTAACTGAGGGTTTAATTTCTTGAGATAATTTCTTCCATTTTTTTTAGAGGGAGAGAGAAGAAGAAGAGAATGCAGCTGCTGCAGACTGTGGAGGCTATTGAGGGACTCGGTGATTGACAGAGACAGGCAGAACCGACAGCTGAAGCTAAGAATGGAGAAAGCAGCGGTGTGAGATGAAGATACAGCACAAAGGTTAGAGCTAAATATGGCTGAATTGAAAAGCACCCCAGTAACTGTTCATAGCATTTACTGGCATTTATACAGCAGTGTTCACTGACATTTTAAGAGCACTGCTCTCATTCACTAAAAACAGCACTAAAATGTGTAATTAAGATATCAATTGAATTTATTTTTCATTTCATCATTGCAATTATGTCAAGTTAAACAATGATCCTTTTTTACCATGTAGTTATATGAGAATAGTACTTATTTTGGATACTAGTGTCTTTTTAGTACTTTATTAGTTACTAGTGCTTATTCTTTTACTATTTATAGATACTTTATCATTCATGAGTGCTTATTATTAGACAATAGTACCTATTAAATTGGGTAACTATTCATTTGATACTAGTAGACTACTTATTATGCTGATTTTATTTATTATAAGCTATTTTTATACTACTTATTTGTTGCACAATAAAAAACTTAGTCATGAAAATATGTTTTTGTTAATTAAATTAAACACTTAACTAAGTCAACCATGTTTCTAACTAACTTTTTTAATTATACAAGCTGTTTAAGGTCAGTTAATGTCATTTAAGTTACAATGACTAAGGTTAATTTGATTCAACTTAAAAAAAATGTAAGGTACAAAGTATGTATTAACTACTTATTAGAGCTTATTATTTAGCTACAAGTACTGTTGTTGCTAGAAATAAATATATTTTAGCTATGGCTCAAATGTTATGTTCACCCAAAATGAAAATTTTGTCATTTACTTCCCTTTTCTTGTTTCAAACGTTTGTGCATGTCTGTTAAACACAAAATAGTATATTTTGAAGAAAACTGGACACCATTGACTTCTGTATTTGTTTTTACTACTATGGAATTCAGTGCGGTTACAGGTACATTTGAATTTTTATGCGTTTATTGCAGTTATGACTAGTAAACATTATCAAATATTCGTATTTATATAGTACATACTAGCAAACTGTATATGTATTAACAGCTATTAAAAGCTCTTATTTGTAGATAGTAATACTTATTCAGCAAATACCATAACACATTTATTAAATACTTGTTCTGTTGCTAGTAATTGTTTTGGTAAATTCTACTTTTACTTTTTTAAATTTCAGTTTTTGTTGCTAAGATTTGTTTCCAGTAATAATCACAAAGGATATTATTGACATTTACACTAACCATCCACTTTATTAGGTACACCAGTCCAACTGCTCGTTAACAAATTTCTGATCAGCCAATCACATGGCAGAATCTCAAAGCATTTAAGCATGTAGACATGGTCAAGACGATCTGCTGAAGTTCAAGTGCATGGGTTTTAGTGCCATAAGGGCTGGTCTGAGTGTTTCAGAAACTGCTGATTTACTGGGATTTTCACGCACAACCATCCTTAGGGTTTGCAGAGAATGGTGCGAAAAAGAGAAAATATTCAGTGAGCGGCAGTTCTGTGGGGGCAAATGCCTTGTTGACGACAGAGGTCAAAGGAGAATGGCCAGACTGGTTCCAGCTGATATAGAGGCAACAGTAACTCAAATAACCATTCGTTACAACAGAGGTATGCAGAAGAGCATTTCTGAACACACAACATGTCCAACCTTGAGGCGGATGGGCTACAGCAGCAAAAGACCACATCGTGGGCCACTCCTTTCAGCTAAGAACAGGAAACTGAAGCCACAATTTGCACAGGCTCACAATATTGGACAATAGAAGATTGGAAAAAATTTGTCTAGTCTGATTTCTGCTGCGACATTCAGATGGTATGGTCAGAATTTGGCATCAACAACATAAAAAATAGATCCATCCAGCGTTGTATCAATGGTTCAGGCTGGTGGTGGTGGTGTAATAGTGTGAGGGATATTTTCTTGGCACACTTTAGGCCCATTAGTACCAATTGAGCATCGTATTAACACCACGGCCTATCTGAGTGTTGTTGTTGACCATGTCCATCCCTTTATGACCACAGTATTCCCATCTTCTAATGGCTACTTCCAGCAAGATAACACACCATGTCATAAAGCGCGAATCATGTCAGACAGGTTTCTTGAACATGACAATGAGTTCACTGTAGTCAAATGGCCTCCACAGTCACCAGAGCTCAATCCAATAGAGCATCTTTGAGATGTGGTGGAAAGGAAGATTCATATCATGAATGTGCAGCCAATAAATCTGCTGCGTAATGCTATGATGTCAATATGGACCAAAATCTTTGAAAAATAGTTCCAGTACCTTGTTGAATTTACACCATGAAGTCAGTTCTGAAGGCAAAAATGGGTCCAACCCGGCACTAGTAAGGTGTACCTAATAAAGTGGCTGGTGAGTGTATATAAATAGTACCTAATTAATTCATTTCTATTATCTTTTATATAGTAAGTAAAATTATTTAATAGGTTCTAGTAATTAAAAAATACTATGCTACCAGTAATGGGTACTGATTGCGTAATATTTTTAATTACTAGAACCTTTAAGTATTAATCCCAGTTAGAGTACATTTTAATCAAAATAAACATCACTAGTCATTATGAAATAGCACTAGTACCAAGATAATATAGTATCTATTTAATAGCTTCAATATCTAATTAATGAGTAGTATCTAAAAGTAGTGGTATCTTCTGAATAAGTTCTACAATCCAACACATAAGTAAATTAAAGAGATCATATTAGAAAGTACATGTATCCAATATTAATAACAGATATATAAATAATGAACAAGTATTAGTATCTTTTAAAAGGCTAATTCCCAAAGGGTTATCACTAACAGCTAATGAATAAGTAGTTGTACTTACTAATACAAATGCATACACATATTGACATATATATATATATTATTATTATTATTATTATTATTATTATTATTAGCATGATAATATATACTAGTGTTCTATACTGATTAAATGTTGAAATAGCTTGCCATAGTAAGAGAAGTTTCTTACAGAGCAGTAATTGCAACATGACACCTGCAAACACAAGCACACAGAAGGCGACAACATTTCTTTTTCTGTTGTGAGGGGGTGGAGAGTGGGCCCTGTGAAAGCTGCCAGAGACCCTCTGTAAGGACAGTTGTGCGGCTGGAGAAATGAAAGTGACCCGCACATTCAAAGAGCATGGAAATCAGGAATGAACAGGACTCTCAAGGATTTGGAATCAGTGAGTAAACAGAAGTTATTGGTGACGAGCATGTGAAGGCCGAGCGCTCCCAGATCACTGGAAAGACGGATCAGAGGAGACACAGGCCATGAAAATCTCCTGGAGGTTGAAGGACATAGAGTGCAAGAAGAGGAAAGAGTTTTCACAACTGGATTGAATGCAAAAAAAAATTGTGACTGTAACTATAAGCATATCTGCAACCGATTTCAGTGCCAACTGGAGCAAACGTTTGCACTGATCTACTTTGATGATTACTGTACATGCTTACTCTTTGAGCACATGTAAATCTATTAATTGCATATTTATTTAGTATTCACTGCAGGGGAATTTGTACTATTACAACCCATATTATCTGTAATTGACCTCAAACAATACAAATGTTTCTAAACTCGATCCTTGTGGTCATTACTGACCTGGCAGCTGGACTTCTGGGCAACACATCATTTCGACGTCATTTCCACTTGCTGCTGTCGGCCTTGCTTTTGTTTGGGCCTCTCCTGAGTCTGTGGGTTTCCCATTATAGTGTCTTCGCCAAGAGGACTCACTTTCTGTACAGGTAAGCAGCACAAACCTGTTCAAATAAATATGTTATTAAATTCAGTTTAACTAAGCAACACCACACCGGCAAGATTTCTGTTGTCTGTACTATAGTGTCGCTGCTTGTTTACAACAAATGTTAGCACTGAATGACTTGCGTTTTAGACACATTATTTGCCATTTGTATTCAAAATGAGGTCAAACCAGAATGAAACCATCACATCTCTATGCAACACAGTAGTATTGCTGAATAAAACTGGGTTTGCTGAATGATTGATTCAATGACTTCTCCATAAAACTCCAAATTTTCCTATAAAGTACATTTAAAAATTACATTTACTATTTGTCCAAACTACTTATTAAAATTGAGCAGAAACAACCCAAATCTTGAGGTTTTTTCAGGACAACGCAGTTGTTTTAAGTTCAATCCACTTATATTTGTAAAAATGAATAAGTTAAATTAATTCCTTCATGTTTCCTCAACACAAATTGATTGTGTGGAACCCAGCATTTTACAGTGTGTGAAAAACAGTATGTGAGCAGAGGAGTATGTCTGAATTCATAAGTATTTGAAAAAAGTGGGCAAAATGTACACCAATGACCTACTACTACAAGTGAGATTCTGAAGAGCGCATCCACTGGACATCTAACTATTGCATGAGGCCGTAAGAGAGAATGTAGGAATGGAAGTGAAGTAAAGCAACTTGTTAATCAAGTTATGTTATATTTTATATATTTATGCAGTGGATAAATTAGTGAATTTAATTTTATAAGGTCCCCAGCAAATAAAAATCCCATGCAAAAAGGTTTATTCTGAGATCAAAGATGTGAGTACACTACCTTTCAAAAGTCTTGTCGCCAATCCCAGTTAAGAGCAACAATTATTAACTTGACTTGTAGTTGATCATTTGGAAGTGGCAGAAGGTAGATTTTTCTGATGAATCATCTGTTGAACTGCATCCCAATCATCACAAAAACTGCAGAAGACGTACTGGAACCTGCATGGACAAAAGATTCTCACAGAAATCAGTCAAGTTTGGTGAAGGAAAAATCATGGTTTTACATTCAGTATGGAGGCATGTGAGAGTGAATGGCAACATCAACAGCCTGAGGTATCAGGTATTTTTGCTGCCCATTACATTACAAACCACAGGAGGAGACAAATTCTGCAGCAGGATAGCGCTTCTTATCATACTTCAGCCTCAAAGTTCCTGAAAGCAAAGAAGGTCAAGGTGCTCAAGGATTGGCCAGCTCAGTCACCAGACATGAACATTATTGAGCATGTCTGGGGTAAGATGAAGGAGGCATTGAAGATGAATGCAAAGAATCTTGATGAACTCTGGGAGTCCTGCAAAAACACTTTCTTTGCCACTCCAGATGACTTTATTAATGAGTTATTTGAGTCATTGCAGAGATGTACGACTGCAGTCCTCCAAGCTCATGGGAGTCATACACAATATTCATTATTTTCCACTGCACCATGACTTTATATTCTATACTGTACAGTATTTCTGTTAATTGACAAGACTTTTGTCTAAGCAAAGTCAGACCTTACTGTACTAATTAATTAATTAAAAATCAAGCCATGATCATATTTTACTTAAGTAAAATAAGCATAATCTAACGGCCTTTGCCTTCAGATAAGCCACTTCTGATACCAAATGATCAACTAAAAGTTATTATTTGTTGTTCCTAAAACTTGGATAGATGACAAGACTTTTGTCAGGTAGTGTAAAATGTGACATAAATTGTTTTTAAAAATTACAAGATTAATTGAAGGCAGTATTTATTATAACAATGTGACCAATCAGTCTCAGTTGCCTCACTTCACTGCTAAATGAAATTGTCACCCAATCCCAAATGGCACTCTTCACCTTTGTGGTCTTCCTCTGCACTTTCATAAAATAATCTGCTTAAACCTTAATTTGTTCATCCTTAGCAGAAGTGTGCATAGCATCAAAACGGCCGTTCCAAAAATTCAAATATACTCACCCAAACTTCTATGAGTTTTCTTTTACTTTCTGATGAACCAGAAGACATTTGGAAGACTATATAAAAATTTTAGTCATCGACTTTTTAGTAAAAATTGTTAGGAAGTCAATAGCTACCTATTTCCAACATTCTTCAAATGACCTTCTTTTGTATTTTAAAACAAGACTTAACATAGGCCTACGTCTATCTGTGGCAGCCATTTCAAGACCACAAGTGAACATGAAGTGTGCTATTTAGGATTGGGCCAGTAAAGTGTTCACAGGATGTGTACTTTATGCATTAAGGTGCCTACGCAGCCTACAAATAATAGCTTGCAAATGGAATATAAGATATGGACAGAGATTTCAATATTGAAACAATAATATGTTAATCCCTCTTGGTTTCTAGGGTTTTCCTGCGCTCAGGCTGGGGCTGGACCTGCATCTTTGTTGGCTCTTTTGTCTTCGTTCTCTCGTTCTCAGTTCGCCGTTCGCTCACTCTTTCCCTGCGACACCTGTCTCGGTTAGCAGTGGCCGGTGGACTGTGGTTGGGCTTCCGCAAGCTGCTGTGCTTGCTGGAAAATGCCACAGGGAGCTGCTACGAGCCCCTCAGTGCCGCTCTTGAAATGACTTCTGGGACCAATGGAGAAGGCCACCCTTTACTGCTCTTACGGGAAGCAGAAACAAAGGAGACATGCGTCCGCTCTGGCATGTTGTGGCGAGGCTACGAAGTATCTGAAGATGCCCTCCTGCTGTGTTTGTGCTGCCTGCTTCTGGCTGAGGAGACGGCAGTGTTTGGGCCCTACCTGAACCTGGGTGGACCCTCAGAAGCCCCGCTGCGCATCCTCTTCCTGTTCTGCGTCCTGCTGTTGAGTCTCTGGGTGTTCCTGCTGCTCTGCTTGCTGGCTTATTTCCCAGAATTTCCTACTCAGCTTTTAGGAGGTGCTTTGGGTTGTTTGAGCTGGAGAGCCCTGTATCAGGGCTGGTATCGACTTGGACCTAGCTGGTACTGTCCTGGAAGACCAGGGGTGGGACTTTTGTCCACCCAGAGCAAACAGGATGAGTTATTAGAAACACAAACTAATGCTAAAGAGATCGACTGAAGTATGTTTGAAATCTTAACTGAACTCAAATGAATGTTGTGTAAGGCTGCAGTACAGCAGAACATTTAGCCAAATCTCTTGTCAATATCCAACGAAGGTATATTTGATCAATTACATATGAAAAATTGCTGCTCTTGTGTTTCATTCTCAATTGCATGCTGACTAAATTCTGACATTCACCAATATGAAATTGTAGAAGCACAAAAAGTGAATCTAGACCAGGGGTTCCCAAACTTTTCAATTCGTGACCCGCAAAATAACAATGCCAGTGATATCGCAACATCCAATATCCTCTGATGTGGTTATAAATATATGAACCTTGCACATGGGCCTATTGAAAACATATCAATAGGCCCAAGACAATTCGTCATTTAAATTTAAAAAGCGCCACTCGGAGACCCTCCTACATGTTTAGTTGTGGCCTGAATTTATTTTTGTGCAATATATTTATAAACTAATTTCGAGAGTATCAATTGCTTATGATTGATCGTGGCTGGTCTTGCATCATCTTCACAGATGAATAGTAACTTACCATAAATAACCAGTTTTTTCACTACAGTCATCTTCGAATCCCGCCTTCCACCCCTACTCATTTCCCACTGTTGTCTCACAGCAAAAACGCCACTGGTTCGAGCCCCTACTAATGCCAGTCTGCATTTCTGTGCAGTTTGCATGATCTCTCCGGGTTCCTTCCACAGTCCAAAGACATACAGTATAAGTAAATTGACTAATCCAAAGTGGCATCATAAGTCAAGCTCTTAACCAGTTATATCTCTCAGCTATTCCTATTATGTTCACAAGCTGGGGATTCCTCGAGATCTACAGGCGCTCAAACTACTATCTCGCTCTTCAAACAGGAGGGAGCTCAGGGCTCTCTCCAGGGACAGCATGCCAAACACCAGGGTTCAATGCTAAGGATTTTTTTTCTACTGGTCTGATCAGGCCAGTGGTTCAGTTTTTTAATTGCCCTGCCTAAATTTTCACTGGCCCCACCAAAAAAAGGAGAAAATAAAGCAAAAGTTAATAGCTATTTCTCAGCCAAATATTTTAAATGTTTTGTAAAAATACTGTCTGTGAATCTAGAATTTCAATACTTAAAAGAAAATGTTAATAAATGTATAATGAGCAAAATTCAAAGTGTTATGCGAACAAAAGCAGTATAGAAAATGTGGAGGTATTTTATTGCAGTTTGAAATTCTTTAACAAAAGGTGGCTGACTTGTCAAACTTTGTTACTTTGTTGACTTAATTTTTTATTGTGTTGATTGCATGTGAATGTCTGCTTCCAAGACTTTAGAAACAAACTTTTTCTTTTAGCCTTATAATTTGATGTTGCCACCATGTTGCTGTTTCTTCGATGTATTGGTTGTTACCAGGTTATAGAAAAAACTGCATGCTTAAAACATCAAACCAGGTAAGAGTAACCGAAAAGCAATATAATGTTAACAACGTCACAAAGGTAGCATTTAAAGACTTAAAAAGTCCCAATCGGACCAGTAATGATCCTGTCTACTGTTCCAATCGTCTGTCATGCTGGCCCGGGCCACCAGGTAATTCTTATTGTTGAGCCCATAAAGGTGTCAGACAGTTTAACCTGGTACCATAAAATCTATCTGACGCTATTGCCGTGTCTTTAATATATCGTAATCACCCCAGGAGTAAAAAATAATAATTAAAAAAATAATCATAATAAAATCGAAGGGCTGATGGCTTTTTTATTTGCTTTATGTAACTATTAACTTTTTCTGTAGGTTATTTCTAGTTTAATAAAATGAATTTGATTTTTGGAAATTACCAAGCGACCCCCACTTTGGGAACCACTGATGTAGAAGATCATGATCACACAATGATAGATAATAAACTCATAATTCAACAAAACAGAAAATCATCAATTACTCGTGTTGTGCCTAACCTTGATGACTATTATTTCCAATGGTGTTCAAATCAAAATATCTACAGAAAAAAAAACATTTGGAACAATATGAGAAATCAATTTATCCCTGTAGGGCAAAGCATGTCTTTAATGGCATTAGAATTCTTTAGCAAGAGATAAAGTCATAATTCCAAACAAGGAGACAATTGAGACATCAAAGTGATTTATTAAGTTCATCCTTGACAACCTCAGTATGTTATTACAAAAATACTCACTTTTTTGGAAAAGCACAGCCTTAAATAAGAAACGTGTAATGATTTATGCCCCAAAGTACTGAGTTATGCCCCAATTTAAGAGCAGAGAAATCTTGGTCAATGCTGTATTATTATTTTTCTTGCAAAAATCCCCATGTCCTAAATCTGCCATAAAAATGACCATGTCTTGAACATAAAGGACAAAAAGGGTGTAGGGTATATATAAAGGCTTATTTTGACGACACAACATTTGTACCCACAATGCATGCTTCAAAATTTGAATGGAAAAAGTTTAATAAGGCAAGAATAGGAATAGCTCCTAGTTAAAAATGACAACAGGACTGAATCAAATTGTTTCCATCTGTCTTCAAAGAAATAAAAAAAGAAAAGAAAATGAACAGTTCAACCGTAACTATCAACATTCTGAAAAAAAAATGATAATAATATTGGACACACACACAAAGAAAAGCATCTTGCCTGCTGAGATGAAGCTCCAAATAAAAGGCTGAAAGGGAGAGGAAATTATCTCTGAAACTTGCTCAGAGCATTATAAAAAAGGCAAGTTCCTTCACATATAATAATCCTGGACGGTGGTTGGTTCAGATAGTCATGAGCCGTTCATCATAGAAATGTCAGATGTGATGGTGTCCATTGGCAGCCAGTGACACTCCATGAGCGAATCATAGAGCTCCTCACTTCGCTCCATGTACTGCCTATTTAACTCTTCCACATCCACCTGTGGGTTTGGGTCTGCAGGGGAAAAAGATGGTGAGTAATTTACTTGTGTATGGGCTCTTTATAAACATTAACAAATATGATAAATTTATAAAAGAAAGTCAATTTTACAAAAATATTACCTTCAGAAGGGTCCTCCTCAACTTCCTCTGTGCCATCATGTGCCTGATAAAGCAATAAAAAACGGTTAGTTCCAGAACAGTAATAATTTGGAGGTTAATATGAAAACATTTTAACGGTACCATAAAATACCTCTGTGGATCCCTGCATGTCAGGGGGCATGGGAGGCATTCCCATGGGTGGAGGTGGTCCCATCATTGGAGGGGGGGCCGCATAAGGGTTATATCCGTAGTTGTAACCGCTGTACTGATCATAGCCCCACTGTGGGTAGTAACTGTTGTAGGGCTGCTGATAGTACTGCTGCTGATAGTTGGTGTTGTAGGTGTTATTCTGGTTGTGGTAAGTGCTTGCTTTGTTGCTGAATTAAGAAAAAATATATATAGTGAGATTTTAAGTGGATCTGACAGGTTTAAATTTAAATGAGGTGCAGTAGGTGATCTGCCAAAATTCTATAAAATTGCATATCTTTAAAACACAGTCCATCCACTGCAATCCAAAGCCACGCCTCCTGATATCACGAACACGCACATTAAAGATGACAGTAGACCCACTACGAGATCATGTCATTCACCAGTTAGAAAACCTTACACTACTTTATAATACAACAATTCTGAACTAAAACTATTATATTTAGCACGTTTTCAGTTATGTAGCAAGAAATATTTGTCAATGTGGAATATTTCATGCATGCAAGGATCGACGGTCTCACTCTCTCACATGCTTTGTCCTAAAGTGACTACTGTATGCTTAGTGGTTGGCCGGCAGCATGCAGCATTTACAATTATTATTAAGCCATACTTGCATGCTATTTCTGAGCGAATATTCAAAGTAGCATGGTAAATAATATAGGGAGTTTGTCACAGGCTTTCATGTTCAAAAATAAACCAATGTGAATATATAACCAAATTCAGCTCAGTAAAGCAGGATAGGTGGAATAGCACTATTTAATGATGTTTTGTTGTTAAACTAAATATAAATCTACATTATCGATGCAGTAAAAGGTCCCATATGAAACTGAAAATAGCCACAATAATCTTTGGCAGGAAGATTTTAGAGGCTGAACAACACTACTGTGCATAGAAACAACACAATCTACATCAGCTTTGCGTGACTAAAATAGTTTTAAAACTTAACATTACCCGTCTAACAGAAACACTTCAGCCATGGTCACATCCTTCCTCCAGCATGCAAAAGTAACTCCAATATGGGATTCAGAATTAAAAAAAAAAACAATTTTCAGATTCTCTCTCATGCAGGTGAACACGGCAAGCGTGCACACGCAAATGGCAGATCTGCGTGAACAGGTGCGCAGAAGTACACATCTACATTTGCTGACTGACAGTTTGGGCTACTTATCAGATTTATGGGAAATGTTGGCCTGACAATTTTTTAATTGGATGTACATTTTTTAGTTTATTGCCTTATCCAGAACATAAAAATACATATAAATACATTTAGGTCTTTAACTGTAAAAATTATTATTGGAATGTGATGAGACTTTCCACCACCAAAACAAAACATGTTTCTGAAGACAATCAACTACTGCACCTTTAAGTGTTACTTCCCTTCCAAACCAAAATTACTTGTATAGCATTATTTCAACCCCATAAAAAGTTGATAATTTTTAGGACACAAATTACTGTATTTTTAGCGTAATCTGAGAAATGTTTGTTCCCTCCACTGAAAGTCTACCCAAACTTAAAATAAAATCCTAAATTTTCTTCAAATACTACTAAAGTCAAAGTTTCCAGCTTTCTTAAAAATGTAATCTGTTGTGTTCAACACAAAATAAGAAAGTCAAATAAGTATGGAACAAGTAAAGGGCTATTAAATGACAGCAATTTCAGTTTTTGGTTAATTTTGCATGTCAGTTGACAAATTTGAAGTTTTTCAGGTATGGTTCACTTGCTGATTGCTTTTTTTTTTTTTTTTTGAATGTGAAAAAAACTTAATTAAATCCGATCCTCACAAACTGACTATATCTTTTCTAAGATGCCTGATTTATTTGTAGATCTCTTTATGAAGTATCGTAAATTTCTCCAATTTTATTAAAGTATCTCGCTTTGTGTTTGAAGAGGAACAAATTGCAAAATAACTTAAGGGTTAGTAAACAAAAAAAAAGGTCAAACCTTAAACGGGTTAAACATTAAACAGAAATAAATGCATTTAATCAGATGAAATGTACCCTTTGTTGACGGCGATGCTTATCCTGATGGGTTTTCCTCCGAGACCCGAAGCATTCTGAAACTCCTCGAGGGCTTTCTTCTGTTCATTCTCGTCGCTAAACTTGACAAAGCCATAACCCCTGTACAGTGAAAAAAACTGCATCATCAACACCCGCTCTCTTACTCTCTGTGCGCCTCATCATGCAGTATAAGCATATTTCATTATGTATTCAGAAAGTAAAAAATTGATTTGATGGTAGAACTGAAACTTCTCTTTTACTTTTAACATGAAGTAGCATCACTTCAATTGTGAGTTGCTCTTGCTTACCCTATATGGGGAAAACAATAGTTTTAGCAGATTTGCAACAACGGCAAAACACATCCATGTATTGTCTGGCCCTTTTTAGGAGAGGGAGGGTAAAGAGTATCGACTGAAAATAAGACATCAAATGAAAGATAAAGGAGACCACATCTAGTTGAACTACCTCATCTGTTGTCAACATCAGTAGGTCAAACTGTCAAAGAAAGCCAAGTAAGGTTATACGGTACACATGTGATAGCTGCAGCTTTTCATACCTGGAGTTCCCATAGGGATCTGTGACAACTTTAGCTCCTTTACATGAAGGGAATTTTTTCAGAAAGAACTGATGTAGCTGGTAGTCATCCACTTCTGATGTGAGATCGCCAACAAAGACAGAGAACTCTGGGCTGAGGGAGAAAACCAACTAAATTACAAAAAGACTTCATGAAATCAAGAAGTTGGCTGTTGAATGTTATCGTGCTTACCCAGGCTCTGGCCTTTTCCCATATGTTGCATAGTTTAGCTTGAACTTCCTGGGCTGAAAACAAAAGAAATAAAACTATTGAGCAAATCAGACGATGCCTTGTCTGTAGTATGGAGTCAATTCGCTGACAAATAAAGTGTCATATTATTAGAGTAAGGAAGCTATGATTTCCACATACCTCCACCAATCAGAACTGGCTTTATCCCATTCGTCAGCTAGTTCCTAACAGAGTTTATTCACCAGCTTCAAACAAAGTCATTTTATAAACAGCCTCAACCACCTTCCTTAGGGAAAAAATTGAGCTCTGTGACTTGCCCATCACTAGTAATATATGGAGTAATAACTGAAATGTCTTAAACCAGGTGGGGGCCATGCTGGTTACTTCTTCCTATAATGATCTATATATACACATGAATGCATTGAAAAATATATATGGAAAAAATAAAGATAGATGCCAAAACTATACAATTTATTGGGAGCAAGTTTGGCATCTCACCGGATTTGATCCTGGAACCAGCTTCCCATTAAGCCTCTGCACGCAGCGGTCAACACTGGCCTCATCTGCCATCTCCACAAAACAATATCCAGCTGAGCCTCTGAAAAAGCACACAACAGAGGATTGTCTCATGTGTTTTTGTTGTTTTTACAATTGGGAAATGTTAACCTATTTTTAAGTGCTTAAAAATAGTAATACTTATAATATTTAGATAAAAATAACTTTATCATTCCTCTATTGTATTAGGAATTGTGAAGGGCAGCATAGTCTTCTGATGTGTAACACAAAAAAAAAAATTGTTGAAAACGTTGAAATCTCCATAAATTGTAATTTGGTGTTTCATGATCATTTTTTTAACCAATGAAGATGATTATTTAAAAATTAAGATGAGATAATGATTCAACTAATTCCTAGTAGATAATACTAGCATATCTACTATAGTTTGAAGAACAATCACAAAATGCTTACAAAAACTATAATGTGCACCTAATATGTACAAAATGTCAGATCGGAAGAGCATCTGGTTTGAACACAATTGCTGGCACAAAAGCAGTGCTTAGTTTGGCTAAAAAGAACAACAAAAGAAACCAACTGCACTTTAATGAGTCAATATTTTTCTGGAAAATATTTTTGAATATAAAAAAATTATCACTTTCATATAGCAACAGCAATGGATTTGTTTAAGTTTTTTTTATAAATATAATACAACGTTTATTTAACATATGTCAAATCGTTTCTAAAATTTCTACAAAAGGGCAAAAAATCAGCTACGAAAAATTGTCATTGTATTTTTTTTTATCTTAGCTTGTGCCCCTCTTAAAATGTTGGACAGTTGACTGTTAAATAGATCCAATTCCATTTGAGTGAAAAAAAAATTAATTAGTAAACTGACCAATATCGGTATTGGAGAAAGATTTTTTTTAAATAAAATGGTTATCAGCTAAAATATTTATAGCCGTGATAGGCATGGTTTCAATGTTTACTGCAGCTTTGCAAAGTCAAGGTTTTACAACCGCCAAAATTGTCTGTTAAACCATTCCTAAGGTATAAGAACTTTATTTTTTAAATGTTCTTTGTGACTATTTTATTTAGATTTTTTTAGGACAACAGCATCTCCAGCAAAAAAAGAAAAACCTTCACGTCAAAAGCAACTGTTGAAAAATATTTTAAATGTTTCTTAAAATAAAATACATTGTGTTCAAGGAAGGAAAAAGTTGCTGTTTTACACCCAGACATTTAAATAGAACATATTTTAGAGCAGTAATAACAATACAGTGAAACCGTGATGTTACTTTATCCAAAGTTATCATCATACCAACAGTTTTATACCAGCCCGTGCCTAATCGGTGCAGTTAACAACTTTAGATGTTTAAACTTAACAGCAGATCTTGTTCTTAGAGTTAAAAAATCTGGTTAAACTCTCTGAAGAATTTACAACTGGAGCTGACCGTTGTTCTCTATTTAGATTAGAGATCCTAACTTACCCAGTAACTCGATGTGTAATGATCTTGACACCGAACGCAGTCTCTCCCATGGTGCTGAAAGCTTGCTTAATGAAGTTCTCGTCCATGTATGGGTCTAACTGTAAAACAAATGATGATAATGTTAATCTTATATTTAAATATGGCAAAATATTGTGAATATGTAACGTGTCAATGATTTGCAGGAAGATCAAGAAAGTTCAGAGACCTGCGTCACGTGCCACAAAACTTTAAATAATAAAATTGGCTTAACCTAAAGATGTGCACCAAAGCATATTGCTAGGTTGAGTGATCTTACAATCATACGTGCTTAAAGTAAAACATGTAGTTCGTCTTATCGTTCACATTACGACACTAAAGTACTTATGCAAATACAAGAGGCCTGTCGACAACAAACATAGGGTAAAAATAACTTACTGACTAAATAGCGGGTTGTTTTCAAACATATTACAATATAATTTAAATCGACATGCATTCGTTTATGGTCGTTGTTCGTTTAGTGAGTATTTCAAACGTTCACTTTGTCGTGCTTGCGTAACATCGAGCTAAAACCACATGCTGCTAGTTTCTGCTCTACACACTCGCGTTATCGATTAAAAAGTAAAACAAAACACGCTACTTACATCGCCCATCCACAAACTTGTCATTCTGTTAAACATCTTGGCGGCTGAAAATGCTGCACCGCAGTGTTTAGTGAAATTTATCGACGGTTGTCTGCAGAATTTGCGTGGTGGTTGGTTCGTGAAGCTAAGCAAAACGTATACTTCAGAGAAACACTTCCGTTTCCGGCCACGCAATTTTTGGATCCAACCTCACCCATTATTCTGTACACCAAGCTATAACAGAGTTAATCTGTAAAAATCTATTTAAAATAATAACAGTGCATGGATACAACAGCTTTTCTTTCTATAATAAAGTTAGTACGTTTGTGATTAAATAAAACGTCGGGCTGCGCATGTGTAATTCTGGATTTGACCGAAAGGGAGCAGTGTTGTGTTTTGAAAACCGCCAGTCCACCAGTAGAGGAAGAGACCAGAGACACGTGATGACTTTGCTGTGATATTGATGGACTGAAGCTGGAGCCGAGATGAACACATTACGGACAGCTTTTTCTCGCTTAAATGGGGCACACAGTTTGTGTTGGTATGTGGCAACGCTCTATTTTGTTTACAAGAAAACATGTTTTTGATAAATAGTTTGCTAAACGGTTCGTTGATGATGGCACATGTAACCACAAGCGCTAGAGACCACCTATCATCACTAAGCGTTTGTCTTGTTTTTTCAGTATAAATACGTCAAAAATGTTATTTAGTGAAGATACATCTGATTCCATGTTGATATTATTCCATTAAATGTTGCATTATGCACTTTAAAAGCGATTTCATTGAAAATTCGAAACAGTCTCAAATCAAGTCCCATTTATTTGAGATTTAAAAAATGAATGAATTTATCTTGTTGTCTAATAAAAATTACAGTCTTTATTTAAAGATAAAGTAAAAAAAAAGAGGTAAAGGAAAATATATTAAGTTGCATTGACAACATTGATATTCTGCAGAATGCTAACGTTATAGTAATTAGTCACTTGATTTATTTATTTTTTGATGTTACGAAGTTAAACTTTTCGATCTCAGAAACAATTTTACTACTACAATTTAGACCTGCACAATATATCGTTTCTTCATCGATATTGCAATATGATCATTCGTAATTGCAGAATATGCAGTGTTGAGTCTGTATTATAGTTTATCATTTGAATGTGTTTTTGATGCCTGGAATTGTGTAATGACCTTAAAAACATTCAGACTTAATAAATTGTACCATTTGTGACATTAACTACGATTAGGTTTGCTGAATTATTTTTATTTTTTGTCATTTAGTTACTGATAAACTTGGCAAACAACAAAACACTTTATTTCAATTGTATCTTTTTCTTGATTGTATTTATAGACAGTTATGAATGAAGATACCCACAACACTTGCAAATACAAAAATGCTCTGCAAATCGCACAGACCACATAGAAAATGTGTCGATGGACGCCAAAACTTTTAAAGATTGTTTATTAGATTTTATGGAGATGCACTTCCACTGCAGATTCATTTAATCAATCTAACTTAATTTTTTTTTAAATACGGATATCAAGTCATCTGATGAAACTGTATTCATATCGCAATATATATCGCAATTTCGCAAAATAAACAAATATCACAATGTAACATTTTTTCAATATTGTGCACATTGTGTACTAGGGCTGCACATTATATCGTTTCAGCATCGATATCGCAATATGTCTGTTCGTAATTGTCACATCGCAGGATATGCAATGTCGAGTTGGGATTTTCCACAGCTAAAAACATTTTTACTAAAGTTAGCCAACATGTTCATCATTTGCATTTGTTTTTAAGTTCTGTGAGTGTTTCAAGTCAGTTTAAAACGTGGAGGCAAGAAATTTTAATGCTTTCAATGTTGACTATACAGTGATATTTTAAATTTGTTTGATGTTATTTTGCCTGCCAGACTCCCAGAAAAGATGCATTTCAATTGCATCTTTGCTGCACTATTTTTCAGTGCTAGTGATTCGATTTATTTTATTTGATGCAGATGCACTGAACTACAAAATCATACCAATCAATATAGAATAATGAATTATTTCCAGATAGAGCCCTTAATTTTATCTGGTGAAAGTATACTCAATATCATAATACATATCGCAGAAAAATACTACAGCCCTACTACAATTTATGTGCTTCTTACAGTTAGAGAACATGTAGACATCTTGACATTGTGTACAGTTTTCTTAGTTCTAGGTCTTTTTACCTTGCCTTACAAAACATATTTTTATTTTAGTAATTTATTTTAAATACAAAAAAAGTTTTTTGTTTCTTTAAGTGTAATATATTTGACATTATGTTCTCATTCACTTTCAGCAGGAATGGTGCTCCCTCATCCATATTCAGCTGCAGTCAGCTACGCTCTCTCAGTTCTGTCCTGTCGAGGTCAAGACCTGAGCAGAACAGCATCCTGCAAGGGACGCTGAACCCCAAAGTTGAGGGAGCCTTTCAGCAGCCGCTCTGGAACCATCAGCAGGTCCGCACAGTCAAACGTGGGACAGAATATCAGCCAAGCAACATCAAACGTAAGAGGACCCATGGCTGGATCAAAAGAATTAGCACTCCAGGTGGGATCGAAGTAATCCTGCGCCGAATGCTCAAAGGACGAAAATCTCTCACTCATTGAGACTCTAACTGGACATGTGCTTTGAAGTCATTCTCAGTTGAATGTCAGCTATGTAGTGGAGCTTTTGGATTTCTGTTTAAAATAGTCATCGATCTAAGAAATGAATGCCACCAAAAGGCTTTTTTTAAAGTTCAGTTTAGTGGATCTAATCTCAGTTAATAACATGTGAAGGGGTTTGATGTCGTATCAGAGCAGTTTCTGCTTGTTTCCCGAATGATCTCAGCACACATAATCAGAAATAAAATTAATAAATAAAAAACATCTGCCGTGAAGTATGGTATCAATTTATTTTAGCAGTGTAGTTTATTTTAAGAGCAAACGGATGTGCATTACTTGGCAAAATGATAACAGTACAAAAGTAATAAAAAAACAGGGCCGTGATGTAACATTGTGTATAATATGGAAGCTTGTTTCCAGCACAGATGTCAAAAGAGGTACATATACAGCAGGGAAAAAAGTATTAAACACATCATCATTTATCCCGGAATCATATTTCTAAAGGTGCCTTTGACTTGAAAATTTCCCTGGATGTTGGTAACAACCAAAGAACTCTATATATGCAAAGAAAACAAATCTAATTAGTTTACAAATGAGGCTATGTGTAATAAAATGAAGTGACTCAGGGAAAAAGTGTTGAACACCTAAAGAAAGGGAGTTGTAGAAATCTCTTGGTAGTTCTTCAGCAACCCTTTTCCCTTCGTCATTGTAAATTAATATTAGCTGCTTCAGTCCAACGTCTACATTATTAGGATGATGAAGATGAAAGCAGGGTGGACCTTTCAGCAGGACAATGATCCAAAACACAGCCAAGGAAACTCACAAATGCTTTCAGATAAAGAAAATCAAGCTGTAGAATGTCAGATTTGAATCCAATATTAAATACAAAATAAAGATCAGGCTTGATCGATGAGACTCACAAAACCATCAAGATTTTTATATTCTGTTAAAGTCTGTGAAAATAAAATCACACTTGAGCAATTAATGTGACTTTATTTTCCATATGAGAGGCATCTTTAAGCTGCCATCATCAAAAAGGTTTTTATTTAAAGTAATAAATATGTTTCAGTAGTTCAGTACTTTCCCCTTGTGTCATTTCATTGTTATTACACAACAATTAAGATTTTTTTGTTTTATGTTTTTATTGTTTGGGTTTATACCAAAATCTGGTTCAATTCCGTGTCAACAGCTCCTTTAGAAATATTATTCCCAGAAAAAAAACATGACATGTTGAATACTTATTTTCTCTGCTGTGAATGAAGGTAATTGCTTTTTTTTTCAACATTCATATTTTTTTTCCAATTTGAAGTTTATATCTTAATCATTTTCTTGCATGTGTTTTCAAAATCAATTCTTAGATGAAAAAAGCCAGACCTTTATTTTATAAACTTATAACTGAGAGACAAAAACTCAGAATTATGTTTTTAAAAAGTCAGTTTTCTCTTTTTAATCCACAATTCAGATTTTCCTCAGAATGTTGACTTTACATCTTGCAATTGTGAGGGGAAAACAACTTTGTTACATTTGCAATTCTGATAACTACTTAAGGTCGAGAGTTGCAACTACCTTATTATTAATGTATACTTTTTCATCCTCTGCTAAAAATTGTCTTCCATTATATAAGTGGCGTCTGACACACGTTTCAAATTTATTTTCACAGTAATTCCATTTTATTGCATTATGTGTTCACACTCATTATAAGATCCAAACCAGCAAGGAGAATACAGTGTTTTTAGATTGTCAAATGTACTAATTTATATAAGAAAAATAATAATGCGTAGAAAAATAGAAAATCTATCCATATTATTTTTCTATGATTATACAGTGCTCATTCAAACGTCCCTTCTTGCTTGCTCGTGCCTACACTGGTTTTATCATGCAGGTGATTTAGCATGCCGCCTTCCGTGAGTAAAGTATATGGAGATCTCAGACTAATATATTGTATTAAAATGATCTTTGACGTGCGTTTCAGCTCACTACATGGTCGCTTTATCACATTTTAAGCAAATGTTAAGCATCACAATCAGTGCTATATATTAACTGAGTTGCATCATTCACTGTTTTTTTGAAGGATTATTACCATAGTCTGATCTCTCGCCCTTGTCAGGCTCAGATGGAAGCTCTTCTGATGAAGTATTGTGGTCATTGTTAGTATGTGGTGCGTTAGTGGCCTTTGAGGCATCTTCTGGTTTGGTTTGCTGATCAGAAGCAGCACCCGTACATTGATTTTCTTTTCCGAAGTTGAAGAGTTTGCCTGGATTGAAGGACTTGCTGGGAGACTGTGATTTCTCGTGGCTCCCGTGCGTCGCTGTTGACGCAACTGCCGCAGCGGCTTCCTTTTTCAACTCTTGTGATTTGAGGAACTTGAGGAAGCCTGGGAGTTTGGCCTCGCCACTTGTAGGGGAAGTGGTGGAAGTGAATTTGCCTTGAAGTGGGATTATCTGCTTGAGTTTCATTACGTTATTGTTGCCTAAAAGGGAGCTGGGTCTTTTGAGTTTATCTCCTGTGGAGCTGAACTTGGCCCCTGGGCTCTTTTCATGGTGTTGCACTTCACCGCCACCGACATCAGATTTGTCTTGGTCACTTTGTTGTCGGGCCAATTCTTCTGCTAATTTTTGATGTTCCTCGTCTTGTTCTGTTTTCCGCCGTTTCTGCTGCTGGTGCTGCTGAGCGAGACGTTCATGTTTCTAACACACAAACAACATATTAATAAAGACAATTAACCAAATGTACCAATTAGTTCTTCCCCAGGACATCCAGGGCCTGGTTTTTCAAAAGTAATCCACTAGGATTTTAGTAAAGGGATTGAATCAAATGAAAATGGGTTTTCAAAAGAAAAAATATTACATAATTGGATTAGATTACGTAATCCAATCTTGGTTTTGATCCGGATCAAACCTTTAGTTTGGGTTTTTCAGACCTTTTTTGTAGGATTTGGATCACTTTGATCCAAAAAGCTAAATTAAACTGATCCCTTCAGAAGGGTGGATTCTGAGTGGATTTCATGGCCAAAATGTAATGAAAACTTTACAAATGTAACAAATAATACCATATTTGGATCATTCAGTATCTTACAAGATATCCTATTTATTCATAAGGTTTTAATTGTGTTTGTTCATCCGTCAGGCTACTGTGATTAGGTAGGCTTTAACGTATTCAGCCTTTCAGTATAGGCCAGCAAAGTAGAAAGACCTCATAAAATAACCCCCAAAACAGCTGTCAAAATTTATTCTGTCACTAATTTTTATATATTTATATATATATATATATATATATATATTTATATATATATATATTCATCACAATGGAAACTATTTTTGTTTATAGAATATTTATTAGTGATGCATGCGATGATTACAGAATAACCAAAAATGCAAAAAATGGCAATATCTGATTTTTGAAATCCAAAACATATCCCAATCAAAATATCCTCAATGTACAGTGTTTGTGTTATAGGTCTCAGATGAGCGGACTGCTAGAAGAAGATGGGGTGGAGTTTTTCTTGTTTTTTTTTTTTTTTTTAAATGTGTGTTTTCAATTAAAATAAAAATAAACTTATATTGACCCCAATACTTGTTCTACTTGTTGCTCTTTACATATCTATAGTTCTACATAGTAAATTCCTATCCTGTTTGAGCACAGATTATCTAGATTTGGTGATACTGAAAAGTTCCTATCCGGATCAGATTGATCCAATCCGATGTTGCTTTGAAAAACTGGCTCAAAAAGTAAGCTGGATTTCGTGATTACGGATCGCAAAAAAAAAGAATTACTAAATCCGGATCAATTTTATCCGGATAAAACTTTTTAAAAAAAATTGACCCAGGATGTAGGTCATATTTTGCATTCTTCAAAAAAAGCGACAATGTTTTAGCTGAAATTACCATTTTATGTGAGTCAGAAAATGCAAGTTAACAAGAAAAATAAGTTATTAGGGTAAAAAAAAAAAGGCGGGCAAAACAAACTTTTGCCAATGACTACCACACTGCCAATGACTATATATTAGGTATTATGAAGCAAAACTCCAAGAAACTGAGCATTATTTACAACATCATCTTTGATGTGTGTACACAAACATATCAGTTCGGTTATTGGCTGCAGTTTTTATCAACTCCACTTGCTGTCTAAAGTCAAACCTTTCCTAAATCCCACCCCACTAGAGATGGTTGTCCACAATATTATTACATCACGGTTAGACTACTGCAATGCTCTTTACTGTGGCATTACAAAATCATAAATTTCTCACCTTCAGTTGGTCAAAAATGCTGCTGCTAGAATAATTTGTAATAGTAGAAAACATGACAATATTACCCCTCTTCTAAGGGGCCTCCATTGGCTGCCCATTTAATTGAGAATTGATTTGAAAGTGATTTTACTGGTATATAAATCCCTTCATAATCTAGCCCCAACCTGTTTCTCATAGCTGCTGCATTTTTACACTCCTGTAAGTTTAGTTCCTCTGTCCAGACTGAAACGTAGAAGGGACAAAGCTTTCTCTGTGGCTGGTCCTTGATTATCGAACACTTTCAAAATGGCTCCATCACTAATTTGAAATCACTCCTAAAAGTGTGCCTATTTGGTTTTTTTAATATTATTTTAATAGTCCTTTCTACTGCTTCATTTTTACATTAATTTAGTAATTTCTCTTGGCTTATTTTATGTTTTATATTATTTTAATTTTACTTTGACTTATGTACAGCACTTTGGTCAGTCTTGTGACCAATGAACCTGAATTACAACATCATTACCTATAACCCACAGTATTGGCAGATGGTCCTGAATGCAAATATGTTAACTACATTACTACATAAAGATATTGTAATTTGGGGCACATAAATTTATCTCATACTGACCAAAGTGTTGTACAGAATACAGTAAGATATAAAATAAAACTATCTGAATTAAAAACTCATTTAATTAATTTAAATAATTATTGATAAACAAATTAATGATTAGGAAAAACTACGGAGAAACGTGTCAAATCTTCACTGTCAGGTGGAAACTGATTCCATAAGAACTTCAGTTGTGACATTAGAATATAAAAGAGCTTTATTAGCAGATCTGAGGGACTAGAGATCAGAATCCAAAAGGAAAAGATCAGAAATGTAAGATGTGGCTCGTCTTCATATATCAAAGATTTCTATTGAATTATGTTATTAATAGGGTATATACACACAAATCTTCAGCCAGCTAGCACTTCCGGTGAACTGTCTTTCCATTATAACCACATTTAAGGTCTGATTTCTTTAAGGATCAGTGATCTTCACTGCCTGATAGATATATGAAGTGGGTTTCAGACCAGACAAAAAACATTGCAAAAAATTCAGTTTTTCTTCACCATGTCTTTAAGATATAGAAGTTTATTTTACTCCAGTATTTTCAATGGAGTTTCTACGTTAGCCTGCTGGTACTGACGATGCTAGGTTGTAACACGGTCTTTCATCTCGTTTTATATTTGAGCAGTTAAATGAATGCTTAAGTCTATTTAACTCAATGTATTGTAATTACATTACAACATCGATGCTGTAAAAGAAACCTTATGAAATTGAAAATAGTCACATTAAGCTTTCACTGAAAGTTTATCACTGCCTAAAACACTAGCTGTGCATATGCCCCATTGTTATTGTTGTGTAATATGCTTTTATCTATTTTAATCTTCCCATGAAATCGCTGCACGTTGCTGATATGGAAATAAAGAAACAAACAAACAAAAACCATCATATAATGCATGATTGACATAAGCACGGATACTGTTTGCACAGATTTTTTTATTTGTAGCTCTATCCAGTATCAAAAAGATAATAAATTATCCTCTTCTGTAGTAAAGAAATAGCATCAGATTTTGTTATCTTACCATAAATAGACTCAGTTAAGACCAATCCTGTAAGACAGGGGTGTCAAACTCAGTTCCAAAAGCGCCGCAGCCCTGCACAGTTTAGTTCCAACCCTGCTCCAACACACTTACCTGTAGGTTTCAAACAAGCCTGAAGGACTCAATTAGTTTGATCAGGTGTGTTTAGTTAGGGTTGGAACTAAACTGTGCAGAGCTGCGGCCCTTTTGGAACTGAGTTTGACACCTGTGCTGTAAGCAATGGCCAGTTTTTTGTACAGACTCAGTGTATTGTCAGGAGGAGCAATAGGTATGATCTTGTTTTGCCTGCATGTTTTTTTTTTTCAGTTAGCCATCGTCTTGTATTTTATAAATCATAAAGCTCATTTTTTGTTCTGAGAATACTGATGGTTCACCAAAAAAAAAAAGTTACTCCATAAGATTCTAAACCATTATAAGAACAACAAATATTAGAAAAGCCTATGGTTACTGGTTACCAAAATTCTTACAATGTTTTGTGTTCATTAGAAGAAAGAAACTCAAACAGGTTTGAAAGTGTGAGTGAATGATAATAAAATTAGAACCCCTTTAAAGAAACTATCCCTTTGACAGCACATTTTAGTTTTTGGGTGAACTATTCCTGTAACTCAACAAAACAAGTCATTAATATACAATATATTACTATATCTCTATTATAAAATTCACATTTAAAAATACATTTAGTATTTATTTAAAATGTATGGTAAACCATATGGTATTTAATATCAGTTATTTACAGGTTTTGAGTCATAGTTGGACAGTAATTAAAAATGTATTGCTATCAGCTTATATTGTGAATCTGCTCATAAAAATCATTTAAATATTCTTAGTATATGTGAATTGTGCGCTGGGATACCTTGAGAGCCTCTCTCCGTTGGTATTCAAGTTTAGCCATTTCATCTGCCACCCAGTTTGGAACATCAGGAATTGCAACATGAATTACGTATTTGAGCAGAATTGCAAAGTGCTGAAAACCAAATGGAAAAAAAGAGTAAGATTAAATTCAGTACTACATCTTATTTATTATACACAATTTAATCCTGCTTCATTTTTTATATGCAGCTTATATGCTCTAGCTTTATATAAAATAAACTAATACCGTTTTCAATAAGAACATGGTAAATAAATTGAAATTTGATGGGTCTTTTCTTAGTGATTTTTTACTTCCACAAAATATAAATTAGAACAACTGTTTGCACAATTGATATTAAGAAATGTTTTGTGAGAGGCATAATGACAATGATTTCTGAAGAAGCATGTGATGCTAAAGATTAGAGTAATGATACATCAAAGTGATAAACAGCTTTTTAAAATACATGAAAATTATTTTAATTTCTAATAATGTTCACAATATTAAATATGAATGTTTTGCTGTATTTTAAAGCAAAGAAATGCAGCTTTGCTTGGCAGTTTGATAAATGAATTTAATCATTCAATGAGCCTAGCATTGTGTCTATTTAATTATTTATTTATTTATTTATTGGTGTGTAACTACATGTATTTTGTAGATTCAATGTTTCACTCATGATAAAATGGCTTGGTATGGAGAATGGAGACAATAACTTTATGTACAATGCACTTTTAAGATTTAAAGGTCAACGAAACCACGTGTCTCAGCAGGGTGTTTTTACACCTCTAGTTTGAAAAAAGTCAGGAAAGTGGGTGAGTCTAGCTCTGTTTAGGTGGGAGTGTTGGGGGAGGGAAAGATGGAAGGTTTTGCATTAAAATGGGAGTTTCCCTTTGCGCATGCGCTGATTTTCACAGAAGCAAAACAAACACAAACACAGGGGAAAGACAGTGACAGTGTTAACATAGACATCAGTAATCAAATTATTTGCCAAATTATTAATTTGTCGACTTTGACTGCAGTTTGGCACTTTCATTCAGGAACATTTCATGCATGCCCCCCGTGGCAAACGAGATATTGGATGCAAGGAACTGCTGAAAGAGTGTAGTTTTAATAAAATGTTACCACACGGCGAATGGGAGAAAAACAAACCGTCTTCGAAGCTATCATGCATAATAATGAAGTTGCATCACATACACAATAGAGTGCGCTAATTGGATTAAACCAAGTCTTTCTCATGAACTAATGCTGCACACTCAAATGTGTCACATTGAACAGAGAGCAAGTCTCCACGCTGGAATACACACAAGGGTCTAAATACCGTGACGTAGCTTCAAATATTCGATCCAAACCAGAAGAATTAAGTTTTTTGAAATAACGCAAAAACAACCAATTTCCACTTAATAGTGAAAAATATGTGTCCTACTAGTGTTTTTAGCAGCGTACTACACATATATGACTCTCAACATCTCAAAAAATCTGTTTTGGTGTTTCTTGACCCTTTTGCAGGATGTTTTTATTCACACTTCATGAAAGGTAATTTTCGAAAAATTCACAATAGAGGCACTCCAAAAATCCAACTTACTCTAAAATGACACATTTAAACACATTAATTTTTCCTTACCTCTAGTACTACAACAGAAACAATGGCCATTTCAGGGCTCAACCAGGGGAAGAGTCGCTGCAGCTGACCGCACTGACCAATAAGGTAACAGTTCACGATTATTGCAATCAGACCCATCGCCTCCATTGCAGTCTGTTCAAATTTTAAGAACAAACAACAGTTAAAGATCACAAAATGAAACAAATAATATAACCTGAATAATTTATTAAGCACTTAATCTGAATAAATCTCCTCACCTGCCACTGTCCAATGTTTTCAACCCTCTGCCCAAAGGGTCTCTGGAGGCCTGAGCACAGTTTTAAGGCATCACTTCGGATCTCTACAATGTTGTTGATGAGGGCACACATGGCTGCCAGAGGAAATGCAGAGGAGAAGAGCACAACGTAGCCAAACTGTATAAACATCTCCTGGTAATCATGAAGAGTATCCTGTCAGAGCAACAGAACATTGAGTGTTTGATATTCATTTGTACATTAGTGTTCAGAATGTCAGATTTACTAAAGGGTATATTCATATATTTCCAATCCCATGAAACCCTAGATATAAGTGTTAAGTTCATTTTGAACCGCCAACTTATCCAGCATATGTTTTACGCAGCGGATGCCCTTCCAGCTGCAACCCATCACTGGGAAGCATCCATACACACTCATTCACACACATACAATATGGACAATTTTAGCTTATCCAATTCACCTACTGTATGCCACATGTTTTTGAAAACCTATGCCAACACGAGGAGAACAGGTATGTAATTAATTTAATAATTTAATTCACAACATGAATCATTTAATCACCCCCTCCCGCTTTCCTTGCTTCAAAAAGAAAAATGTCCACAAATGTAATAATATCAGCTACATAAATAATAGCCCACCAATAGAGGGCACTGTTCGTAAGTTAATTTTAAAAAAAGTTAATCCATTATATACTGAAAACATATTTATACATAGTTATACTATGCATGTAGTAGACAGGGTTTTTGTTTTGTTTTGGGTTTTGGTGTGTGTGTGTGTGTGTGTGTGTGTGTGTGTGTGTGTGTGTGTGTGTGTGTATATATATATCTATATATCTATATATATATATATATATATATATATATATATATATATATATATATATATATATATATATATATATATATATACATACATACATGTATTTTGTAGACTAAATATCCTACGTCCTTGGTATCCATCAAACAAGTGTGAAAGTAGTCTGCTGCTTTCTGATTGGCTTACATTGAATTCTTTTATTTCAACAAATATAATTTTTTTCGCAGGAGCTTGTTAGCATTGCAAGATTTTTATGGTTTTCATCAATAAGTAAAATCTTTTTAATTCATTCATTTTTCCTTCAACTTAGTCCCTTTATTCATCAGGGGTCGCCACAGCGGAATGAACCGCCAACTTATCCAGCATGTTTTACATAGCAGATGCCCTTTTAGCTGCAACCCAGTACTGGGAAACATCCATTCACACTCATTAACACACATACACTACGGCCAATTAAATTTATTCAATTCACCTATATCACATGTCTTTGAACTTGTGGGGGACACCGGAACACCCGGAGGAAACCCACGCACAGGGAGAACATGCTAACTCTACCCAGAAATGCCAACTGACCAAGCCGGGACTCGAGTAAGCGACCTTCCTGCTGTGCGGCGACAATGCTAATCACTGAGCCACCATGTCACCTAAAATCTTTTTTTTTCCTGTATATTATTTTAAGGGCCTGTCATCTTATTGCTTTTAAAAACAGTTTATCACACTCATTTATTAAACTCAAATTCACTTATGAGTGGTATAGTGTTAAATAGTTTAATTAGAATGTTTCGTTATTAACTAAGCAATGGTGATCCTTGGCTGCATCATCTGTCAAATTGATTATGAAATTACTTACTTACAAGGTAAAATAAGTATTGAACACGTCACCATTTTTCTAAAGGTGCCGTTGACTTGAAATTTTCCCCAGAAATCAAAAGAAGTTCATAAATGCAAAGAAAACTAATCTAATTAGTTTACAATTTAAGTTATGCATAATAAAATGAAAGGACACAGGGAAGTATTGAACACATAAAGAAAGGGAGGTGTAGAAAGGCAGTGAAAGCCCAGACAGCAGCAGAAACATCTCAGTAGTAATTCAGCAACTATCTGCCCTTTGTCATTGTAAATTTATAAAATCTGCTTGAAGATGAAGCCAGAGTGGACATTTCAGCAAGACAATGATCCAAAACACAGCCAAGCAAACTCTCAAATGGTTTCAGAGAAAGAAAATCAAGCTGTAGAATGGCCCAGCCAATCACCTGACTTGAATCCAATAGAAAATACAATTTAAAGACCACATTTGATAGACGAGACCCACAGAACAATCAAGAGTTTTGCACTCTGATGAAGTCTGTGAAAAAAAATCACACCTGAACAATTTATGTGACTTCATTCTCCATATGAGAGGCGTCTTTAGGCTGCCATCATCAAAAATGCCTTTTATATAAAGTATTAAATGTTTCAGTTGTTCAGTACTTTCTCCTTGTGTCATTTCATTGTTATTACACATAACTCATTTTCCAGATTTTTTCGTATTGTTTTATTTTTTGTTTTTTGTTTATTTTTATGATTGTATTGTTTGGGTTTTTACCAAAATCAGGTTCAATTCCAGGTCAACAGCTCATTTAGAAATGAAAACTTTAACGATATTCTGCCAGGAAGATTGGTATGTCATATCATTCATAATAATGATCTCATCAGCCTATAACAACCAAGTGCGCTACATATAAGCCCATCTACACAATGTTTCGCTGTACTCAGATGAAGTTGAGGAAGTTTCACTCCATCCTCCCCACCACCACCACCAGGTCTGCCTCGTCACCACTCGGGGGTTGGCTTCGCCCTGCCTTCATCTTCAGGCAGGATCTGCCAGCTCATCCAGAGTTCTGCACCATAGATGGTTGCACACCATTCATAGCCTATGCCAAACAACTTTATGAAAGGACAGTAACGAACTTACATTTAATGAAACATTTCACAATAAATGTTAAAACATTTGTCTGCCTCCAAAAGTCTTTCTGGTAGAAATGCTATTCCCAGGAAAAAACATGTGTTCAATACTTATTTTCCGCTGTGTATATTTATAATATAATGGACACACGATTAGACTAATGACTTTGGTGAACAATACAAACCTCATAAATTAGCATGCAGCTTTCAATCTCTGGTTGAGTCAAAACAGTAGATCCGGTCTCCTCTGGAGGATCCATCCAGGACTTTTTCTTCTCCATAGTGTTGTTCTCCCCACCAGCAGCCTTACCCTTTCTTCTTTGGGATTTACTAGCAGAATCATCTATTTCTCTGTCATCATCTTCATCATCATCTTCATCATCACGTATATCAAATATTAAGGATGGATCCATTCCTTCTTCCACGAGGGTAGGACTGTCATCATCCTGGGGGCTGCCTTGTGTTGGCTCTTCCACAGCTTTGTCTTTGTATTCCACCTTCTCTGTGAAGCTGACCTTTCTGTGCTTCAGACCAGCATCATCATCCACTTCCTCTGTTTTGGGTACTCTGTAGCTGGAAATTAAACTTCTCCTCTCTCTCTTCTCTGATTGCTCTGGAGGTGTGCCATTTTTATTCATGTCCAGACTGGCTTGGCAAGTCAGGCGTATCCTTTGCACTATCAAATGACTATAGTTCAGGAGCATGGTTTGGATCAAGTCCCATAACGTCCTCAGAGCTCCTAATTTATGGTGCTCGTAGAGATATGGCTGTAACACTTCTTTGATATTTTGTAGAAATTGGCGGAAGATCAATAACGTTGCCAGCATCTGTGAATTAAAGAGAGTGTTTTTTTTCTTGATTTATGCTTGACACTTGGTTGCTTTAATATTACTTTGTCTTCTGTGCATTACCTCTTTTAACCGTTCCATGTCTTTGAGATAAAATCCAATGTAGAAAAGGCTGAGGTAAGAATTTATGAACTGAAACTTTAAAATGCAGAACACAATGTTTAACCATTGTAGACACACAGATTATACATCACACTAATGCATTCTTTAAATACACTCACCAGCCACTTTATTAGGTACACCTGTCCAACTACTATTTAACGCAAAGTTTTAATCAGCCAATCACATGGCAGCAACACAATGCAACAACAAATGTCAACAAATCTGCAGCAACTGCGTGATGCTATCATGTCAATATGGAGCCAAATCTCTGAGGAATATTACCAGTAACTTGTTGAATCTATGCCACGACAGATTAAGGCAGTTCTGAAAGCAATAGGGGAAAAGGGGGTCCAACCCGGTACTAGTAAGGTGTACCTAATAAAGTGGCGGTAAGTGTATCTCTCAGTTTATTAAACTTACAAAAACAGTCTTGAGGATGAGATTGTTGTCATATGTGCTTTGAAGTCTGTAGTTTTCTGTTTAAAAAGAACAAACAGGTGACACTGAGGATTAGACAAGCATTGAAATAACCAAGAATGCCAGTTTGCTATTTAAAGGGTAATAAAACTGAGAAATCAACATTTCATTGATCTTTTGTACTATAATTGTAGTCATTGTACTATTAAAAAACATCCTTTACATTTCAGAACTCAAGACTTTTCCTTATTAGTCTAAATTTAAAACTAAAGCTAATTTGGAAGCTGGTCTGCCAACATTGTGGCACTTTGTTATGCAAAAGCGTGGAAAAAAAAATAGAATATATTTTTAGATGGAGTGAAACTAAGATGATGCTGTGCTGATTATACTTGAATACAACTGTAATATCACCGAGTAACTGTTTTGTTGCAGGTTTATTATGCTTTGCGTGTCATTACTGTAACATACTGTCCGGATATAAAATTACGTATTGATTTTGTGGGTTTATGACCCCTGGCTCTGACCCGTCTGCGGTGAAAATCTCTGGGTGAAAATTTAATTACTCCAGTACATTTTATGCGGACAGTCCCAACTCGCTCTCTTTCCGAGTTTTGAAGGAATTCCTTTTCCCCCTTCCTCCTGAGACACACACACACACCCATACAAAGACACACACACAAGGCTTCAGACACTGAAATGGACTCAGAAATCCTAAATCAGCCCAAAAGTAAATGTAATGTGTTTGTAAACTTTGTATTTCATTTCTGACCTTTCTTTTATATATATCTCTCTCTATATATGCCCTTTTAAGACACTAGACAAGCTAAGAATGCCTGAATCATGTTTATGTACTTCTAAAAGTGTCATGTCTGGTATCATTCCGTTGCTTACACAATCCTGCAGCTCATGATCTAGGAGGCATGATCATAATTTATATGGCTTACATTCTTTAATGCTCTGAGTTAATATCTCTTCATATGCTTTCAGGCGAAACCCTCATTTTGCTTATTAGCGGTCAAAGAGAGACAAAGAAAATCTCACGCTCAAAATTTGCCAGGAAACCATTGGTCAGTCAGTAGATAATGGGTGTGACTTGCCACCACAGGTAAAACCCATCTGCGCCCACAGATCTGGGAAGAAAAGATCTCGAAAAGAAGCTTTTCAGAGGTGCCCCCAAACCGCATTTCTGTACCCGCATGCCTCGCTTGAGTCCGCCTTTTTCTTATTTTTCCGGCAAAGTAACTCAGTTTAAAGTTTGCGGCTCGCATATTCTTCGTTCTGCACTGCAAGCTCCACGCATCCAGAAAGGACATTAAAGGACTCCATCCACCAGCGCATCCGAGAAACTCGCGCAAAAGAGAGAAAGAGAAATACCTACGAAATACAGGTATTTTTAGTTATGCGTTAAGCTGTGTGCCCCTAATCAAAAAGGTGTTTTTATAATCTTGGTGAACCTTAATAGTGTGTGGAGCTGAGGTAGATTTGCCATTCTTTTATTTAAACTCCTCATTTCCTCGATTGTTTTTTCTTCCACGTTTTTGTTGTTATGTTTGTGCGTTTGTTTCTTATATGTCAGACTAGTGAATAAATCCCATTATAATCAAATGGATTGTATTGTTTGCCTCACAGAAAAAGTCCCCTAAATGATAGAGCCTTAAATTTGCTACAAAGCTTTACTAAAATAAGTATACCAAAAACTTCTAAACTATTCATCTACTTAACAAGTGGTTATAATTCCCTCTCTAAATAAATAATTACAGAGTCCGCTCGGACGAGTAGGCGAAGTCATTGGCATATATGTCATTCATTCATTTTCTTGTCGGCTTAGTCCCTTTATTAATCCAAGGTCACCACAGCGAAATGAACCGCCAACTTATCCAGCAAGTTTTTCCAGCCACAACCCATCTCTAGGAAACATCCACACACACACTCACACTACGGACAATTTAGCCTAACCAATTCACCTGTACCACATCTCTTTGGACTGTGGGGGAAACCGGAGCACACGGAGAAAACCCACGCGAACGCAGGGAGAACATGCAAACTCCACACAGAAACGCCAATTGAGCTGAGGCTCAAACCAGCGACCTTCTTGCTGAGCTGCGACAGCACTACCTACTGCGCCACTGCTTTGCCCCTGGCATATATTTATTTAGTCAAGTTAACTATAAGTTAATTCAGAATATTAATGACTAATAATAACTTGTTATTATTGATCATTAATATTCACAATCTGAGAATAATTGATATATATATATATATATATATATATATATATATATATATATATATATGCTTTTTTTTTATTTAGTCAAATTATCTATAAGTTAATTCAGAATTTTAATAATTAATAATAACTCATTTTTATTGATCAATAATATTTATAAACTGAGCTAATTTCGCTTCATTACAGATCATCTGTTATGTACTGAGTATGCATTTTTGACCTTAATCACAACAGCATCATTCTATGAAGGACCTAAGCTTTCAAACACACATGCAGAAGTTTAATCCAGTGGCCACAAAGCTGACCTTACAAAAATGCAAAACTGGTTGCCAGTTTTACCAGTGGGTGTTTACTGACACCCTATTCAACACATACCAGTAGCCACACCTACTCAAATAATGTGTTCCAATGAGGATGTCAAAACAAGACAGAAAATCCAATGACCCAAATTATATTTCACGCTAAATTCAGCAGCACACACATATTATAAATAATATTTAATATGTGTTTCTTTTAGTAATAAACTGATTTAGGCCTTACCCATGTCATTGAGCCAGAGAGCTATCTTCTTGTACACTTCATCACATACAGTAACAGTTACAGCCAGGAGAATTTTTGGAATGAATCTACATATGCTTGGAAACTCTTTTGTTTCCATCACAAATTCCTGTAAGAGATGTGAAATCATGAGTATTTGAGGGACAGTGTTTTATATTGAAGTTATGTCAGAGAACCTGTAGCTGCAAGTTGTGAAATGTGAGAGCTCCTACCTGTAGTTCCAGGCAGATGAACATGGCCAAGCAGACAAAGCAGAGACAGAGGATGCAGATGGGAAAGCTGACAAACCAGCGGAACATTCTCCTCTTCCAGGGGGGATAGTAAAACTCCTCACAGCCTGTTACTGGACTGTGACGCTTTACTCCCTGATGCACATGTTAAAAGGGCAGGCAGAAATGACAGTTTAGTTCAGAGCTTTATTTAAACAGTGAAAAGCTTTTTAATCTATAGATATAACTACACTGTAAAACCCAACAGTCAACTTTATGAAATGAAAAGAGTGTAGTTAACTTAAAAATTGACTGAAAGTTAATTCTACTCTTTTGAAAAGAGTTTTGAACTCAGAGTTGAAGATCATGAGTTAAATGGAGTAAGTTCACAGTACTCATATAGATTTATTTTTTTAACTCAAATGGTTTGAGTTCTCTTCATTTATTGGGTTTTAAAGTACTCAGTTGGTTTGAGTTCTCTTCAGTTATTGGGTTTTACTGTATTCAAATTGCTTCATGTAATCAAATAGATTAAGTTCACAGTACTCATTTGGATTCGTTTTCGAACTTAAATAGTTTGTTGCAATTGGTTTCCACAAATGGTTTAAGTTTCCTTAACTTTTGGGGTTTTACAGTGTACGAATTATTTTTGGGACAGATTTACAACAACATAAAAACATTGGACCAGTGCAAACCTTTTTTGTCATTTAAAAACTACTGTCAGAAATTACAAACAACATTCAGTGAATGATTAGCAATGAAGTTAAAATATCGAAATTGATATTTAGCCGCACAAAATACTTTTTTTTATGAGCCCAACACTCAACCCCAATCTGGAGGACAACGTTATACACACTATGGACAATTTAGCTAACCCAGTTCACCTACCGCACATGCTCTATCAACACATAACTCCAATTCTCTTTCACTTGCATTGGCTTCCTGTTCTTTATCGTGTACAATATAAAATTATTTTATTAACTAAAAAAGCTCTTCACAACCTAGCACCCGATTGCCTCTCTGATCTTCTTCACCGGTACACTCCTCGGCGCTCACTGATATCTTCTGCGGCTGAACAGTTGTCAGTTCCAAATTTTAAGATGAAATCATTTGGTGGCAAGGCTTTTAGCTGCATAGCACCACAGTTATGGAACTCCTTTCTGTTAGATGTTCGTCAGGTGGACTCTATCTCCAATTTTAAATCCCAGGTTAAAACCTTTCTGTTCAGGATTGCTTTTAATGACTTTCTGGATTAATATTATGTGTATTACTCTTCTCTCTTATCATCAATCAGGCAGTGAAAATTGTTAATAAAAAAAAAAACAGACCTAAAACGAGACGATTTTTTTTACAGTTCACCAGAAGCGACTGACCAGGGTTACTGAAACAAGTGCTTCTGCATACCTCTGCATATACCCCCTTCAAATTTCAGAGCTCAAGATTCCTATTGCAACGTTACAATACTCATTTAAACACTATAATTCGGCACTAACTAGTTCTTTTATCTTTTTTGTATACTATTTACGACAGATAGTATGTGACTGGATGTACCAATAGTCCTGCAGCAGAACATCCGCAAGCATGGCTTCAGCAGGTAACCATTCTCTCCTTCATTTTCTTTGTTTATTACTTTTTTTTATTTACACTACAACTACACAGTTTATTTTGACATGGAAATCAAGTTTTTACAATAAATAATGCGTTCTTGTGAGAACAATTTGTTATGTTCATTCATTCATTCATTTTCTTTTCAGTTTAATGCCTTTATTAATCTTGGGTCGCCACAGTGGAATGAACTGCCAACTTATCCAGCACATGTTTTATGCAGCAGATGCCCTTCCTGCCGCAACCAAGTGACCCCCCTGTCATTGTCCCGCGACCCCCACTTTGGGAACCACAGACTTACGCTATTGTCTTAAAATGTAGCCTCTGTGTTGTTAGTAGATTACCCGTATCTTATTATCATACATGGCTCTGCTTGTTTGCGATTTCATTTGTGCAGCTCTTGGTAGATTAGTTGGTCATTATGTAAATTAAGTTCTGTGTCTGAGTGCTTTAATTTGTGCGTTATCATTAGATCATCCACAGATCTTCACACTCCCACTGGTGCTTTTATAGGGCAGCGCTCCTACACTAATTGCCCTGTTTTGTATATCTAGCCCTTTGTGTCTAAGAAAACAAGGTTATATAAATACGATATCAGCATACCCGAAACTGTGGCCGGGGTTCCTCTAGAGATTCTGCTGGTGTGTCCAGCGTTCCCCACTTATACGCCAGCTCTGCTTCCCGCCGCTTCCACCTCTCCAGAAACAGTGTTGCCCAGACCACATTGAAAATGGCAAATACCACACAGCAGATATCCTGACTTGTCTGCATATTAAAAGAAATAAGGGTTGGTGATTAAAAAATGCCTGAAAATAACTCTTGTATACTTCCATTCTTGAATTGTAGGACTGTGATATCAAGATAAAAAGCAACCTGCCTGATCAGACTCAGCAAACATCCAGAGCAGAAAGCCAATCACTGCTGGATACAGCATAGAGTTGGTGTAAAAACCCAACCATGCAAAGTACATAGCGATTTTCACTCCAAAATAATCACAAACATCATCTGTCAGAAAAAAGGCAACATAATGTTCAGCATTTTTATTAGGAAACTAATTTGGGGATATTTGCACAATTTTACAGGTAAAATAATCTGTTGATTTTATTTTCTCCCAAACATGTTCAAGGCCTGTTGTGACATTGAATTCTAATGTAAAATACACAATGTCTGAACAGCAATAAAGCAAACTCCATAGCTTAAACATGAATCATATTTTCCTTTTAAAGGAGGCTCTTAGGAAATGTAATCACACATAACAAGACATGTATCAACTGGTAGTTTCTTGTTCAGAATTCACACTCTAGCGCCTCATATTTGCATACAGCAAAGCAGTCGGTGCTGTAGAAATAAGGTAGATACACATGAGTCTGTTTGCTAAAGGAAGAGCCTTAGCCAGGAGGAATCTCTTTACACAACCACTTAGAATAACTAAAAGTTGGTTGAGTCTTGTGCATATTGGCAAATATGTAATCGTTCTCACCTAGAGGTTGCCGCTCGCAGACGGCCTGAACCCAGGACGTCATCAACTGGTTCAAGATTCTCTGCTCATGAAGAGGGAACATTTGAAGAATCACACGCCTGGCAATAAGCTCTGGTACTAAAAGAAAAACAAAAAATTGATCTGATTTTGGCCAAAAATAATGTATTCTTAAACTAAAACCAAAACACTTTAGAACATAGGTCTTAAACTTGTTTTCATAAATGGCCGCAGCTCTGCACTGCTTTTGCTCCAACCCTAATCAAACACAGCTGATCCAACTAATCAAGGCTTTCAAGACTACTAAAGATGATTAAAGCCTCATTCACATTACAAGCGACTTGCAGCGGCAAAGCGACAAGCAACCCGTCATTTCAATGGAGAGTGAGCGACTTCTGACGACCTCCGTCTACGCGAGTGACAGCGACCATTAGCGACCAGGTAGGTGTGTCTAGCGAAGCGACAAAGTTGAGAATCATTTAACTTTATGCAAATGAAGAGCAACTTTCTTGAGCCACAGCCATTGGTAGCAACAGTAGAGCTCAGATGGTCCTCTCTCAGCTCGCTTAGAGGCTGGTTGTATTCTCTGTTATGTAGACCTACGCACCCCTGCATTTGCAGCAGGTCACAACCCAGAGCAACAAAGTGGCTGCAAGTGTGGATGAGGCATAAGCAGGTGTGAGTTGGAGGCAGTTGGAGCTAAACTTTGCAGAGCTGTGGCCTTCCAGGAATTGAGATTGAGACCATTGTTTTGGAAGCAAAAAAATTGTATCTACTGATTGGTTGACCCTCCAGGAAGTGGATATTATGAAGTGCCTCGCCCTGTTTGGCTCGGAGGTTATCCAACCAATATTTGATAATACCCTGACGCTCCTAAAGAAATAACAGATAAAAACAACCCATCAACACATAAGAAAATGTCATTTCATATGGCCACAAACCGTTTTGCCCTACAGGTCAAGACTGGTTGTCCATTGAAGTTAAATACAATGCAATTATAAGTACAATACATTTATAAGTACAATACAATGCTGGTCAAGAGAGTGATTCTGAGGAAGTGGAAAACCACAACACCTCCAAATGTTTTTAAATGTTTAGCTGAAATGGTTTCTACACTCAAGCTGTAAAGGTTACGATTCTCTAGAGTTGCCAAAAAGAAGATGTATGATCAAATATATGGGCCCCTTCCTTAGATGTATACTTTAACAAAGTCTCTGTAATTATTTTATTTCTGTAATAATTTTTTTCTCCTTCCTTTTTACATGTCAGTCCATTTTGTTTCTCACTCCATTAGTCTGGCTGAAATTCTTTTCATGGTGCTGCATAATTGTTGTATTGTTTGCTAGTGTTTTGGTGCATGTTCCAGTTGTTATCAGGTAATAACACAGAGATAATTTTATTAACACACAGTTGAAGTCAGAATTATCAGCCCCCCTGAATTATTAGCCCCCCTGTTTATTTTTTTACCCAATTTCTGTTTAACGAAGAGAAGATTTTTTTAACACATTTCTAAACATAATAGTTTTAATAACTCATTTCTAATAACTGATTTATTTTATCTTTGCCATAATGACAGTAAATAATATATTACTAGATAAGTTTTCAAGATATTAGTGTTTAGCTTAAAGTGACAGGTTAATTAGGCAAGTTAGGGTAATTAGTTATTGTATAATGATGGTTTATTCTGTAGACTATGAAAAAAATATATTGCTTAAAGGGGCTAATAATTTTGTCCTTAAATGTTTTTTTAAAAATTAAAAACTTGTTTTGTTCTAGCCGAAATAAAAAGAATAAGACTTTCTCCAGAAGATAAAATATTATAGGAAATACTATGAAAAGTCCTTGGTCTGTTAAACATTATTTGGGAAATATTTTTTATTTAAAAATTGTTTTTTTTGGAAACTATTGTGCAGAGAGAATGAATGTTTTCATAAAAAGTTCTATGAATAAAGTACAATGCAATAAAAAAAAAAAGCATCAAGGGTTGACGCAAAAACCAAACCAATAGTATGGTGTAAACAGATTTCAGAAAACTGTACTAAAGAGTTTGAATGAAATCATAATAATTAGCAACCTATTCACCACAATGTGAAATAGCTATGTGTTTATGACCTGATAAAAGATTGTGTGAGACTGGAAAGGAGAGAGATTAAAGGCAGACCTGTGATGTGAAGAAACACAGCTCGCTCTCGATGTTCTCATAGATGTCATCCTCCTCACACGAAAACCTGCGAGTGCCGCCTCCAAAGCGCTGCTTCACCGCCTTTTGCATCCCCATCTGTTCGGCACCACGCAACAAGCTTAAGACAAAAAACAACCATCATTCAGCTGCTGTATTTATTTAGGACCAAGTGACCATCTGTCAAGCCTTTCAGATATCTTATATGAAAAAAACACAATACAATGTTGCTGTGAGGTACGCGATAGACACTGTAGAGACACAATGCACACATCGTGCTATGCCAGCTTATTAGCAGCAGGGACCAATAAATATATATATATATATATATATATATATATATATATATATATATATATATATATATATATATATATACACCTTTTTCCTGAACCTGCAATACTGACTCACTTATATCAATGTTTCTCAACCACGTTCCTGGAGGACCACCAACACTGCATATTTTAGATGTCTCCTTTGTCTGTCACACCCATTACAGGTGTTTCATTCTCTGCTAATGAGCTGATGATCTGAATCAGGTGTGTTTGGTTAAGAAGGCAGAAAAATTGTGCAGAGCTGGTGGTCCTCCAGGAACGTGGTTGAGAAACACTGACTTATGCTATACTGACTCACTAAGACTTATGCTGATGTTATGGTTTTCATTTTCAGTTTCTGTAAAAATGATAAAAGAGCAAACTATTTGAGATTTATTATTATTTAAGAAAAGTATGATTCATAATTCGTGGATTTTTTCATTCATTTACTTTAGTTTTGCATTGTGGGATCTTGAGGTTGTTTTGCAACACCTGTTGATGCTGAAAAGTTTAACAAAGTGAGAGTCGTTGACATTAGAAACTGCATTGTCTATATTCTATATATGTTATGTCTTATTAAGGGTGTAAATAAGGGTTGTCTCTTTTATTTCTGTTTATGTAAAGCACTTTAAATTGCCACTGTGTATAAAATGTGCTATATAAACATCCCTTGCCCTAAATCAGATGTTTCATCACAATAAAATACAATGTCAATATTCCAGTAATATGATATTTGTCGATACTTCAGGAAACTCTGCAAAATTATTTAAATTCAATTTGATTCAGTGGAATATTAAACAATTTATCGATGCAAAGATATTATCTGCCTAATTTACAGAACTCATAAATGCAACCAAAGTATATATTATGAACATACATTATGTGTATAGTAAACTGAACTCTCTGAGAACTGCACATTCTTTATTTAAAAAAAATAACAACATACACATTGTTTTTTAAATAATATGGAAAAATAAATAGTGAAATAATCAACTAACACATGACAAATAAATAATCCATTATTCTTAAATGTGTCTAAAATTGATTGCAGCTGCTGCTTTGTTGTTGAACTGCAATAAGGCACACATGCAGACAATCTAGTGAGTAAATAACACCAGAATGTGCACTAGCAGAAATGAGTAGATGGACATAAAGATGCGGAGAGTGTCAAAATAAAAGTGCTTCTAAAAAATGATGAATGTATGAATATCTAATGCAAATAATTGATGCATCATATTTTATTATATTTTAGGAACATACGTTAGTCATCTATATATCCTTCCATATTGACATACTGCTGATGCCTCATTTCTTATAGAATTGTTTTACTACTAAAAATGTAAATGAATATAAAAGTCATTTTTAACTGCACTATTTAATTGCAGAGTTTAAATTTCAACATCAAAAGTTAATGGAGCAGAGATCATGGTCCTATAACAAAAAATCACAAGCCACATGCAACTTTTAACTACCAGATATTTTTACAGTGTAGTTTTTCAGCACAGTGTCGCAATGATCATTTTGTCAGTGTCTAACATGTCTACTGAGTGGACAGATACACTATCTAAAATATCCATTAATATATAGTTTCCTGTATTCACCTTGATTCTTACTCTAAGAACTTTGAGTGTTGAAAATGTACAACGCACATTAACAAAGTGACTTTTATTGACTATTTTAGTTATTTGATACATTTTGTTGTAAAAGATACAATCTATATAGAAATAAATCTGTAAAATATAAGAAAACATACAGACATCTCATCACCTTTTTTTGTTGTACAATGTACATGACCAACCCAAACAATACATTGTTTCAAACTAAAATCAATAATAATCCACGCCAATGAATATCATTTTGCTGAATTTTTTAGTATTAATATGTTCAGTTTCAGTATAAAATATGTTGTCAGAGCAGAGATCAAGTTCCCACAATGCACTGTGAGAGTGTAAATTTGACTCATTTTTATTTAATTCAAAAGATTTTTGGATAAATATTTAGCTTTTTAAATTGCATTTTAACAATGAGTTTCTATAGACACCAGAATAGCATACAAACAAAAGCAAAAATCCATTATAACAAGACCAAGGAAAAAAGCGGACAGCCAAAACATCCAAAATAATATGTATTGATTTAAGCAAGGGACAAAACAATACAACAGACGTTTTGGTTTTCAGTTTTCTTCAGTGCATCGATTCACTGCTTCTCAGAAAATATAAACAATGCAGTGAGTATCAGGTGTTCATAATAAAACCCGTTTACAAACTCCAGACCACCTCCATCTGAAACAAACTGTAAGAATGGGAACATGATGCTGTGCCTTACTTTTCAAAGGATGAGGTAATGAAGAATGCATAGGTGTGTGTGTATTTATGCTGCCGGATCTGGATTCTGATTTGTGGAATTCCCAACCGGATTTGGTTAAGTAACCATAACAGCGTATGGTCATCTGTGGTGTCTGTGGAAAAGATGATACCATATGTACATCAGATTAAAAATGCCATTAAATTCACATTTTATGATCACTTTAAATGTTTTATAAACAAAGAAAAGTATGATATGTACTCTTACATTATTATTTTAAGGTGATAAGTACACTGATGATTCAAAACATTATGACCAGTCACATATTCTCCTTAATTAAACCCATATATAAAATCTGGATGGATTAGATGATCATTAATTTGTTGGATACAGGGAAAATGGATAGGAATAAAGGTTTAACTGATAAATTGTTTTGCGAAGTGGATTTAAAATTATTTACTGCAAATCTCTCAGTGCCAGAAACCACAGGACAGCTGATTTTTGTAGAATTCTTGCACTGTTCTGGCCAACAAAACAAGGAGGTGGTCATATTGTTTGCTTTATTGGTGCACCGCTGTGCATAGTATTGTTTCAGTATGACAATGTGTGTATCAGCAATATCCCAGAATGGGAAGTACTCATAGATGACCAGACGCCACAGATCAAGATGTTTGTATTTGTGGAGTCATTGCAACCTTTAATAATAATAAAGTGGATTTTTAACATTTGCAAATGGTGCTAAAGAGAGGGATCTGGCTGCAGACTTGATGCAATGCAATCTGAGTTGCATGCAATGCTATTTAATGAGCTCACCTAACCCCACCCCTAACCATACCATCACAGTGACGTCACTAGCTCCATTGACTGCATTGAGTCTGACATTGCATCTCTGACAGATGCAGTGTCAGCTTGCATCATAAAGGCTGCATCCAGGTACTATTAGTGTTAAAGGCATAATATGTAAGAGTTTAATCATTAAAATATGCAAAAACCATTAGAACAGTGTTACATATTTTGCTGACTTATGTATTGACATGATCCCAAATGTTCCGAAGAAACATTTGCTATTTTAAATGGTGACAAGACCATGCATCACCATGCTAATGATGTCACCCACCCTCAATTTGATAAGAAACAGGGAAACACTGAATACGCCCTTAATATGTTGTGCATTTTACTGCACGGTGCTGCATTATAACAGTAAACTAAAATGTATTAATATAATAAACCATGCAGCTTCTTCCCCACATGATCACAACCAGGAGAACTGGAAGTGGTTGACTGTGGTATAATAAAAGCTCTGCTGCTTTTGTGTCGCATCTCTCCTCAGCAATGTTTTCAGTGCTCTCATTTCACTTTGTTGGCTCTTTTTCATATACCACGATAACATATTTTGAATACTTTAAAGCATTCATGAACATGACCTCTCCAGAAGTTCTGTATGTTGTAATAAAGACGAACAATTCCCATGATTCCACCTTTATTTAAATGCGAAAAATACATACTGTGCCTTTAAGGTCTGTTACTTTATGTATATTCCAAGTGGGTTTAGACCATTCAGGTTAAAGGAACAATAAAATGTTTGACTTTAACAATTGGATTAATTGTATTTAATTCATAATGCAGTGTTGTATTACATTTAATAATTTAAATCGTTTACCTGCAATAAATTAAACAGAAACAGCAAAGATAATTTATTTATGGTTGTAATTTAATTATTATATTTGATACAAATTCACTCTACAAACTCAAAACTCTAAATGGAATTTCCAAATAGAGCTCTTCAATAAATCTAGGTAAACGGTTTTCATAACGCACAGTTTATTGTAGGACAATCAAATATTTTAATGTTGGGCACACATTAGTGCATTTATCCTTTTTGACTTTATTAAATGCAAACAAGCAAAACTGAAAGACATAACCTTCACACCTGGGAATGTCATAAGGATATCACAGTTTTCAGTGGGTGCCATTGTGATGGTCGATTTGTGCCTCATGAGGTACTGTCTGGCATGAAAGAGCCGACCTCTCAGCAACTTCTCTGTATTTGTTAGAGAAAAACAGTTAATGCTTTAATGTCACATATACACAGCAACAAGAATATATAAATTGTATCACTGCATCAACCTTAAGCTTCTCTCAATAGTTAAAATAAATGACCAAAGAAATATTTCAATACACACCATTACAAATCAATTGAGCTATCAACCTGAGATCAAATCAAGTCCGCATTCACAAAAACCTAGCCTAACTTTACACTTACACTAACATTTAAAAGTCAACATTATGCACAGAAATATGGATTAATTTTAGGTAATATTCAGTAACTTTACCCAGCTGGCACAAAATGTCATATATCATTGATCTTTCTATTTAGGTTTTGGGTGACCAAAATTTAACATTAATTTGATGTCTAATACTGACGTCCGCTGGCAATAAAATTTGGTTGGTTTTAGGCTGTGGCATTAACTGATTAAAATCCAACATCACTTAAACGTCACGATATGACATCCATACAAAGTCATAGTCCAACATCAGTCAACGTTTATCTTTGGTTGGTTTTATGTTGTGTATTATCTAACTAAAGTTTAACGTCACTTAAATGTCAGAATGTGACGGCCATACAATGTCAAAGTCTAACATCATTAGCCATTCATCTTTGGTTAGTTTTATGCTATGTTGTTAACAAACTACTTGTGCTTGTGCTTCATCCCACACCATTTCGACCATTTTGAAATGTATTTTTTCTTAGAGAATTCTTATGTATGGTATTTCTGTTCGAGATAAATAAATCAAATCAAACTACAATTCAACGTCATATTAATGTCATAATGTGACATCCATATAATGTGAAATTGTAATAACAGTAGATGTTGATCTTTGATTGGTATTAGGTTTTGGTATTAACAAACCAAAACACAACATCAGTTAATGTCTTAACGAAAAGTCTATACAATGTCAAAGTCTAACATCACTTGACGTTGATTTTAAGTTAAATTTAGGTTGTCATTAACTAACCAAATTTCAACATTTTATTCAACATAATTTTGACATCAAACACTGACATGTACTTATAAGATCTGGTAACTAAAATCCAACATCATCTTAACGTCACAATTTGACGTCCATTGGACATCAAATCCTAACATCAGCAGATGTTGATATTTAGTTAAATTTAGGTTGTGTCATTAGCTAACCAAAATTAAACATCTATTCACCATCACAAATTAAATCAAATGCAAAACACATTCGTCAGTGTATGGCATTCACATTCCAAATATTAAACTCCAGTGGAACATTGCTTGGCTTGGGGCAAGAAACATCCTGCGAGTAATCAAGAGCAAGTGACATGAAGCACGTGTGGTAACCCAGCATTAGTTTATTCTCTGTAACGAGAAGAAGAAAATTATACAAATTGTTTTGAAATATTTGCCTAGGTAAATCAAAACCACTAATTTGTTGTTGGATTGTTCTTGATTTTGTGTTTGTGATGGAAAAGTTTTTCAGTTGCTGTTGTTTAAATGGTTGTGGTTTACTGAGCTAGATTATTGTTACCATGTTCAAACTGAGCTAACAGTAATCTTGCTCTGTAGTGCAGCAGTAGTGGCCCAATGAAGCTAGTAATTTGGAACTGACAACATCATCTGTTGAATAAAACTACAGTTTCTCTGCCCTTTTGCTTAAAGGTGGTTTTTGGGCATCAGTTTGGAGATGAACAAAGTCAAAGATGCAGAAAATTAAAAAAAAAAAAAATTGCCAAATTGTTGCAAACAATTTAAATGGGCTGAATTTAAACTGGTAATGTTCAACTTAATTTTTACATTTTTTTTTTTTGTTTGTTTTTTAGTGTACACTTATTAGGAAAATTATTTGAATGGATGACTGTCTAGTTTTGAAAGCAAGCAGTATTTCAATGCCATATTTAAACTTCAACCTGTTCAAATTAGCAACTACAAATTGCACACTTTTGGGGCCTAACATACACAATCAGCATAATGCAATGCCTAGTGCAACGCCAGTTACAGCCAGGTGCAGGTATTATTTTCACGTCCTGGACCCATATTTCAATATTGAAAATATTTATAATACAACTGGGTTGTCATCAGAACCCAATGTTGATTTTAGGTCATATGTGAAAATCTGGTTGAAATCAAAATCCAACATCTCTTTGATGTCAGACCTTAAAGTTGGACGTACGTTGAATTTTAGATGTATATGAAAATCGTGTTGTGCTGGGATAGTTTAATAATGGGATAATGTGCCACTGTGTCTTTATTTTCTACAGCCAATATGTTTAAAAGAGCTGTCCTGTGGATGCACTTGTTTTATATGTTTCAGCAGTTGTTCAGAGGAACCAACGTTGTGGTGTGAAAGATGCTGTCAACTTTGTGACCACTGTGTCACACTGCTATTTTCAGTTACATGAGGTGTGAAGAAAACAAGTGAAGTTCCAACATTATTCACTTTGGCAGCTTATATAAAATTTAATTCTTTAAAACTTAAGATGCTAAGGTGTTGATCTAATTACAAATGACGTCAAATACCACTTAAAATAAAAACAAAAGATACTAAAGAAGGGTTTTGTTGTAAAACCACATAAGAACTAATTTGGGGTCACCTTTTTTTTTAAAAAAAACCTAAAGAAACTTTATTCTATAGTGTAAAGAAGCTTTTGTGGAATATTAAGATTTTATAAATGTGAAATGTGATTCATTTTACAATTAATGTCAATGAAGAACATTTGTTTTTAGGTATATGGTTCTATTCTAATGTTAATACCATAGAAATGCAATAGAGATAACGAATATGCCATGTTTACTTGTAAAGCTGGCTTCATGTGACTGCATACAAACATAGTAAACATCAAAAGAGAATTTTTAAAGCAATTTTAAATGCTCAGTGCACCCATGCATGGAATAGGATGACTGACTATAAAAATGGATTTGAATGACATAATGGTAATAATATTCTGAATGACCACAGTATTTTCCTGAGATTTTCATAAAACGTCTTTTGTTGGTTTTATTTGTGCTATGTGAATGGCACATACATGTGAATCGCGTCTACCATTTATCAGTACTTGCATACAATGTAAACAAACGATAAAAGAGCAGGCAACTGATGTTTACTGGACAAATATTAGTCCTTCAGATATCAACCTATAGTGTTGTATTCTGCCTCAATCTTGTCGTGCACTATACCGAAAACAAAGCTATATACAAACAAGCATATTTGGGTTTGAACTCACCAGCGACAGCTGGATAAAAGCACGCAAGCGTCTGCATGACGGCTATTGGAGTGTCACTCACCTAAAACCGCCGAGGACATCGCGTGAGCCCTTCGCTGTGCTCTGCTCTGCTCCGTGAATACGTCAGCTGTGTTGATGCTGGTGCTGAAACTGCTCGGCCACGTCCAGCGAAGCTTCTTCAGCCGTTCCCCGATGCAAACAGGTGCAGAGTGTCCGCTGACCGCTGAATAAACCTTCAGTCACATGCTGACATTGATCATCCATGGCGTTGTCAACACTCAGAGGATTTCCTCATCAGGAGAGCTGCGTCCAGCTTACATTTCTTCCTACCCTACATTTGGCCGCATCGCGCTGTTATTTCGCCGTAATTCTCTGTTCTGTTTCGTCAGTAACTTGTGCTCAGTAAGTTGTATGCGCCATCTGTCTCATCCTGACTGGAAAATTACGCAACGTGCGGTGCATAATTCATAGATGTGCTGAAGGGAACCAATCAGAGCGAATGCGCAAAGAGCTCGCGGACAAAAAAGAGGGAAATTCAGTACAGGTGAGACAAAAGACTGGATTTGAAAGGGATCCGAATCTAAAAACGCTGAACATATAGTAGCCTACGGGTTGTCTTTTACTTTGAGTTTTTTAGACTGCAGATTACTTCTTTAAAGTTTACTCATTGTCTTTTATCCCACATAAACTTCACAATAGGTTTATAAACAATTAGTTTGAGATCTGAGTTTTATTTCAGGCATTTATATACGATTATATATATATATATATATACATACATACACAGTCGTAGTCAGAATTATTAGCCCCCCTTTGAATTTTTTTTAGCTTTTTTAAATATTTGCCAAATCATGTTTAACAGAACAAGGAAATTTTCACAGCATGTCTGATATGTTTTTTCTTCTGGAGAAAGTCTTATTTTGTTTTATTATTAGCCCCTTTAAGCTTTTTTTTTTTCGACAGTCTTTAGAAAAAAAACATCATTATACAATAACTTGTCTAATTACCCTAACCTAACCTAATTAACCTAGTTACGCCTTTCACTTTAAGCAGTATAGAAGTGTCTTGAAAAATATCTAGTCAAATATTTACTGTCATCATGGCAAAGATAAAAAAAAATCAGAAATTAATTATTAAAACTATTATGTTTAGAAATTTGTTGAAAAAATCTGCTCTCTGTTAAACAGAATTAGGGAAAACAGGGGGTCTAATAATTCAGAAGGGCTAATAATTCTGACTTCAACTGTATATATATATATATATATATATATATATATATATATATATATATATATATATATATATATATATATATATTAATAAGTATTTTTCACTATATACTGTAGACTATGACTTACTTAATTTGTAATTTTTTGTGGACTAAAAGAACAGACATAAGTAATAATAATATTATCTGAAAGCTAAATAAATATATTCTCCATTGATGTATGGGGGTTCAGGTGGTTCGAAAAACCCACCCATCACTGACAAATGCCCAGAATTTGTCATTTACATGAGCTTATTTGTACTATTTAGACTGTTACACCATCATGAATTGTGAAAATAACCCAAAAGCATCCCTTTGGAGACCGTGGCTATCCCTTCGGTGTGACTTCAGCTAATCAGTTTTGACTTATGCAAAATTTTTCATGAATCCAACATTCAGCTGTGCAACAAAACATAATCTGACGTAAGTCATCTTTCACTACTGACCTACTGTCTTGTTTTTAAATAGAAAAAAGTTTTTACAAGTGACTTATTCTAAATCTGGGAATTTATTTTTTAAATAAAAAATGACCAATAAAAGATACAATTTATAAACAATTTGGCTAATATTGTCATCCGTGAATTTCTAAATGTACTTTTTAACAATAGAAAAATTGTGAAGCTCTGCATTACTATTATGTCTTAATAATAATGTTTTTTAATTATTCAAATGCCCATATTCTAATTGAGAAAAGTTGAATGTGCTGGTCAGTTTGTTCTGCCTATTAAATGACAATATGACACTTTTTTCTAATGACATACTAAGATATAATACATTTTTATTTTAAAAATAAGTATTTATTCACATTTCTTTTGGTATCAAGATATTTTGATAGCAAATAAAAATTCTTTTAGGTCTCAAACAGTATAGTTATGAAGACCAGCCGACAAATCCAGCTAAAATATTGCCTAATGTCACTAAAATGTACTATTTAAATCTTATATTTTATTAGAAAATGAGGCTTATAACTGTAAAAAGGTCCACTTTTTGAGAAAAGGTAACCACCCCCTCCAGCAGGGTGGAGACTATCTGAAAAACCTAATATCTGAGAGTTTTAAAAAAAATCTAAATATTTAAAATAATGTACTTCTACTGATTAATAATAAAAAGGTTTACAATTTATTTACAGCATATTTACAAAATGTATTTATGGAGCAAGATCTTGACCGGGTAATAAGCTCAATTTTGTTTTCCAGGGTCACACGATGTACCACCAGTTTATACTTAAACATCACTGAAGGGCTCAGCATCCTCAACCTCAAGTGAAAGACAAAGATCAAGAAATTGCAAATTTATACACACTTTCATATTCAAAGAATTTGACAGCTTCTCATTTGTGTAATCTCAGAATTAAAGAAACATACTTCATTTTTGCACTTCATGAAAATCATCATTCTGTGGTTGACACTATAAATAACCATTTGGACCATGTAAAGCTTGTTAAGTATGCTGGTTTGTTAAAGCTTGCTCAGAAACACATTGTTTGTGTAGACTTGAACATTAGTAGAGGCCTGACTGTCTCTGAGGCCTGAAGATCCTATTGAAATATTATGTGTCTCTCTGAGTGTTGTTTTTGGAAAAACTTTTGAGCAGATGTCATTAATGCACACACAAATAAACCTGTTTTTCATATATGTTTGACTTTTTTGTACCTTTCACCATGCTGTGATTTAATGTTGAAAATGATGTTTAATTTGTTGCACAGATAATTTTTTTTTCATTTTATAAGACTGCAGTGTAACATCAGCAGAATTATGTAAGTTTTATCTCTTGAGTACATTTTATTCCAGTGTAGTGTAACCTATAAGTAATTTATTTAATTTAATCAATAAATAGCATATCTGTTGACAAATATATAAACAAATTCATTCATTAATTTTCTTTTCGGCTTAGTCCCTTCATTAATCTGGGATCCCCACAGCGGAATGAACTGCCAACTTATGCAGCATATGTTTTATGGATGCCCTTCCAGCTGCAAACCATCACTGGGAAACACACACATACACCATGGACATGGACAATTTTTTTTAGCTTACCTAATTCGCCTTTAGTGAATGTCTTTGGACTGTGGGTGAAACCGGAGTACCTGAAATGAAACCCACGCGAACGCAGGGAGAACATGCAAACTCCACATAGAAACGCCAACCGACCCAGACAAGGCTCGAACCGGCGACCTTCTTTCTCTGAGGCGACAGCCCTACCTACTGCGCCACCGTGTCGCCCCTGATATTAACAAATGTAAATATATATTTTTATAGTATAAAACAAAAATGTATAATAATAATAATATTAATAGAATCTTTGTTTATTAGTTATTTTATTTATTATATATTTTTATATAATAATTATATAGGTATTATATTATATATTATTATATTTATCCTATATAATTATTTTAACAATGCAAAAAATAAAGAAAATACTAATTAAATAATACACAATTTAATCAAAAGCTAAAAAAAATAATAAAAATAAAAAAAATTTAATAATTTTATTTTTATAAAATAAGGAAATTAAAATATGGTACGATGAGTTGAATAAATAAAATAAAGTAGCTTGATTGAGACTAAATTAGTAAAAAGAGTGTGTTAAATGCTTGATAAATGTCTAAATTATCTTACTGTTATAAAAATGACAAGCTGAGATAAATAAAACAGGTGGAAATATATGAAAATGTTTTTAAAACATAGTCAAATTTATTTATACACATATTCTTTGTAGCGAGTTAGGAGTTGAGTGTTTCAGCAGTGTTTACAGTGTGTAGTGCGACTTTTTGCGTTTACTATAGGACAGCGACAATCTTGTAAAGAGAAGGAGGGAGGAGTTGAGTGCGTGGACGGAGCCAATCACCGACCAGCACTGACTCCCACCGACCACACGGTGGAGCTCCATCCTCGTCTTGACGAGAAGCCTGTGGTTGTCGGTAAGGGAGGTAGAAAGAAGAAAGGAGGGAAGAAAACAAAAAAGAAGAGGCCAAAGAGTAGGGGTTTCAAGAGTTTGGCCTCTTTTTTCTCTTGTTTATCCCCTTCTAAATCCACCAGAGCTCAGGTGGAGCAGGGTGAGGTGGACCAGGACACTGAGACCCCATACAGGAGGAGCACTGAGGGTAAATGACCAACTCTGAACATTAAGTCTCTTAATCATCATTAAACACAATAAAAAATTACATATCACCATCACATGTTGTAAACATACAGATAAATGCCTTTATTGCATGATTTGATAAATGTTACATTATAGATATGATTAACAGAAGTTTAAGATTCCAATAACAAAACAAAAAAGTGTAATTGATGTGGTTAATGTTCTTTTCTTTAGATCCAACTTCTCTGCAGGACATTGTCTATTCTGTTGAGGACAATGATCACCAAAATCCTTCTACTAGTAGTCCTGATGTCCTTCCCACTGCCGAGGAAGTTGAAGTGAATGAAGTCCAACCTCAAGATCAAGACGGTCCAGTCAGTTCGTTAGCAGATGTGAGTGAATCACAACTGCTGAAACAGCTGGACTGTACTGAGATCATAAAGACTGAGGGTGAGTTACTGTCATAATCTAAATTATGACACACACACACAGACATAATTTTATATATTTAATGCTGTTTTTATCATTTTAGTGCTTTTATAGTTGTGTCAGGGGTTTAGCGAACATTTACAAACGAGCTGGACAACTGTATGAGAACCAAAAGTTTGCATTTTTTTACATTTACACAATCATTAATTAACTGTTTCTAATTGGACTTTCTCTAAAAGTGAGGGGGACGTATCCCCCCTGTCCCCTCAGTTGCTTTGCCGCTGGCTGTTGTTGTTGTTTTTAGATAATGATTTGACAGTAATTGCGGTTGACTAATTATTTGGGCACTGTGACTTTTTGAAAAGACAAATGTTCATATTTCTTAGTTGATTCCTGAAGTATTTATAAATACAAGTATAAGCTAGCAGGTAAATAAATGATGCTTCTTCATGTAATAATCATAATTAGATTTTTTGAGTTTCTTATTATGTTTTCAACTCTTTCAGTTAGTACATATTAACTAATATAATGTTACTAATGTTTTTATTATATTTTATTAGATGACAGTTTATGAAGGGACCCGCTGTGAAGACAGCCATCAGGTGGCTGTGAAATTCACAGCGAAAGTAGAAAATGAGCCGTACATCAGCCTTGTAAGTAGACTACTCTATCTGTCTTAATTCTGCTCAGTTTGGAATTGCTAATATTGTAATGTAAATGATGGATTACAAATATTTCAGTAGACAAACTTGACTGGACTAAATTTGTATCTCAGAAACTGCTTCCATCTTACTATGATAAAAATGTTCTTTCTTCTAGCCTGACCATGCCAATCCAGTTCCCCTTGAGGTGGCCCTTACATTGCTGGCCAATCAAGGTCCCAGCTGTAAAAACATTATACAGCTGCTGGATTGGGAAGACCATCATGACCAATATATTATGGTCCTAGAGCGGCCCTCACCCTGCATGGATATGCATCTTTTTTGGCTGCATTATGACCGCGTCTTCTATGAGGAGATGGCCCGTTATTTTATGCGCCAAGTCATTGATGCTGCTGTTGTCTGCTGTTCTCGGGGGGTCTTCCATCGGGACATCAAAATGTCAAACCTCTTGGTGAACGTGGAGACCCTAGAGGTAAAACTTATTGATTTCGGATGTGGGGACCTCCTGAGAACATCATCCTACGACACCTACAAAGGTATGTATCATCTTTTGAACATGTCACTTGAATTCTAGACATTAACATTGAATGCATTTTCAGATAAGGAGAGGTCAATGATTAAATTGAGAACAGCAAAAGTGAGAACATGCAGCGATAAAGCAAACATGTGACAAAACTTTCCTTCTAGGAACAGAAAGGTACTGCCCTCCGGAGTTTATTGAGATGGGAGAGTACCATGGGAAAGCGGCGACAGTATGGTCACTAGGGGTCCTACTGTTCAGAATGATCACAAGCTTTTTCCCAGACTGCTCCGACATCGCTTACATGGACGTTAATATCTGGTTCCAGACTGGCTACTCAGATGGTAAAAGTATTATTACATTTTGCAGTTGTTAATCGTGTAGAATAGAGAAAACACTGAATTAATGGATAGCATAGGAATCTTGTACACTCTCAGAAATAAACGCGATCTGTCACTGGTGTGGTACCTTTTCAAAAGGTACACATTTGTACTTAAATGTTCCATATTGATACCTCAAAAGTATGTTCTAGTACCTAAAAAAATTAAGAGGAACACTTTTGTACCTTTTAGGTACTAATATGTACCCTTGAGGTATTAATATGGACATTTTAGGATCAAATTTGTACTTTTTGAAAAGGTACCACGCCAGTGACAGCTCGCATACCTTTATTTCCTGAGAGTGCAGATATTACAGTTCTAGCTTAGAGAACGAGTGCATAGTAATAACTCGACATTTCTTTGTCTGTCTCTACAGAATGCTGCAGTTTTATTCGGGGTTGCCTTAAAAGCAATCCTGAGAAGAGGCTGCCTTTGGATGAGCTGCTCTCCCATAACTGGTTCAAGGTAGCACATCTAAGACTGGCTAAATAATAATGAAAATAAATTGACATTTTGATGTTTTATCCACCTTTTTTGGCTTTTTTGCTAATTTAATTATCTGAACAATTCAATTCTAAATGTCTTTCAGATCACCCTGTAGTCATGAAGGAGCCCTGCATCTGGTGGGATAACATGGGTTTCCCATACATCCTTATTTTAGATAGGTTAGCAGCCTTAGCGTCTTGCTGGCAAGCCTTGGTTGCGTCTGGTGCCTTGACTTGAGGCAGTTCAGTTGTTTTCGCGTCTTGCAGAGCGACTGCCTGGGGATGAATTTGTTCTCTGTCATGCCCGAAACACAAGTCCCACTTACTGCCATGCCAGAGGCCTCTGCCACTAGTGCTGAGCTCCCAGATGCCATCTCACCAATGAATCAGAAGATGGCCACTATGTTGGTCAGCTGCCTTTGGTCCAGAGATCCTGTCAGGGCCTCTCCAGCAAATCCAGCAAAGGCTTTGTTAAACATTCCTGTCACTGCTGCTCCCTATCCACCAAGTCTCCAGATGACCATTTCACAAATCGTCAGAGCTGCTTAACCTCTTTGGTCCCAGAGGTTACTGCTAAAGCTGCTCTGGTCCAAGACGAGTCTGACTGAGGTCCTCCATATTTCCTTTCATTGGAGATTCCTTAAGAAATATATTACAGCTTTCAGCCACAATAACAAATGATTGTGAAAATGCACAAAAATGTGTTGTTGTTTTTTTTACAGAGAAGCATATTATACTGTATGTACAGTTTATGTTATGCATTTCATTCTTGTTTTAGCAGGTTGTGCTTATTACTTTAAATATTAATTTTACTATAATTAACCAGGTAAGGAACAGCTCCAAGTGACGTTCAGCCCACAGAGGTATGGCAAGCAGTTTTAGAATTTAGTAGACTACAGTGAAAAATAAATAAAAATACATATTCAGAGTGCATGGAATGGTGGCTCAGTGGTTAGCACAATCACCTAACAGCAAGAAGGTCGCTGGTTTGAGTCCTGGCTGGGTCAGTTGGCATTTCATTTGACATGCGCTATAGGTGAATTGGATAAACTAAATTGACTATATTGTATGTGAATGTGAGTATGTATGGGTGTTTCTCAGTACTTGGTTGCAGCTAGAAGGGCTTCCGCTGTGTAAAACATGCTGAAGTAGTTGGGGGTTCATTCCACTGTGGCGACCCATTATGAATAAGGGACTAAGCCGAAGGAAAATGATTGAATGAACATATTCAGTGTAATTGTGATTAGTATACATCTGCAGACCTTTACTGGAAGATTTTTAGTAGTATAAATTGCTGTTAAACATATAATTGATTTTACATAGACATAATTGTAATTTCAGATAATTTGACGTGTCAGTTTCCCATTTTAAAATGTTTTACATAAAAAACATCTTTAAAAACAACAGTAAAGGGCAAGTTAATGTTACTTTATGACTTTACCTAATATTCTTATTCTCCCAGTAGAGGGCGATCATAAAGATTCAACTTTCTCACCATGATTCTGAAAACTGAAAGACTGATTTTTGGGAAACTTTCCACATTATTTTTTCCCAGTGACTTTAATATGATGTCATTAAATTAAAGACTAAATAAACTATGGAACTGTCACCTTTTACTTTTGTAGAGGCACAGTCATAGACCAGCTGTCACAACTTATTGCTTGAGATAATGTTATTGCATCCCAATTACGCCTACATACATTAATTTTATATTAGTTATATAGTTAGAAATTGACTTTAATATCACCTTTATAAAAATATCATCTGTCACCATCAGTCAGAATATTCTCTAAAGGCTACATTATGGCTGGATTGCAGATGACTGTTCAGCTTGACAAGTACGTAGGCATGTAATTATTGTCAAGTCTACATCAACAGTAAGAGAAAAAAACACATGTGACCAGCATGAGGACTCAGTCTGCACAAATATTAAGCTTGGACATGAGATACTTTAAAGAATCCCTTAAAAGTTCACTTTTATTTCATTATTAAGTACAAATGGTAAGGTTTGAATTGGATTTAGCAGTGATCACATGATGTTAAGATTTTATTCAGTTGGGTGTACAGAAGTAAAAGTTACATATATTCCAGTAACATACATGTTCAGATGTTTGGTCTTGTATGCATAGTATATACCAATATACTGTGTCTATAGAAAGTCATATCCTGTGAAAAATCTATACCTTTACTCACATTACACTCTGCTTTCAAAAGACCTTTGCGACAAAGTTGTAGCAAGGCACAGGGCTACAAAAACAAAAAAAGGCTGGAAAAGTTATTAGGAATGTGATTTGATTTCTGGCTGTATGAAAAATCAAGCAATTATTTCAAAGGGGTGATCATTTTTATAGGTTCATTATGTCAGTAAAACAGAAGCAAGGATACCAAAAGCATTTGACTTTGTACATTACTTTCCATCTCTGTTATAACTCTTCTAAAACACTTTCTATGGCGTTAAGCAAAGACTTTTTAAAAATATGTCTGATCGGCAGTCTTTTAGGGCTATAAGAATTAAATGTACTCAATATATTAGACAGGTAAAGCCAAGTTATTTTAAGCACTATTTGGCTGGTAATGGTCCTGATTCTCAGAGGTTCTGAAATATTTTCAATACAATGGAAAATGAAACAATTTCCTCACATCTTCTAATTTTAATTAAGCACGATGGGCTTGTTATCACAGATCAGCTCTCCTGTTAACCAGACATCAACTTTCCGCTCACCTGCCTCAGGTCTGCACACATTTTCTTTCAGGTACTGCTCAGTTTGGATACTCACAAATCAGCTGCATTGGATAATACAAATATTTTTATCCCTATATATTTTATTTTACCCTCCAGATAGTCAATGTATAATTTACACCCTGATCTAAATTGTGTGCAGTAGGCCTACCTGAGGAGCGAAACAGTGGCGCAGTAGGCAGTGCTGTCGCTTCACAGCAAGAAGGTCGCTGGTTTGAACCTCGGCTCAGTTGGCGTTTCTGTGTAGAGTTTGCATGTTCTCCCTGCATTCATGTGGGTTTTCTCCGGTTGCTCCGGTTTCCCCCTCAGTCCAAAGACATGCGGTACAGGTGAATTGGGTAGGCTAAATTGTCCATAGTGTATGAGTGTGTGTGTGTGTGTGTGAATGTGTGTGTGGATGTTTCTCAGAGATGGGTTGGGGCTGGAAGGGCATCCACTGCATAAAAAACATGCTGGATAAGTTGGCGGTTCATTCTGCTGTGGCGAACCCGGATTCATAAAGGGACTAAGCCGACAAGAAAATGAATGAATGAGGCCTACCTGAAAGATCCTGAAAAGTAATTGTGTTCCTTTAATCCTGAGAGTGTAGGGCGCCCCCTGCTTACAGGTAATAACAACAACATTAGTATTACAGCTTTACTCTGCTATTCACATTGATAACAATAGCTGATTATGTTGAAATTGCTGTAAGAATTGGATTTTTGTAGGTAGTGACTCCTGGATTCAGAAGAAAATAAATTTTAATTTGAACCTATTTACTTCTCACTACATAAACCTCTCTCGTTATATAATGAAAAAGTTGCTAGGAATAAATCTATTTTTATACTAATTGATTTGATAAAGGTTTAATGTTCTTTATTTGTTCATTTTAGTGAAATCTTCTTTTATAAACTGCCCATGGCTATGCCCACAACTTGGCCAATGATCATATATTATGCACACAAATATACACAAAAATATAAGAAGTCAGCTTTGTTGCTAGATGGCATTAGCATTTATGAAAAGGAATGTAATAATAAACAAATTAACCACATTTTTCAGCAAATAAATCACTGTTTCACAAAGTAGGTCCCATTGGGCTGCATACATTAATAATATAGACTGGAGGAAAAGCAAGGTTGTTATATAAATATTTACTTACTAATAAAAGGAAGGGCGACACGGTGGTTGCTGATTCGAGTGCCAGCTGGGTCAGTTGGCGTTTCTGTGTGGAGTTTGCATGTTCTCTCCATGTTGGCATGGGTTTTCTCTGGGTGCTCTGGTTTCCCTTACGGTCCAAACACATGCGTTATAGGTGAATTGAATAAGCTAAATTGGCCATAGAGTATGAGTGTAAATGTGAGTGTATGGGTGTTTCCCAGTGCTGGGTTGCAGCTGGAAGGGCATCCGCTGCATAAAACATATATGCTGGATAAGTTGGCGGTTCATTTCGCTGTAGCGACCCCAGATTAATAAAGGGACTAAGCCAAAAGAAAATGAATGGATGAAAGAATGAATGAATGAATGAATGAATGAATGAATGAATGAATGAATGAATGAATGAATGAATGAATGAATGAATGAATGAAGAGTGAGGAAGTGCATAATAAAATATTTTATAAATTATAAACCTAATTGGTTCGGATGCTTAAAAAAATATATATATTTCTAGTACCTGCATATTTTGTGTAAAAGAAGATAACACATTGATACATTTATTCTTTTTTTATGTGTCCAGATGTTTTGGGTCAATATCTATAACCTTTTTAACAAACCTCCTAACTTTTAATCTTATAATTTGAAAGAAAATTATTTGTTATTAGTCTGATTTTGCAAACAAATCAAAATAAAAAAATTTTCAACTTTTTTTGGTAACACTTTATTTTGATGGTCCATTTGAGAATTAGTAGACTGTCTGCTTAATATCTGCTGATACTGCTACTTCAACAGACATTTAACTGACTATGAGAAACTTTGCAAGAACATTTCAACTTACACTAACCCTAACCCCAACCTAGCAGTCTACTTATAATCTAATGACAATTAGTAAGTTAGCATGTATATGCAATGAAACTTAAATTTAACAAACTGACTATCAAAATAAAGTTACCTTTTATTGTAGAAAATCCCTATACTTTTCCACAGGATCTGAATGACACAACTCAAATCTTTTTGTCTGACAACTAAAAATGTGTAAGATTTTTGGCACTATTTAAATAACTTGTCTATTGGCTAAGCAAATAATTTTGAGTCTAATAGATGTCTAATAGACATCTAAAGACAGCTTGGCTAAAACAAGGTTAAACTTGGCCTGTCAGTGAAAATCTTATAAGAATAGCCCAAAACTTAGACTAGTCCCCGAATAGACAGAATAGACAGAGTTTATATGTGTAGTCATTCAGTTCTGTTTATTTGATGACTAGTCTAGTTTTGTCCTATTCTTAGACGTCTATGAGATTTTCACAGACATCGCAAATTTAACCTTGTTTTAACCAAGACGACTATGTTTACATCTTATTTCAAACATCTTATAAATACATAAAATGCTTGCTGGGGAGTATTGATAAAGTTTAGATGGCTTTCCTGCAGTGCTCTTAAATTATTTTATTTTATACTTTATATTAATTTCTTTTCTTGAAATAAAAATATATATATATTCCTAACCTAAAAGTCTATACTATAACTCAATAAAGAAATCTTTTCAACTTTATTTTAACATTATTTATAGAAATCTACTACAAATATTAGAAAACTATTAGAACTATTAGAAATCTGTACATACAATCCAAATCTGTACATACAATTTCAAATCTGTACATACAATTCAACAGAGCTTATTAACTAACTGCATCTCTGTTCAATGTTTATTTTCTTGTTATCACTTGTCACTTTATGTACACTGGAAGCTTCTGTGGCCAAAACAAATTCCTTGTGTGTGTAAAGCACACTTGGCAACAAAACCGATTATGATTCTAAGAGAGCATTTTTTTCACTATTTTTGTTTCATTATTGATGTTTCTGTATCAAATCAGCATAAAAAAATGGAGCTCTCTAGATTCACAAAAAAGCATTATTGTTTATTTCAAATGTTTGTAGTTTGTAGTTCATTTCATAAACCAAACCATTCCTTTTATTTATTTAGCAATAAATGTAAATCAGTGTAAATTTGCATTTTTAAGTTAGTAAATAACTCATTTTAAACCACAGTTGCTGTTTTCCTCATTTTGGAGAATTGCGTAATATACCCCCTCAAGAGACCACGTATAGAGGTCAACAAGAGAAATGTTTTGGCCTTTAATGTCTTTAACAGAGTTATGGGCATTGAAGGGCCAAGCAAATAGGAAATGCAATTAGTGCTTTGGGGGAACAAAGACTGAGAGCCTTTGGAGACAAAAGGTGATGATTTCTGTGACCTAGGTAGGAAGGACGCAAGAATTATAAGCACCTATGCTTTTCCTGGTGGAGGGTGGAGAAGAGATATTTATCACAAGATGCAGAACGCTGTGCACATTTTTAAAAGACCCCTAAGAAACAAATCAACGTACTTTGGGGCATTCTGAAAATACAACCCCAAATCAGAAAAAGTTGGGAGAGTGTGGAAAACATAAATTAAAACAAAAAGTTACAGTAGTGATATCTAAATACTTTGTCTTGTATTTCATTACAGACAATACAGCAAACATTATTTAGTGTGTTTCTCGTGATATTTACTGGGTTTTTTAATAAACATGTATTCTAATTTTGATTCTTACAACACATATTAAAAATGTTGTGACAGGAGCAATTTAGGGCTAGTAAGCAGGTAAATTGGTTAAATAAGGATGTGATTTGAAACAGGTGATGTCAACAGGTGATTGTAATTATAATTTGGGTACAAAAGCAGCATCCAAGAAAGGTCAAGTACAGGGGTCACCAATCCTGGTCCTGGAGGGCCGGTGTCCCTGCAGGGTTTAGCTCCAACTTGCCTCAACACACCTGCCTGGATGTCTCGAGTATACCTAGTAAGACCTTGATTAGCTTGTTCAGGTGTGTTTGATTAGGGTTGGAGCTAAAATCTGCAGGACACCGGTCCTCCAGGAACAAGTTTGGTGACCACTGGTTCAGAGGATCGCCAGTTTGCAAATAAATACATGAGAATATTATTGAAATGTTTAAAAACAATGTTCCTCAAAAAAGTTAGGAAGAAAGTTGGATAATAATAGTGCATAAAATAATTAAAAGATTCAAGGAATCTCGAGAGAGGCGGCACTGCAACAAGTATCATCATTCATCTATAAGCAAAATCACCACATGGCCTCAAGGCTACTTTAGCTAATGCCAGTTAAAATTGTACTGTGCCAAATCGCACTGAACCCCTATGTTAACAGTGTCCAGAAGAGCCGCAAACTTCTCTGGGCTTGGAGGCATCTGGGATGGACCATCACACAGTTAAAATGTGTACTGTAGTCAGATAAATCAGTTTTTCGGCTACAAGAAATACAAAAAATTGATGCTGTGTGCTCCAGACCAAAGAAAAAGGATCATCCAGACTGTTACCAAGTCTAAAAGCCAGGATCTGTCATGTCAAGTGCCCTTGCCAAAGTTAATTTGCACTTCCATGCATATTTCAACAAGACAATGCAAAACCACATTCTGCACACATTACACTCTGAGAAGGTACGTGAGCTGTCACTGGGGTGGTACCTTTTCAAAAGGTATACATTTGTACCTAAAAGGTCCATATTAATACCTCAAGGCTACATACTAATACCTAAAAAGTACAAAAGAGTTCCTCTTACAATTTTTTTGGCACTAATATATAATTTTGAAGTACCAATATGGACCCTTTAAATACAAATGTGTACACTTGAAAAGGAACCACCTCAGTGACAGCTCACATACCTTTATTTCTGAGAGTGTACAAAGACCTGGCTGCGAAGGAAGAGGATACACATACTTGACTGGCCTGCCTGCAGTCCCAACCTGTCTCCAGTAGAAAATGTGTGGTGCATTTTGAAGTGCAAAATGCAACAATGAAGAGCCCGTACTGCTGCCCGCCTTAAGACTTGATTGCAGGAAGAATGAGACAAAATTACACCTGAAACACTTCATCACTTGGTGTCTTCAGTCCCTAAACATCTTATAAATTGTGAAAAGCAATGGCAACATTATAAAGTGGCAAATGCTTTACGGTTCTAACCTTTTTTTTTATTTGTTGCAAAAAACAAAAATGTAATACATGTTTTGTTTGTTTGTTTGTTTGTTTCAATAATTATCATGATGAACACATTAAATATTGTTTGTTGTATCATCTGCAATGAAATACAAAGTAAATTTGTAAATAATAAAGTCAAAGTAAGTTTAGAAATCCCTACTTTTTTTCTATACTGTTACAACTTTTTGTGATCTGGGGTTGTAAAACAACTCATGTGGACCATCCAGTGGCCTTTTTTCTTCTATCATTTGGGATCAGTCACATTCATGTCAAGTTCAGAAACAATAGCACTGAACACAAACAGCGACTGCATTTTCCTGACATATATCTTCAAAGTAGTTGTCTACACTGTTTGACAACAGGACATCTTACTGTCTTAAGTGGAAAATCAAGCATGTCAAACAAAGGATATCCTTTAAGGATTGCGGGCTCTATTTGTGACGCCTCCATATATTAATTGGCGCCCTGCTTCTTGGCTTTTGTCTGATTCACCATTTTGCCATTCTTGGTGCCAGGATACTTGTTGACATGGGAAACCATTTTCATTGTTTTACATCATGTTCACTTTGCACATGTTGCCATCTTGCACTCCAAGATTGTAACAGTATTCACCGACATATTTAGCAGCAGAATGGATTCACGCTTTACTGAGTTTAACTTTCCTGCATGTTGGGTGAGTGATTACTGGGCATGACACTTAAATGGATTTGCTTTGGTTGGAGAGCGGCTCTGTTTTTAATAGTGCTTCCCATTGACGCAAAACAATGACAATAGCCTGATGGTTAGCCAGAGCTATTTTAGGCTTATGCGAAGTGGACCCATTGAAAATTTCATTGATAGTTCTTCTTGTGCGTATGTTCATTTTACTGCATCGGTGTCACCTGTGGCCTGGAGTCATTGTATTTTAATATAAACACATTTGTTCAATTTGTTTCCGGCTTGCTAAGTGGCAGAAGGAATGCCAAAACATTCTGTACTAGTTGTGTTCAGGGCTGAGCTGAAAGTTTCGCAATATTAAAGGAATAGTCCAGTCAAAAAGTCATCATTTACTTACCCTTATTTGTTCAAGACCTATTTGAATTTTTGTTTTTTGATGTTGTTGTTGTTGTTGAACACAAACAAAGATATTTTGAAGAATGCTGGAAGCTGGTACCCATTGACTTCCATAGTATATTTTCTCCTACTATGGAAGTCAATTGGTGCACAACATTCTTCAAAATATCTTCTTATTTGAATCATAAAAGTACATTATTAATGATCATATAATTATAGGGTGAATTTTGGGATTAGGTCATTTTCATTTTGGCGTGAACTGTCACTTTAAGTTGATACCTAAGACAGATTTGTCCCTATTATATGTATAGCAATACATAGCGGAATAAACCGCCTACTTATCCAGCATATGTTGTACACAGCGGATGCCCTTCCAGCTGCAACCCATCACTGGGAAATATCCATACACCCTCATTCACACAAATACACTATGGACAATTTAGCTTACCCAATTTACCTATACCACGTCTTTGGAATTGTGAGGGGAACTGGAGCACCTGGACGAAACCCACGCCAACATGGGGAGAACATGCAAACTCCACACAGAAATGGCTACTGATCCAGCTGAAGCTCGAACCAATGATTGTGCTACCCACTGTGCCACCATGACGCCCTATCTGATGCTTGATGACATTTCTTACAAATTTAAAATAAAAGTGTGGTCATTTTGGGGTTCATAAAATAACTAAAAATGGCCAGGTATTTATACATTTATATATTCATTAACAACACAATTTAAATGTTTTAACTTCAGAATAGTTAAGAAATTAGTTCTGTATTTGTTGGAATTTTCCTGTTTTTCAATCAAAACTAATGAAAACATTTGTTATGCTGGCCAATTGTTATTTTTAAGAACAAAATAGCACTAAATGTCAAAACATTTATTTTAAAAAATTGGAAGAAATGTTATAAGACCATTGGAGAATTTAGCAACTATTACTAATTTAGCCATACAAAAACAAATGCAGTTAATTTTTTACTTTGTTGATTGATAGCTCTGAGAACCATGACTTGTAAAGGCATGTATAACTGTATATGTGTAAATGACATATGTCATCAACCATTAAATATACTAAAACAAAAAGGCGGAAATGTAAAGACTAGTAAAACATGTTTGCTTTTTTTTTTTTTTGTTCAATGATTTTTTATTTTACAAAGCACAAAGATAAATAGTTTACAAAAAATACTGAGTAAATTACAGTGATAAATTTAATATATACAGTTGAAGTCAGAATTATTCCTTGCTACTATAGCTATAACTTGCTACATTACCCTAACCTACCTAGTTAACCTAATTAACCTAGTTAAGCCTTTAAATGTCACTTTAAGCTGTTTAGAAATATCTTGAAAAATATCTAGTAAAATATTATTTACTGTCATCGAAGCAAAGATAAAATAAATGAGTTATTAGAAATGAGTTATTAAAACTATTATGTTTAGAAATGTGTTGAAAAAAAACTGCTCTCCGTTTAACAGAAATTGTGGAAAAAATAAACAGGGGGCTAATAATTCAGGGGGGCTAATAATTCTGACTTCAACTGTATATGTATTTATATACAAGATATATATTACACAATATATACAAGCATAAATGAAATTAAGGCACAAACAATTTCTTCCTACAAAATAACATTACTATTCATGTTAATAATTATTATTCACAATACAGACTTGCAGTGGTAAGTGCATATAGGAGTTCTATTTTCAACCCGTTAATAAATCAGTCTTTATACAGACGCTCCTGGGATTTCGCCAGGTCTTTGTTCACTCCCTCAGTTTGGGAGTGAATATCGATGCAGCTCCTTCAAATGCAGATTTATCTGTGCTGTAAATCAGACACAAAAGGTCATGAGTTATGTAAAGCACAATAAACAATAATTAAAAAAGTCCAGAATCAAACTACCTCCGCTTTAATTTACCTTGACTTATTGGATGACTGTCCACTGCTGTTCTAGCTCCTCCAGAAGTTGCGCCAAATCCCGTTGGATTAGATCCCACTGAGCCAAAACCTCCTGTTGCTGGTTTTCCCACTCCTACTCCACTTGATCCTGCACTGCCAAATGCTGTTGAACCTGTTCCAGTATTGCCAGTTGAAGGAAAACTTCCAGCACTACCCAATCCTGTCAGCCCTAGTCCTGCTCCACCAAAACTACTAGTCCCTGTCTGGGTTGGACCTGTTCTACTTGATCCTGGCCCACCTAATCCTGTGCTTGGGAGGGTCCCTGTTCCACCTAGAGGTGTATTAAGTGGTCCTGTCACACCTGATCCTGTGCTGCCCCATCTTGAGCTTGATCCTGTCCCAGTAATACCAGGATATGCTGGCCCGCTCGAGCCGGCCCCTGACCATGGCATGTTGGGTTTGCTCATTCCTGTTGAGCCCAGACCAGTATTTGGGATGTTAGGAGATCCAAAGGGGTTTGGCATGAATGGGCTAGTTCGCTGAATAGTAGAGAAAGTCATTAAAAAATTAATTTACATAATCATTTTGTTTTTAATTTTTAACTAAAAAAATACACAAACAGTATTAAAACATTATTACATTATTATTCTATTAATTATATTAAGTCTAAAAAACTCACCTTACAGCTGGCAAGCGAGGTATTGAGGTTGTCAATGGTGTTTGTGAGCATTTGAATTTTGTTTTCATTGACAGACAGAAGTTTGTCTTTCATCCCGTTGTCCCCTTTTAGTTTTCGGTTCTCCAGCAGAAGTTTTTCACTGTCTTGGTCGTTCTTGCGCTGAAGCTGCTCAAGACTATTGCGATGTTCACGAGTCATGGCGCTGCGATTCTGGTTACACCATTCAGCATCTTCCGTCAAACGTTTGTTCTGGGTCACATATTTGGCGTTTTCTCCATTAATCTTTGTGAACTGGTCACCCACTATGTTCAGATATGTTTGGAGCTTGTTCTCGACCTCTCTTGAAAGACTACTGCAGTTTTCGCGAATATTTTCAAGCTGATTACTCTGTTTATCACATGTCAGCATGAACGAAATGTGTTTTGAGAAGAGGTCGTCGATCCTTCTGAGAAATTCTTTGGTGACGTTGGGGATTCCTCGTAAGGATTCAACAAAGTCCTCTTTGCACTTCTTTTCATACAAGTGGAGCTCTTCTTCAAGGTAAGCCTTGTCTCGTCTCAGTCTGATTGCGTCCAAGTGAAACTCATCCTTGTCTTTATTGGAGGTGTCTAACTCGGATCTCAAAATGGCCACAGTTTGAGTAAAGTTGTCTTTGATCAATTCTAATATTTCATTTGACTGCTGTAGCATGCTTTGCAAGCGTTTGTTGTTTTCTGGAGGAGAAAACAGTTTTAAAAAATTTATGTTTGCTAACATACGCTCAAAAAAAAATTTGTGGCTTGTTCAAACTACTTATGTAAAATTAGTTGAAACAACACAATTCTTTTGTTTTTTTCTTTTGTTTTTTGTTCAATCCACTTAAATTTGTAAAAACGATTAAGTTAACCTAATCAATTTGCATTTGAACAACAGGAAGGAATTGTGTGGAACCCAATTTTTTTACTATGTACACTCAAAAAACGATGTTTGCTGCTTGTTCAAACTACTTAATTAAAAAGAGCTGAATCAACACAATTCTTGAGGATTTTGGGGGATAAATTATTTGTTTTATGTCCAATCCACTAAAACTTGTAAAAACGTTGACGTTAACTAAACTGATTTGTGTTAAGACAACATGAAGGTATTGTGTGGAAGCCAGCATTTGTACAGTGTAGGATATTTACATTTTATTACTGAAAGAAATTGGAATTCATATCCAAATTGAAGAATGTCAGCAACTAAGCAGAATTCCATAGTTTATTTTCCTATAACGAAAGTCAGCGGCTACACTTTGGTTACAAAATATCTTCTTCAAAAACATGTTTCTAAAAAAGCTGCTTTCAACTTGAGGGTGAGTAAATGGCGAGTATAGTTTCATTTTGTAGTGAACTATCAATTTAACTTTAGATTTACAGTCAGTGTGTTAAATAAACAAAATCCACAACTTTTATACAGATCAACCTGGTAAAAGTAAAGTAAATTTTAAAATGATAATAGTATGCTGAAAACCCATCTCACCATTTGAATCTGGACAAAATGCAGGAGGGCATGCGCGAGGTGCTGCCATTCTTTGCAAGTCACATCGACACTGTAAAACATAGCACACAACAAACATAGTGATGTTATTCTGAATATCTGTCTACTCCTAAATTACCATTAACACATACAGAATGATCATATAACCAATTGAGAACATTCTTACAACATTAAAAAATAACATTTTAGGAATATTGACAAAACTTTTCAGAGAAAAAAATACATTTTTGTAATTTGAAAACACAAAAATAATAAATGTTTCACCAAAGCCTCACCATTGTTGTTTGCAGGTGCTTTATTGTCATAGATGAGGTGTTTGCTAGTTTGCGTAATTCAGCCACAAGCTTGTCATTGCTTAGCTTTGCAGTGAGAGTGACATTCAGAACTTTGGTGAGGTTCTTTTCCTTCCCTCTGAGAATGAAATTTTCCATAGTGAGCTTGCTGACACTTTGGTCCAACTCTTGCAGTCTCTTCTCCTCGACCGTATGCTCAGGTTGTCCATACACCAAAAAGAGCACCAGACTTGCGATGATCAATGACTGGATAAGCGAGGAGAAAAAGAAGACAATCTTCATGTAGTAACCACAGCTCTTGCCTTTCGACTTGTGCATCTTCTTGGCAGCCAAGCCAAAGTTGGCCTGAGAATAACTATTGTTGTACATCACTACTCAACCAATACAAACTATTCTCCTACAACTTCAACAGCAAAATAGATGTTCAAAATCATAACGCTGCCAGTTTATATTGTTTTCCTGCACCTCCCATTGCATGACGCTTCCCTGGTCCACCCAATGGTCATGATTCTGGAGATAAGAACAACATCACGCACTGCCATGGGGGAGGCCCAAACCCAAACTGTACATTGTTCTAATAAGTATGTCCTGCCAAAACAGATCCTTTGTTTGACAGCATGTTGTCACTTGAGAAAGCACGTGGTCGACTGTTTGACTACGTGTTGTTTTGAAAAGATATTAGAGATGATCTCGGGCACTGATTACAATTTTTATTTAGCGAAATACCTCTCAAAACCAGTTTATGTTACTGTTATGTAACAAATGTTCAGAAATATATCGGATTTGATAAACCAATTTCCTAAATGGTTAAATTCTTCCTGGCATAGGTTGGATGCGGATGTGGTTTGTATATTGTACATTAGTAAAACATTATCTCTGACCAACAAAGAGAGTTTAGGTTGTAAAGCAAAAAGTAACACTGTGATTTTCTGCAAATATATACTGTAGCTACATATATTTTTTTGGACATTTAATTATTTTAATAGTCAGAGAATAACAATATTATGAAAGTAATCGGCTTTCCTGCCAGGAATTGTTGAAGTGCCACCCCGACTCCAAGAGGAAGCAGTAATTCAGCTGAGTCTCAGAATGACAAACGCAGAAGGTACTGTCTGGACACTTCTAGGGTAAACTACAGAACAAATGAAGGAAATCACCAATAAACATAGATGTATACACATCTGCTGACATTATCAAGAATTAATCGTCCTGTTTATCTGTTACTAAAATACGGCTGACGTTGAAATTGTCATCATCTTACAAGTTTTGTTCACACACTGTTGTTTCAAATGTTTCCAAAACGTGGCAACTTCCCAAAGTGCACGTTACCTTGTTAAGATTATAACTTTCGTATTATGTAAATCCACTGGAAAGACTTTATATAATGAGGTCAAAATAATGACGCCACAGTAATCTAGGGGTGACGAATTAACCAGTTGCTAGCTACTGAACTGTTAAGATGCCATTCCCAATAGTTCTCCCCAAATTTATTAGATTTCCTACGGATGCTCAAACAAATAAAGCATTTTTCTGAAAGTTCAGTCTAAGACTGCCCCAGTCTCTGCTACTAAATTGGGATAGAAATAAAAAGAAAATGTTACCTTTAAAACCTGTGAGGCTCTGAATATCACCACTAGGTGGGGATATTTGCAAATGACACTTAAATAACCCTGATCTAGCCTTTTGCCACTGACGCATTCAATCCAAAATGACAATTTCCTGAATATTCATTTCCCGGACATCCAAGATATATTATCTTTCTTATTTTCGATGAGAAATTTAGGTTAAAAGTGAACAGAGATTAATTAGACCATTTTGACTGTCAAAAATCAATCATTTACCTTCTCTCGTCGTTCCCACACGGTCCCCGTTTTTTATTTACCCCTAACCAAACAAAACCTCCTGAACACTTTTAGGTTCTTTCCAGAACCTGTTAATTTCTATATGCGAACAAAAAAGTTAGCTGCTAAAGGCAGGTTTGAAAAAAATCCACATTAACCCAGCCGCCACATGTTCTTAGACTGCTAAGTGTTCAGTCATTTAAAAAAATAGGCCTATAGTCATCTTGTTTCTGTAATGTGGAGTAATAAAACAGTTTATTCACAACCTTTAGATTAGATGGAGAAAGAAAGAAAGAAAGAAAGAAAGAAAGAAAGAAAGAAAGAAAGAAAGAAAGAAAGAAAGAAAACTTTAAACTTGGATGACGAGAAGGCAAATAAACTGAATTAAAATATTTTGAGGGGAGATATTCCTTTTAAAGGCAATGAACTTATTATTATAATTGGAAAAATATTATAATAATATTTATTTATAAAATAAAAATACAGAAAAAGTTGGATTTTATGTTTTATTTAAAAATAAAACTTTCTGAAAATTCTTTAAAGCTTTTGTATGCTCCACCATGTTTTCGGGGCTTACTACAAGTCAGTATTAGGTTGGAGCTGCAACTCTACCCTAAACAGAGATCAGTCACATTCCAGAAACTTGAGGTCAAAGGCCAAATAAACACCCAGCTTGTATAATGCACATAACACGAGCATGCATTCTCAGACTCATCCTCCTCTTCTTTTGTGCTCTTTCTCTCTCCCTCTCTCTCCCTGTCTCATACATGATCAAACAGACATTTACATGCTGCCACAAACGACCAAATGCTTTAAAAGAGAAAGCCTTGATATAAACTTTTGATGCCAACTCAGTTGACTGTTGGTTTGGTAGTGTAACCCGGGTTTTTTTTTTTTGTTTTTGTTGGCTAAGAATATGATTTTTACAGAAACTGTGGAGAAGGAAGCAGAGGTTGAGATAGGGCAGCAAATTAAATGTTTTTCTCTTGAGTGTGACCCCTGAATAAATACGTGAGCTGAGAGCCAAGATCTAAATCTCCAAACAAGAGACAGCTGTCTCCTGAATCAACAACAAGATGTATAACTTTGACTGCTTTCACATTGTCTGAATGCAAAAAAAGAGCTAATTAAAAAAAACTTTAAAATCCTTTTTATACAGGAAACAGTGCCGAACCAAATGTCTGGCTGAACCTGCGACCTCGTGAAGCTCACCTGCATTGTTTGATAATTGCACAAACATCATTATTTTTCAAAATGATGTCTTTCTAACCTTCTGACCTCTTGCTATATACATCAGGACGACTGAAGTCCAATCTTAGCCTACCTGTATATGAGCTCTCAGGTTCCCACTAACAGTATTTGGTCCTTTTTAGCCACTTTGGTCATAATACATCTCACTACATAAGATATATTCTTTAAAACTGTCTGTTTGTACATTACCAGTATTTTTAATTACAATATCGTCACCTTATAATTAGAATTCTAAGGTTCTATCTGACATGTTTGACAAAATTGAGTTACTGACATATTCTCATTAAATAACAACTTCTTTACATTATGGGATGTCATTTCGAAGTTGTTAACATTTTAGGATATTTTATTTTAAAAACAAATGTTACACACATACTGCTGGCTATATGAAATGCAAAAACTTTAAAGCTCAATATCTTGAAATCATTCAGAACGCAGATAGAACCTTATAATTCCAAGGTGACGATATGTATTTTAAAGGGCGGCACAATGGCTTAGTGTATGTGTGAATGCAAGAGTGTTTGGGTATTTGCCAGTACTGGGTTGCGACTGGAAGGGCACCGGGTGCGTAAAACATATGCTGAAATAGTTTGTTCGGGCAACACCTGATAAAGGACTAAGCTGAAGGAAAATTAATACATGTATTTGAAAGTGACAAGTATCTTAGTGGGTTTCATTTGTACTTTAAATAAATTAGCTCTGTGTGACAAGTAACTAATCCAACAACTAAAAACCTTTTGCACATATTTTGAATTCCACAAGGGATCTGTGTGTTTCCGATAAAAACTATTATTTCCAACTAACATATTTTTAAAGTAATTTCAATTGTTGAAGGTGCAATTCTAGATTAAACAAACAATTAGCTATGAATTTTGACTCTAAATTCCTAATTGTCTGCTTATAGTTAGTAGATGGGTTTAGTAATCGGATTATGGATGTAGAATATAATCATGTAGACGATGTACTTGATAAGTAATCACCCAATATGTTAATAATTGGCATGCTAATGGCCAACTAGTTAGATGTGAGAGTAGTTATATACTTCAAAGATTAACTAAAATTAGTACAAATACACTGTAACCAAAAACAAATGTTTAGGCATAAAAATATTTGCAACTAAACATATTTATTAAGTTATAGTTTTACTAGCGACACGCTGTCTCAGTGGTTAGCACTGTTGCCTCACAGCAAGAAGGTCGCTGGATTGAGTCTCGACTAGGCCAGTTGGCATTTCTGTGTGGAGTTTGCATGTTCTCCTTGTGTTGGTGTGAGTTTCCTCCGGGTGCTCTGGTTTCCCCTAGAGTCCAAAGACATGCGCTATAGGTGAATTGAATCAACTAAATTGGCCGTGTATGTGTGTGAATGAGAGGGTATGGATGTTTTCCAGTACTGGTTTGCAGCTAGAATGGCATCCACTGTGTAAAACATATGCTGGATAATGGCGGTTCATTCTGCTGTGGCAACCCCTGATGAATAAAGGGACTAAGTCAAAGGAAAATAATTGAATGGTTTTACTAGTATTCTGTTAACCGTAACTGTAACTGTTGTCAATTTCTATGGTTTCACTGTGGCATCTTGTTAGGTACAACTTGTTCTTTATAATTAAAATATTTACATCTTAGTACTTATACACTGTAAAAAAAATATAGTGAACTGCATTTGTTACCTTGGTGAACTGCATTTGTTTCCTTGAGTCAGTATTAGATGGATGCAGCAAACAAATAAATAATATTTATTACAATGTTATTAATATAGTTTACCATTTTAGTGTAGTTGTATTCCAGTTTCTTATTTGCAAAATATTTAAATGAAGTACAAAGAAACTTATTCCTATAAGCATTACAAATGAAAATCATTTAAGACTAAAAAGGCGTAAAATCGGGATAAAATTTTCCTTTATAGCATCTACACAATGTACTTGTAAAATCCTTTAGCAATTGAATTAGTTTAAACCATTTACTCTAAAAGTTTATAAAACAGTTCTTGTTGTTATTTACCAGTTAAACTTGTTTTATGCTGCATATTGTGAAAAGCTCATACCATGAATTAGAAAAGCTTCAGTATTTATCACAATATAGAAAACCTGATATGTATAAATAAGTCCAACTAATATAAATATATTGCTATGTTTTAATCATTACATTATTATTATTAGAAAGTTGATTATATTATATTATATTATATTATATTATATTATATTATATTATATTATATTATATTATATTATATTATATTATATTATTATATTATATTATATTAATCTCCTGAGCTTGTCTAGTCACTAAATGCTCTCTCCTGCCATGTATTTACTGGTCTGGCGTCCTGTAGGCATATTTGCGGTCCTTTGAAGCAGCCCGAGGTCACTGATCTCTCAGGAGCAAAACACCACATTCTTTTTTGTGTGCCCAGCAGATCTGCTCTTTGACTTCTTTGCCCATATATGGCAGAAGAAACCATGGTAACCGTGGGCTTGAATAGCTGTGTCAAATCCCTCCGCACCCCCTCTCACATGAACACACACACACGCGCTCGCTCACAGGCACGCGGCGCGCGCACTCTACTGGACACTGGCTCGCGCTCTCTTGTCCTCCTCAAGCCCGCGCGACTCTGCCACTTCTTAAAACAGGTAAGGATACGGAAACGTTCCCCGGGTTTTGTCACCGTCAACGGCACGCTAAGGTCTAATTCGCGGCGTCAAAGGTGAGTGTAAATGAATAGAGTGTTCGCCGAAGTCAGGAGTGAGGTATGTCGCTAAAGCTATGGCTCCACCCCTCCCCCTGCATGAAGACCGCTGGAGGTTAGGCCGCATGTCTGTTACTGGCTCTCATAAAAACACCAAGAGACGGCCATTCAGGACCAGATCTCGGAGAAATCAATAACGAGAGCTTACGACGTGGTTTCTTGGCTTCCGTTTTCGGTTTAGTCGTTTCAGTCGCCGCCGCGGTAACTGTTGGAGGGACTCTAAAAGTCTGTCCTCATTTCACAACAAACAGGCGCAGTGAAGCACTTCCTTGAACAATCTGTATGCTGGAGGAAGACGCTGCTTTTGATGCCCAGATGCTCTGATTAGTGTGTATGATTGGCTTTTATGTATTTGTGTTTTTCAGGGCATTTATTTGTCTATCTTGTGAAGTTGTTTCATATTTGTTCTTTATTACTGGGACGGCCGGACATTTAGATAGGTTAACGTCAGACGTTTTAATTAATTCTCAAATAATTATCTCTGGCGACTAATAGTCAGTAAAATTATACTTAAAAAGTAATTCATATAAATAATGTGTGTTAACTACACATGCACGACCACAGTATGTAATGGAAAACCTAATTAAACTGTCAGGGTTTCCATAATGCTTTACAAGGAAATTTCTATAACAGTTACGTGAGTCATGTGACCAATGTTGTTTTTAGCAGATCTGTAACTTTTTTTGTGGTTTTTAATTTGAGTACTATTTTTAATAAAGTAATTACAAGCATGAAAATCAGCGTGGAAACCATGAAGTTTGGCTATTGGTTGATATTAGTAATTAACAGTTAATTGATTTTAAAGGGATAGTTCACCCAAAAGGAACATTTATTTGTTTATATATATATATATATTTATATATATATATATATATATATATATATATATATATATATATATATACATATACACACCCTCAGGCTATTCAGTTTATACTACTTGAATTTATTTCTTAAGATGAACATTAAATAATTTATTGAGCTGAAACTGTCATCCTTGCCCATTCGTAAAACATAGTGTTTATCACAATTTTATTTTAGTAGTTTAATATTTTCTTAATTCTTGCTTACCATGTAACCCAAATAAACAAGTTAAATAACATTAGATTTGTGCACACACACTCAATCCTGGAAGTTTCCAACTTACAAATGTCTTTTAAATATGTTATTAAGCTACTGTTGTTATTGTGTTCAGGAGTGAGTGCTAAGGCTGCTGATTAAAAGTAATAATATTGAAAATAATGTTAATTTGTCACAGACCTGTTGTTTTGCTTAATTAGATATCAGTTGGCTTTTAAAATGCCGGTAGTTGTTGATTTTTCGATTTATCAGAAACCCTCGTTTGAGCTTAAAATCTTTCTTGATGTTTAAGTAAAGAGTAAAGTCATCTTCATCTTGGATGACCTGAAGGTCAGTAATTTAACCGCACATTTTCAGGTGAGCGTTGCATTAAGTATCATCTTCTTTTACAGGTCCTTATTTGGAAATAAACTTCCAAACTCATTACCCTTGGTGTGACTAAAGAAGCGGATCCAAAGAATGAATATGATCAGTCAAGGAGGCAAAGCAACATGTACAGCCCGCTGGCTAAAGAAGAAAGTTAACTGACACAGACACACACAAGTGACTCAGAACTCGTGTCTGAGCCTAAATGTGTCAGACGAAGCTGCGGACAATTACCAGATCCAGAGGCCTTCATATCTTCTCATTTTAGAACACGCAGCTGTCAAAAAAAGGGGTCAAGTGAAACTGTCTGTGCCGACAGCACGTTTGGGAGTATCATTCTTCCTCGGTTGTGCTGAGAACTAAGCGATGGCCATGGTGAGAGGGGGGTGGGGAGATCCCAACGGGGAAACAAATGGACTTGGTGACAAGGGTTACCTGAGGGGAGATGAAGATGACGGGTCACCGCAAGGAGGCGGCAGCGACATGGAGGCCGGTGAGGATGATAAGGGATGTGTGGTGGACTGTGTTGTCTGCGGCGACAAGTCCAGCGGGAAACACTATGGTGTGTTCACCTGTGAGGGCTGCAAGAGCTTCTTTAAACGAAGTGTCAGACGAAACCTTAACTACACCTGCAGGTAATGCACAGAACTGAAGCAGTGATTATTAATGCAGTTGCTTTGCATGCTAATGTGAAGCTGTTTTGGTGCCTTTCAGATCAAACCGAGACTGCCAAATTGACCAGCATCATCGCAACCAGTGTCAATACTGCCGTTTAAAGAAGTGTTTCCGAGTGGGAATGCGTAAAGAAGGTAATTGTTTGATGCAAACACACTGATTTGTCAACGTAATATTAGATGTATAGTTAACAAAGAAGCTGTATCACTTATGTCCAGATTTAGACAATGTTTTCAAGCATACATTACCAAAATTCTGGGCTTGGCAAGTTTTTTTTATTTTATTTTTTTATGTTTCTTAAGTCTCTCAATCTTCTTTTCTTTGAAAAAGAATAAAACATGAATGGCATAAATTTCATTCAAATAATATTAAATGTGAAAATGTCTGATTTTTAAATATTTTTAAATTGGTTTGTCAAAAATAATTGTCTTTTGGTCAGTATGCTGTTGGTCACAACTCGCAGGCCTTTCCCAATTCCATCCCCCTCTCTCTCCCACGGTACTTTCTGTCTATGTACTGTCCTATCATATTAAAAAGAAAAATGACAAAAATCCTTAAATTATCATTTAAAAAAAGATAATTTTTTTGTTGGGAATAAAAATTATCATGTTAAGCTGTTCCGTAAAAAATGTAGAAATTGTGTTTTGAATATAATTTATATTAAATAGTTATTAAAAGCATAAAAAGCTGTGGATTGTGGAAACAAATGTGGTTGATTATTGACTTACTAATTAGTAACTAACAATGAATTGGGTTTTAAGGGATATATCGCACAAAATGAAGATTTGCTGTTACTTTACACAATCATTCAATGTACAGCAACTTCAGGTGACTTTATTTATTATTAATACGCTTGTAGGATCGCATAAAAATGATAAAAGTTTGAGAAAATTACAATAAAGAATATATATTTAATTGACCAGAAGCAAACAGCACATTTAAGATGGTAATGCAACCATGATGTAGAGGGAAATTCTGACTTCAGTTGCCACATCTCCAGACATTGTTCAGATCTGCAGAACTGTTAAGTTTGTATAATGTAGACTGTGTAGCTTTTAGGGTTCAAACTTTTTTTATTTAAGTCATGGTTCAGTGCTGGCAAAGTTTCTGTATGCATATACGTGAGAGCAAGGCATGATAGCTATTTGTGTGTGCTTTTGTATGGGAGATAAAAATAAGCAAATAGGTTGTTTTGCTGTTATAATATTCCCAAATTGTGTGTAAATAAGAACATGTGGAGAGTATGAAAAAGCATACTTTACGAATTAACAATCTGATTGCCATCTGCTTCAATTGCAGTCACATTCAGTTGTGTAATATAAGTGTTATATGCTTCATTTACTCAGACATTTTTAATTAATATATATAGTTAATGACACACAAATTGTAAAGGGTTTAATAGTGGTATAGTTCATTTTGAAACAAAAATAGCGAAATGTTCGTTAAGTTACATTTTTCATTGGAGGAAACAGCTGTGCTGATGAGGTGAACACAGAGAAAACCCAACTGCTCCTCCATGACATTGGGTGATACAAGGTTATCTATAGCTGCTTTTCCACTATCGTGCCAAACCGTTCTAAGAACACTTCGGTACGGTTACGGTTGTTTCTCCACTGAGCCTGGAACGGCGCGGCACGATTACAAACCGTTCTCGGCCCGGAATTCTCGGCACGGTTAGACAACCGTGCTGAACTGTGCTGACAGATTCTGTGTGTTGACGTCGCGACTCGGTTGCTAAGCTACCACAGCTGGCTCAGCAGAAGCGCGCTAGTCATCAGACATCCTCAATAAACTACAGTATATTTAATATAAAATAATGATCCAGGTCTAAACGATACAGTTTGAAAAGGGTTTTAAAACCATAGAGCAGTCTCTGGCAGAGAAGTGAATAACTCATCACATTCTTACGAAGATATTTTATTCATTAAAGTTATTATTTTATTGACTTGAATACAGACCTACTTCGCCTGCTGAATGTGAGTTTATTGCACGCAGCGCTGTATTTCACAGCACAAAACTCGCTCTGATCCGGGAGAGACATGCCAGCGACTTGCGCTGCTGACTTTTTTTTTTCCTGCTGCGCATCGAATAAAGCGAATAAAGTCACGCTTTGCATCGTCGATGTCCAAATTCCACAACAACATCACTATATCCATGGAACACGAACTTGCAGACTCTTTTAACAATGAGGAAATAATTGCACTTTTTAATTCAAAGCCAGGACAGCTTGTTAATACCGGCGAGACCACCTGAAGGACGGCGTGTTCGTGTTGTAATGTCGGCCGTCCAAAAGACTTTGCTTGAAAGCTTTACGGAGCGGCACTGTAACTGTCCAAGGTACTGTTGTATGATTTATATTATAGCATATGCACTAATAAACAAGTCAAAAGAATGAATTAATTAAATAAATATGGATTCTTAAATGTCAGTATTGCTTTTACTCAAAAAATATCAATACGTTTTGACAAATGTTTTATAAAAATAAAATGAGCAATTTTCATAATTTCAGCTATAGGCAATTATATGATTCAGTTATACATAAGTTATATGACATTTATGAGGCATATAACATGTTTCTGTGTTTTTTTTTTTTTTTGTGGTGATCTTTAATATAGCTACGCAAATATTTTCTAAAACGTCTAGCAATATTTCGCCTACAGCTTGTTAGTTAATTATGAACACAAAAATAATTATAAAAATAAAAATAAAATGATCAAAATAAAAAGATAATAAAGCAGCATTTTAGTGCTTTATATGCTTTAAATCCTGCAATATATGTGTTGTTTCATATTCGTTTTTTTCACTTGCTGCATTCGTTATTTAATGTTTGAATAGTAAAACAAATAACAGCCATCGCTTAAATGGTTTCATTTTACCATCAAAATGTAGTATATTTTATATCATTATCAACTTTTGATATAAATACGCAGTGTAATTTAATTAATTGTTAAAAATGAAATAATTTATGTGCTGTGTTTTTATTAGTGAAAGTGCCCGCTCACCTTTGACAAGGCCTGTCCAAAATTATATTTTTGCCACTATAATGCAAATGCACTATTATTGTTGTCTTATCATGGTTTATTTTTCTGTTATGTTCAGAGATTTTAAATATTATTTATTTCCCCTCCAATTATTTTTAATCATCACGTTACATTTTGGTAATTTTACCTCCAAATAAAATTTAGCCAGAGCTGCGCAACATATAAATAAATAAGGGTGCACATTTAGCACCCCTATTTGATAGAGCGGCATAACAGTGTTTAGTCACATGCTTTTGCTTTTATGAAAAATAAATAAATAAATAGTTTCGGCTCTTATTTAACTTTAATTGAACAAAGGGAGCCGTTTACATTGCGTTACCAAGGCAACTACTGATGCGTTTTGTGTAATGTTTTAAAGAGCTTTGTCGCAGCACGACAGTGGAAAATGAAACCGTATCCGTGCTGTCTGGCCCGGTTTGGCACGGAATGGAACAGTTCTGTTTAAAGAACGATTCAGCACGATAGTGGAAAAGCGGCTTATGTTAAAGAACTGCAAATAAGCAGATATCATAACAATTTATCGATAAACACACCTCGTTCTCTTACTGTCCACGGCTGTGGTTTGCTGATCAAATAAAAAACAAAAGACGGGGAGGAGCCGAATTCTGCCGGTGTTTTCATTTCAAATTTAAAGGGGACTGAGGCGATAATTTAGTGTACAGTTTTTAAGCGAATCGCAAAAGTTTTAGGGGGGCTCAGTAGAAATATAGGGGGGCTACAGCCTTCCTAAAATAGGCCTAGCAACGCCCATGCTCTGCACTATACTAATGACTTATTGGGTCTAAAACCATGTGTTTCAGTTTCATTGTCCAACCCCTGTATGTGTACACGTCATGCACATGTGGTGTAATGCATCAAAGATCTTATGGTTTGGATCACATTGCGCATTTTGAATCACGGATCAAACCATTTTTCGCATCAGCCAAAAAGGAGGACACAAATGTAATTTGCCATTTATTCATTACAAAAACAGTGATGCAAAAGTAATTTATGGTTTTAGCAGACATAACTTAGAACCTGTAGTTTAAAAAAATAAAATGAAGAAATAACCAGTTTAATTAATAATACTAATACGAAATGTATGAGTCTAAAATATATTTAATTAAAAAAAAAAAAAAAAATATATATATATATATATATATATATATATATATATATATATATATATATATATATATATATATATATATATATATATATATATATATATTTTTTTTTTTTTTTTTTAACCCAAAAATGAATTGAATTGTTATTAATTAATGGTAATTAATTTTTTACAGCTTTTTTCACAAACTTCATGCTGCAAAATTAACAAAACAGAGCATTAAGAATCCATGTAGTCTTATTAAAGAATATCATTCTTAGGCACAGGCTCTTTAAATTATTTAAACACAGATTCGATATACCTTCATTAGTTCCACAGTAGGGAAATGTCTGTTACAGCAGCAAGAAAAATAAGATGAAAATAAATAGAATAGGTTACTAGATTCAAATAATCTTGCAAACTTACAAAGCAGAGTACTGAAGGAAACCATTTTACATCTGATAGAGTGAAGAGAGTCTAAGATCAGTATTTTATTTTAAGCCGACCCAGATGGTGTTTGTTTACCACAATTGCCAGTGCACATGATGAAACGTGCATCAAAGCCCAATGACCTATATATCTTATCTCCTCAACAGTTTTGCCTTTAAAACTGAGCGTTTTATATAAACACACACACACACACACACACACTGCTATTTATATTATTACATTTTCTCTTTATATTTGTCTAGTATTCCCCTTTTCATTTCATCATTTATATCCAAAAGCTTGCATAATAAAGCTTGGGATATTTCGAAGCCCTCTATACTCTCTCTACCAGATGTTGCATGAACAAATAAGAAAGTCATCCCTCAAGCTCTTCATCTCCATCACGACTCCCTTCTCTCCTCTTCTTCTCCCCTTTAGCAGTTCAGCGTGGACGGATCCCACCTTCACATTCGAGCCTGAGCCCATCTACAACTCCAGTAGGCGGTAATGCCGGCGGTGGTGTGAGCGAGTTCTACAATGGGCAGCCGGTGTCCGAGCTCATCTCCCAGCTCCTGCGGGCAGAGCCTTACCCTAACAGCCGCTACAGCCACCAGTACAACCAGCAGATGCAAGGCGGTGGTGGCGGTGGATCTGGCATGGGCATCGACAGCATCTGTGAGCTCGCTGCCAGACTCCTGTTTAGCATCATCGAATGGGCCCGAAACATTCCGTACTTCCCCGAATTGCCAGTATCGGAGCAGGTGGCCTTGCTGCGGCTCAGCTGGAGCGAACTGTTTATTCTGAACGCAGCTCAATCTGCCCTGCCACTGCACATGGCCCCGCTGCTGGCCGCCGCAGGCTTCCACTCCTCACCCATGTCCGCGGAAAGGGTGGTGTCCTTCATGGACCAGGTGCGCGTCTTCCAGGACCAGGTGGAGAAGCTGACGCGTCTGCAGGTGGATTCGGCAGAGTACAGCTGTCTCAAGGCCATAGCGCTCTTCTCGCCAGGTAAACTGCATTTATCCAGGTGAAAGGTGATGGAATGTGTAAATGATCCAAATGGTGGAGAGTAGAATTGTGTTTTGTGCTAGGAGTTAGGGTAGTGCTAGCTCCCCCTACTGGATGAAAGTACACACATTGTTTGAAAATGAGGCCTGTTTAGGCTGCCTGTCTTTAGCCTAGTATATTCTGTCCTGCAACATCGTAGCAGGACATCGCATCAGCAACAACTGTATTCTTCAAACCTTTTCAAAATGTTTGTCTTATTCAGAATTGAGATGTAACCATTAAATATGTAATATATTCATAAAATTAACCATTAACCATCATCTTATAGATGTAATTGAAATAGTTTAGACTTAATAATTTTATCATCCAGTAGTGAATATTTGAAGTGGATCAAAAAAAGTTTTTCAAAACTGTCCTTAGACAAGAATGGATGTTCAATAGTTTTAGGAGTTTTGATCCTCTTCAAATGTTGACTGTAATATTTTTGGTAAATCTTATGCAGGGCTGTGCAATAAATTGCAATTGCATAAAAATAGCGATTTAAGCACATGCAATTTCTAAACCGCGTAAGGCTGCAATTTTATCTATTAATTTATTTCGATTTTTATTCAGAATACGTTCTTGTGCGCATGATTTTAATATGTTAACCAATCAGAGCTGACACAGCGAACCGGGCAATTACAGCCAAGCTGAGCGGGAGAAAGATGCTAACCAGTCAGAGCTCACTCCGCGCATGACGAAGTTGAGCGGGAGAACTGAATAGGTGGTTTTGAGTTATGTTAGTTAATCTTTATTTTTTTCATGTTGTCTGTTTTTAAGACAATTTAGTACATTTTTGTTTATCAAGCAGATAATACTACTGTGTACAGTATGTTATTAACGAGAGTTGAGGTTATTTAATCCTAATTTATTTTATTTTGTCTGTTTTAAAGACAGTTTTACTAAAGTTTTATTTATTAAACTTAATACCATGTTATTTCATTGTGAAATGTTTTGTTATGCACTTCTTGTGCACTGAATACATTTAGAGTGTATGTATGTAGCTTGTTTGAAAAAGCAAAAATAGTTGCCAAAATCGCAAATAAAATTGCAATATCGCAATATTCGTTCAAAAAAAATCGCAATATGATTATTTTGTCCATATTGCACAGCCCTAATCTTAAGCTTGTTTTACAAATAAAATAGGTCACACTTTACAGTATGCTTTAATTTTATAGTATTTAATTACACTACTAAGAATGAACAATATTTGTACAGGATTTATTAAATTTACTAAAATCCAAAATTGTGCTTGTTAACATTAGATAATGCGCTATTAACGAACAACCTTTTTTCAGTAATAAATGTATTGTTCAGTGTTTTTCATGTTAGTAAATGCAATAACTAATATTAATGGAAAATTAATGTAAATAAGCTATAGTTAGAATTAGAATGTAATATAAAATCATTACTACACATAGGGCTGCATGATTAATCAAAAGATAACAGTCTCGATTCAACCCCCCACACGATCTTAATCCAGCATCTCTACAATTCAGCAAGTTTGGGAAAAGCATAAAAGCAGTCACACAAGTCTTCACATTGTTTTATATACTTTGCTTAGCAACGCCACCTCCAAATGGCCTTAAAATTGTCACATACTGTATTCATAAGATATAATTCACCCAAAAATGTAATTTCTCTCTCAATGTAATGATGTATTCATGGCTGAGAAATCATTCGTGAGCTAAAGCACTGTTAGTTTACTACTGAGAGGATGCATGCCTGCCCGCAGTGGATATCTACTTTAGTGAACAGAGCGTGCATTTTAGTAAACATACACATGCATACTAACATTAATGCAAACTCATTGAAAATAAGCTAAAATTAGAATTAGAATGTAATATAAAACATTTTATTACTATGCACATGCTACTGCAATTTGTGCTTTAATCTTTCTGGATTCAGGTTTTTTCCAGTTTATATTCTTACACTCATGTTTTAACTGGGTAGACACTCGGTTAAATAGAATGTTACTAATAAAAAGCATGCAACTAATGCACTCCCAGAACATCTAAAGTGCTTTTTACATTCTCAATTCAGTGTTCATTTTAGTTTTGTTCTAAACTACATTTTAAAGCATGTCTTATTATTTATTGTCTTAAATATTTTACAGTAATAAGCAATATAAATGATCCTTTCTTTACAGTATATTACTTATTTTCTATACATTATATTGCATTTAATATATTTAAATTTGTAATCAAATCAAAATTGTTATTACTATTAAGGTACATTCTGGTGCACCGTAGTAAAGTATTGTGGTCTTAATTTGAAGTCAAACTTGCTCTTATTTTGCAAGGTTGTCATGAAGACGCTTGCGTTTCTGTGTGTACATATTATGACAATAGGTTTTAAGTAATTCTGTGTAATGTTACATTTGGAAAATTGTAATCTCTATATTAAGCAAGCAATATATAAACACAGATTTTCCAGAATTCTACAGCAAATTCCATTTGCTTTTTCTGCATTGCGGAAACCAAAGGGCATTCAAATGATTTTGACCTTGGCACAGCCGACATCATGCCCTACCAGCTGAGTTACAGAAAGTCTAGTTCCAGACCTGCAATCAATATCTGCTCTTCTTGATGTTTGTGCTCAGATGCGTGTGGGCTGACAGATCCCGCTCATGTAGAAAGCCTGCAGGAGAAAGCTCAGGTGGCTCTTACCGAGTACGAGCGCATGCAGTACCCCGGGCAGCCCCAGCGTTTCGGACGGCTCCTGCTGCGACTGCCCGCTCTGAGGGCCGTGCCCGCCAGCCTCATCTCTCAGCTCTTCTTCATGCGGCTCGTGGGCAAAACGCCCATCGAGACACTCATCCGTGACATGCAGCTGTCTGGCAGCTCCATCAGTTGGCCGTATGCTCCTGGACAATAATCTTCATCACATGTGACCAGCCTGAACGGGAAGATCTTGGTCTGACTTGTTTTGTTTTTTTATATCCACACATTTACATCTGATATTCAGTGTATTGCCTAATGCAACAGGGTCGCACTATGGAAATGGTGAATTGGGTATTATGTTGCAGATCGGTGAACTTCAACATGACTTGAAGTATTTGTTATCTGCCAACCAAAGGTAAGACGTGAGGTACCATTTTTTAAAGATTGTAATTAATTGGAAATGGGTTCAAACCCTAAAAGGCGAGATCTGACAGTTTGGTGTCAACAACACGAAGGTCACTTTGGACTGTTCCCGGAGGCCTGGGAAATCAAGTTCCCATCATGCTCCGCTCTGCCCTGTCCTTGTGCACCACAAAGCCTGAAGGAGGAGGAAGTAGACACGATGACATCCAAACAAACCAAACCCAAACAGTCTGAATTAGGACTAAGGCATTTGTTATGCCAACGAGAACTTGTATTTTTTAGCTCTTTTTACCCTTGTCAAAGCTAACGCATTTCTGAGGAGAGAGTGAAATTTGCAACTGATTATGTTGAATTAAGTATAGCTGCGGACTTTATTTGTACTTTGAGTTAAGGTACAGGCTCATCTCATCAAGAATGATTCATATTTTGGAGCGCACACCCTTCATTTGAGATAGATGACAGGTGAAGTAGTCTTGTTTTTTTCTTTTCAGACAGACACCAATGAATTTTCTTCTTAAAAAGGTTTCTTTTTTTTTTTTTTTTTTTTAGTTTTTTCAGACTTCCACTGGTAATGAAGTCCTATTATGAACGTCGACCAAAAGAAATACCTCTACAGTCTGTTGAGACTCTGTGTCATTCACGGCTGTGTCAGATTTTCTATGTACCAACATACTTGAGCTGCTCACTTTACACTAAAGAGGAGTGATTGGATCAATCTGTCTGTTATGTTTGTTTCTCGAAGGCCGTTTTCAGCAGGAAACCGGCTGTGGCTGTTTTGTCTTTCGTGGAGCATTGCTCTGGTGTGGCGTTTCACAGGTGACAGCATGTTGTATTGGCTCTTGTTGTGAGATGTCCGTTTTCTAGCCTTATCATACATCAGAATGACTAATATTACCTCATATTTAGGCCTTTAAAACATATCAGACGGTCTAATAGACATCAATGCATCAAATCGGCAACGTGTACAGTTTTCATTTTAATATCTTTGTCTTTTTAAATACTTGTGTATGACGGCTTGATTAAACAAAGTATCATACAACGAATTGTGTGTTTTAGAGATTTTTTTTTGATGGTTATTTATTAAATTATGAAGGAAACATCATCTTTGGTGGGTTTATATTCATATTGCAAAATTTTAATTTTTTCCCATTTACAGGACCTTTTGCAACGTTAATTAAAAAACTGAAAATGTATACATGCTTCAGACAAAGAAATCCTGAGGATCCGCAACATAAGTCTTCATGTTCTTTTTATAGCCTTGGTCATAATTCTTCACCAGTTGCTTGATACGGCACAGTTCCTGCCGTAGTTTCTTACACTGGAGCTTCTTAGTCTTATATTCTGGAGACTGTAGAGAAAGGGTAACGGGGCGTTAGAGATTTAGGGACAAGTACATGAAACAGCAAACAATGTGCTACTTAGTCTCCCAGTACTTATAGGTAGGGCCAGACAGAATCTGCAGACATTTTTGCTATTTCTGCAGAGAATTTTGTTAAAAAAAAAAAAAAAAAAAAAAAAAAAAAACTCGATTTATGCGGGATGATTTTTGGAGTATCATAACTAATAACTTAATGTATGAAATAAAAAATAATACATGTTTACAATGCAAATCCAATTATTTAGTAAGCAACACAAGTCTCATATAATAGGACTACTAAAAGACAGAACATATTACTTTATAAACTGTATTGTAAATAAATCAAGTGAACATTTTAATATTGTTATTATATCGCAATAATATTAGTGAAATTAATAAAAAAATAAAAATATAAATTTACAGACATTTACACAAGTAAATGCATAGACTCATTGATGGGCTAAAAATCTGCGGAAATCTGCGCATTTCTGCACATGCTGATTCCGTATGGGCCTACTCATAGGTAAAAATCTATTTATACTGAAAAGTATATATCCATACCCGTTTCAGATCCTTAAGTCGATTATATTCATCAGCTACAGCCTGTGATGCAGACAAAATAAATATAAAGCAAGTTTAGTGTTAATGCTTTAGAAGGTAATATGGCAACTAGGAGATTTTTTCTCAAGTTTAAACTCTAGTAATTTATCTAGTAAGTTTTTTTTTCTTATAATTTTGAGTTAGCATTTCACAATTCAAAATTGCAACTATTTCCCAAAATTGTGAGTTCTTGGTATTTTTTTTCACAATTCTGAGCTATTCTCGCTATTTATTTTCCCTCTCTCTAAGAACTGTGGTTAATTTATTTAACATGTTTAAAGAAAAGTCACAAATGTGAGATTTAAACACACACTTCAGTCATTATTAAACACAAACGTTATTATTTTAACCAGTTACTGTTAACATTTAGTAAAATGTTTATAAAACTAGGCACATTGAGCTGTCATTATTCTCAAATATTCAAAGGCAGCTTATTAGAAAGGGTTTCCGCATTTCTTGAAAGTACTTTCAGACATGAATTTAAGACCTGAAAAATACTTAAAAACAAACTCAGGTCTTTGAAAGTGCTTGAATTAATTTAGAAATACAACATGTTTACGGTGTAACCTGTATTGTGTCAAAACAATGAAAAAACAGTGAAATTCTTACATTTAAATCTTGTATAAAAACACTGACTAATAATGCACATTTGATCAACATTTCAGAATATTAACAGTACTGAATAATTTAGTTTATTCAAGTTCTTTATATGTGACTGTTTAAAGGGGTCAATTTTTGAAAATTATTCTGACATCTTTACCAGAAATATTAAGTGTAGATGAAATGTTGAGTACAGTAAGGACTTTAATGGTCCATGGCTTTAAAAGTCATTGAAAGTCCTTGAATCTGCTGTCCATGAAAGAGTGGGATCATGATTAGAACTGACAAAAAACAGACAGTGATTAACCCCCTTTTTTGATGTGCCACCCATCATTTAAACAGTCGTTGACATGTTTGGAAAAAAGGGGGATAAAATAACAAAGAAAATACGTTATAATTATGGACAATTAAATGATTCTGTTGATAATTAGTCCTAATTAGTATCCTTGCTGGCAGCTACTAAAATAAAATTAGTCTCGATCAACCAAGTCTTCACTACAATGATCAAAAATGAATTATAACTCATAAACTTTCTTGCATTCTGAGATCCTGCTTTAAGAAGAATAAAAAGTATTATCGCATATTATACATATGACATTGATACAAATGATTTCCCTTCAAAGAATCCTTTGTAGAATGGAGTTATTACATGAATGTTTTTATGGAAAAACTTTTATAATTAGAGTATGAAATGAAAGGTTTTGTTGTATACCTGGAATTTGGTGGACTCCTCGTGGAGGGTGTCCAGCTCTTGGCTCAGTTCATTCATTTGATCACTGATATCGTCCAATTCTGCACGGAGGTTCTTGTACACAGCGAAGGTGACGTCAAACTGTTTCTTGTACTGTCTGCGCTGTTCATCTGTTGTAATTTCTGAATAAGTGCTGTAACAGAAAATAATCACTAAGTGTTGAATACAAGAGACTCGCTCTCAGCAGCTCTTTTGAATTAGTCATTAAATGCAGACTAATGGATCATTCGGATCAATGAGGAGTTAACTGGAGACTCAATCAATCTGACAAGGTTTGAATCCCTTGCTCTGCAAGGATCATTTGATTCAGTGAGTCATTAGTTGTGGACCCACTCCGGATTGCTTAATACAATAAGTTGCTGACTTGTGACGCAATCAGATCTGCCAAATTCAATATCTGTCAAATTGTGATGCAATTTAATGGATTTAATTACAAAACTCTATATAGTGTCTCTGAGTAATGATGATTTCTTTGCTTCAAAATGACATTTACTTGGCTAGATTTATGAAATGTATTCTAGTAAAAATGACACTATATTGTTTTGAAATGTGGTAAAGTATAAGTTTCCTAAAATAACTACAGTGGGTGACACTTTAGAATGACTATCACCGCCACACTTTTTACACCGCTCTAAAGGAATAAAAACGTGTTTTTAGGTATGACCGCAGTTTGCGACTTTGCCGCCAGGGGGCACAAAGAGACGGGATACCAACGGAGTGAAGTAGCATATACCAGGGGTCACCAATCTCGTTCCTCAAGGTCCGGTGCCCTGCAGGGTTTAGCTCCAACTTACCTTAACACACCTGTCTGGGTGTATTAAGTATACCTGGTAAGACCTTGATTAGCTTGTTCAGGTGTGTTTGATTAGGGTTGGAGCTAAAATCTGCAGGACACCGGACCGCCAGGAACAAGTTTGGTGATCCCTGGCCTATACAGTAGCTGTAACTACTCTGCTACGTGTAAATAAAGATGAAACAAAGCATTACAATTCCTTCATTAAGTAAAAATCTTCTTAACAAGCTTTATTATCATTGTAAACTTAAGTGCAATGAGGATTCATTTTGGAAAGTATTAAAGAAAAAAAAGACAACTAAAATGAAAGTACAAACATACAGTAGGCATAAATAAATAAAGCAGTGTTTTAGCCTAAATATAGAGAGATGTACAGTGTTATTTTAAAGTGATAAGACTTAGACAGTCAATAAAAAAGCTTTTTCATTTACGTTTTTTTTATTTACAGTTTTAACTTACAGTTTTGTGGATTATATTTTAATATCTCATTTAGGTCTCAAGTCGTGCACATAAATAATCAATAATTAATTAAATTGGCCTCATTTTTTATTTAAAGACATTACCAGTTAAACACTGAGAAACGGTCTGGTGCTATTATTATATAGGCCTTGCGCTGCTCGAGATGAGATATTGACCGTTTTTAAAGGCTATAAGGCTACAAAAGTGTATAATAATTTAGTTTTTGCGTATAGTATTGCATTAATTTGCATAGACATGTTATAGTTTATATGGGCCTAAAATGAACGCCTCAATTCGATTCAGTTATTATTTAAAACATAAACCTGCGTTTTAATGACAGACGTGGGTTTCACAAAATACTTTTTAAACCAGTGTTTTTATTATTATGTTATCAACGAAATCAAAATGTATATGTATTTATTACTTATTATTTATTATAGCATAATCTTATAATGTAATTAAAAATTTAAATTCAGAATGTTTGTTAAGTTGGCACACATTGTTATTCTTAAACTAAACAATTGCATGTTAAATGCAAGTTAATCCACTGAAAAAGTAATGAATTGGTGATCTTCAATCAAAATCTGACCATTTGATTCAGCATTTGGAGAGGCTGTCATTTTCTGTTGATGTCAGTTTGACTAATCCACAATATTCTGAACCTTGCCCCTCTTACCATTAGTTTGTTAAAAGAGAATGATGCGCAAAAAGCTACGCCTCCTACTCACTATTCCATTTCAGCTGGACGTACAGTACATCAACATACTGAAAACAAAAGTCTCCGGATTCCAGTTCACATGAAGTACTTAAACTCTATTAATCAGGTTCAATACTCACTCCTCCAGCTCGTATGTGTGTAATTCAGTGGCTGAATCTGCAGCAGTGGTGTAGCCGGTCTCACAGAGAACATCCTCCACCTCAAACACTTCAGCTTTCTCTGCAACTGATCTGCTCTGTACTTCCACTTCCTCCACAGGACTGGAGCTCCTCCACTGATTCTGGTACAGCGGCTCCGGGCTGAAACCCTTTACATTCTCAGAATACCTTCAAAACAACATGCAACAAAAAGACCAGTTGGGTGTTTTTTTCTTTTGTTGTCCTGAAGAAAGTCCGTAAAGGAGTTTGCTCTTACACGTTGCTTTTGTACCCGCCCTCGCTGTAGACGCTCACGGTTCCCTCGGTGTAGGAGGTGAAGCTGTTCTCAGCTTTCAGATGAGGGGACGCTTTCTCTGATAAAACCACAGTGGGGGTGTATTGAGTGCCTCGCTGCAACACACCATGTACAAGTGTTAATGGAAAACAACATGTATTCAATCAATTTGAGTCCACAATAAATAAATAAAGCAACGTTTTTAGTTTCTTTCATTTGGATTAAAAGTTATTTGTTAAACTTGTGCAATCTTGCCAATGTTATCCACAGCCATATCACCCTGGAGCCCAAGACCAGTTACTCACGGAAGCTAAGCAGGGCTGAACCTGGATTTGAAAACTAGGTTGCTGTTGGAAGTGGTGTTTGTGAGGCCAGCAGGGGGCACTCAACTTGGATCTGTGTGAGTCCTAATGCCCCAGTAAAGTGAAGGGGACACTATACTGTCAGTGAGCGCCGTCTTTCAAATGAGAACCGAGGTCCTGATTCTCTGCAGTCATTAAAAATACCATGGCATTTCTCGTAAAAGAGTAGAGGTGTAACTCTGTGGGTCTGGCCCAATTTCCCTCCATCAGACTTTACCCAATCATCCCCATCCACCGAATTGGCTCTATCACTGTCTCTCCACTATAGCTGGTGTGTGGTGACCGCACTGGTGCCGTTGTCCTGTGGCTGCCGTCACAACATCCAAGTAGATACTGCACACTGGTGGTGGTGTGGAGAGATCCCCTTCATGATTGTGAAGTGCTTTGGGTGTATGGCCATACACAATAAATGCTCTATATAAATACACATTACATTACATCCAATGGAACTATGTTCATAAGGGATGCTCATAATAACCGAATGTCCGTTAACGCTTTTTGCACTGAGAGGGGCATCTTTTGAATGATTTACTAACGGCTGCGAGGGTTTTGCGGCCAGTGGCACCCCCAGACAACTTTCTTAGGGGTGGCCAGAAGAGGCCACACCAAAGCATGGGGTGGCACACAAAAAATAATGAATTCAGTGTAATTTGGTTTTAATTCATTTAATAAATTTTTCTTGAAATATTGTAATTTATTCCTTGAAATAATTCGGGACACGAACCAGCAACCTTCTTGCTGTGAGGCGGCAGTGCTACCCACTGAGCCACCGTGTCACCCATAAGCCACCAAGCTATTAAAATTCAATTGCCTGGCTTGAACCTAAGTTCGATTGTCCCCCCTTTCCACCGTCTCGGCTGGTTTGTTCTCACACCGTCTTTTTTCCTTCTGAACTCTGGTATGCTTGCGTCATCAAGCTGCTGTTGTGTGTGAGGCTGTTGCTGGGTGATGGACGGGCATGAAGGCTAAGGCGCCAAAATGGAAAGATGTAACTACATCACAGTCGTTCTGCTTTTACTGATATAAACAGAGAGCCTTTTGCCACTTTGCCGCAAAAAAAATATTAAAAACGTTCAGAACATAACGTGATGTCTGCAGAAGTCGTTTCTGGAGGAGACAAGCAGACATCATCACTGTGTTTGCACTGGGTCAGTCCTGCGTATCACCAAGCTAACATTAGGTGATATTACTGATAAACATACATACACTGCAAAAAATGCTTTTCTTAATATTTTGTCTTGTTTCTAGTCCAAATATCTAAAAGTTCTTTATTCAAGAAGCATTTTCTAGACAAGCAAAACATATTGTTTTGTTTTAAGAAAAAATATGCCAAAATAAAGTGAGTTTTTCCTCAAATCAAGCAAAATAATCTGCCAATGGGGTAAGCAAAATAATCCTGTTTTTCGATTTGTGATAAGATTATTTTGCTTACCCCATTGGCTAGGGATGTAACGGTATCAGAATTTCACGGTACAATAATACCTCGGTATGAATGGCACTGTACTGTATTTATTGAATAATTTACAGGAAAAACAAAACTAATGAATAGACTCGAAAAAAGTGCCAAAAGTGTTTATTTACCTTAGCACTGAACATATCAATGACAAACAAATTAGCCATCTAACTGTAAGTTTCGAAACAGGAACTTCAATTTTTCAATTTTAATAACAAAAAACTATTAAACCATATAAAAAAAATAAAGTTTCAATTTAGTATCGTTGAAAACTCATCACATTCAACATTTAATCACTCACTCACTTAGATAGAGATGGGTTTTTTAAGGAAAATTATCATATAACTATAATCTGGTAAAAGCTGGGGTCTCTGGGCATGTCCCCTGCAACAGAAAAAAAAACCTCTCATTTGGGACTGAGGTTTCTGGGACAGAGAGATATGATTTATTGAGTGATGTGCCTACGGTAATATTGAAAAAAATTACTATTGCGGTATGACGGTATTTACAATATTGTTACATCCCTACCATTGGCAGATTATTTAGCTCGATTTAAGAAAAAACTCACTTCATTATTTCTTAAAACAAGACAATATGTTTTGCTTGGGCTGAAAATGCTTCTTGATTTAAGAATATGTAGATATTTGGGCTAGAAACAAGACAAAAAAATCTAAGAAAAGCGTTTTTTGCAAACAAATAAACTTTACAAAATTTAAAGTTTGTTGTATTTTTGGCTTTTCACTTCAAAATCAAATGAGAAGTGAACCGAACCAGAGTTTGTGCGAACCTTACCCCAGACCACCTCATTCAGGTGGACTTTGGTATGATTCAGGGGTGCGCACCCGAGTTCAGAAGACATCGTTCGCACTAGCTAAAAGTACCGAACTCTGATTTCAAATGAACCCGGGTGCGGACCAAAAGTGCTGTTGTGAAAGCACATTTACTGCTCTCATAAAAATACACACAAAATACAGTCCAACAACAAATGTTTTACAATAATGTTTATCTTAGACAGAAATATTGCTACTGCACTAGTTCACTGCATGTTTAGTGGGATCTCACATGTTCCCCTGACAGCAAAGTGTAAATATTTTCATGACATTCTAAGATCTACAGATGATCAATATACCTGATGATCAAGATACTCCCTGAGGGCAACACCAAATCTCAAAGCCATTAAAAAGCACCAGCAGCACCTGTGTTTGACAAAGCATCTGACATGGAAAAGCGCATGAAGTTATACAAATTAACCATATTTACCGAGTATTTACTTTAAAGCCCTAACATAAAGCATGACAAATGTTTCGGATAAATTGGATTATACAGTTTGCCTGCAGCAGCTCACTCTGTTTTACTCCAACGATGCTCATATTTATCTTGTGCCTCATACCATATTCTCTATAACTATACATATTGTACAAACTCGATGACCTTGCCAGCCCTTCTCAGAATGACCTGAACACAGGCGTTTACTGATGGGAAAGCAGCATTGTCTGACCGGTGGGACAGTCACAGATACCATCGCACACGTCTCTATCTTAAGAGCCCACTTGAGAAGTTCTACATCACACAGTACACCAAGACACTAAATCCATCACAACATAATTATCCCACCCACACAAACATGCGCGACTTCCTCCAATGAAGCACAATCATTCCAGCTTTCAGGAAACACTGCCGATGCCCGTTCAAAAATACCGGCAGCAAACAATATCTGAGCTCATTTCCTGGAAGGTCACGACATATTCCAGGTATTCAGAATGAGCCTGGCTGGAGACAAGTTAAAATATATATTTATTTCTGTTTTCATGATGCATTATTTCTTATAATTACATCAGATGCTGCTCTGTATGAGCTATATTGAGTAGAAAAATAAGAAAAACTGGTTGAGCTGCTTTCATAAATTCTGTCTATAAAAGTAACATCATGAATCAACTGAGTAAAATGCTAGCTATCCGTTACTGTCGACTGGTCCCAATTTGACCTTTATTCGGTATTGGCCATTTTAAAAACCATTACAGAATTACAACTGTTCAGTACTTCAGAATCACTGTAAATCATTGAATGATTAACACACAGAACAGTTCAGATCACATGACTGATTTCATTGTACTTCACTTGGGCTGAAGGTTTAGGCTGCGCTATATTTGAAATAATGTAGTTTTCACCTCCTCAAAACATATTGTCACAGCCAAAATAAAAAAAAATTAGAAGAACATTTTAAATAATACACACTGTAAAAAAACAGACATTAAATTACACAAATTTACTGGAAATTTATATTTAATTCAATGTCCGTTATTTTACATTACATTTCTGTAATTTAACAGCCGATATTTTACTCTTTTTTTTTTTTCGGCACCCCGGCTGCTGGAAAAAAAAAACTTTAAATAACGGAAATTTTTTTACAGTGTAATTTTTTTAGCAACACAAATTATGAAAAAAAATTGAGGTTTCAGCAAAAAAAATGTTATAAATAAACTGATTAGTGTTGATATAATAAAAAATATTGCTACATTATAATAATAATTATACATTAATATAATAATGACTAAAAGAAAACAACAAATTTTTAATTGCAAATACATTTTTTAAAAGCACTGATTTTTTTAAAAATTGTAATAGTAAAATGCTATTGTATCAATTGTTCTTTTAAAAAATAGCATTTAAAAAAAAAAAAGTTTCATATCATTTTAAGCTCACCCAGTCTTGTGAATTCTGGCTCCGGTTTGTTCTGAGGATCGGTGGTTCCTCCCAGTAGATGTTAGGTTTGCCGTGACGCCATATTTTGCTTCGAGTCTTATAGGCAAAATAGGCTGCAATGATTAGAGCAATCATGACAAACAGCCCACAAACCAGAGCCACAGCCTAAAATTAAGCAGAGAAAAAGCTGTTTACAAAATGAATAAAGTTGCGGTGACTCTACCACAGAAAAAGAAAGAAAAGAAGTTTAGTTAGTACTATTTCTGATTTGTTTTTGGGTAATGTTCTTTTTTCAACACATATGTACATGGGTATGACTAATTTTGTGTTTGACTATATATATATATATATATATATATATATATATATATATATATCAATCAGGGTTTCTGCAGATTTCTTCAAATCAAATTTTAGACTTTTTAAGACACTTTTAAGACCATTATAAATAAAAATTTAGACTTATACAGGGCTAAACACTAAGGGTTTTTTCTAATGGCCCGGGTTACTTCTGTAAATAGTTTTTGTAATAATGGAAGATCATGTAAAGCAGTGTTTCTCAACCATGTTCCTAGAGGACCACCGGCACTGCATGTTTTGGATGTCTCCTTTGTCAAACAGTCCCTTAAAAGTCACGTCTTGCTTTCAGTTTCAGGCTCAGGCGCGTTTTGCACTCACACACAAGCGTACTGCGCCAAAGCCCAAGTGAACCGGGTCAGGGCACCTCTTCCAACCGGGTCAGGGCCGCCCAAGTGAACCGTGCCAGAGCCTGATTCAGAGCACGCATACTTCTCAAATGATCCGGGAAACGGGCCTGAGCAAGGTTCGGATAGCATAGTGTGAGTAGGCTCTTAAGGGGCTGTTTGATATGGATTTATTAATCATTCTTACTGTTCAATGAGCGCAATCTGTCATAGTTTTTTAAAGACACAAACCCCTCACTGCACAACAGCTGCACCTCCAGCAAACCTCCTAATTCCTGCAGTACGAGGACTTTATGATTGTTTATGAGCGTCACAAGTGGCTGATCTGTTTGCCGAAATAATCGACTGCGAGTCCACATCCCAAACGACTGAAACGATATAGCTAAAGAAAACTCCACTGTGCTGAGCGGGCCATCGGGGGAGACAGGAGTGGGAACAAGCATGCTTTGGCCTGGTTCAAGGTAACTGTACATCGTGAGTACGCCCTCTGTCTCTGCTAATAAGCTGATGATCTGATTTCGCTGTGTTGGGATAATGTGCAGAGCTGGGGGTCCTCCAGAAATGTGGTTGAGAGACACTGATGTTAAGGGAAGGGTCGCTTTATTTTTTTTTTCTCCTGATTAGAGAATTTAATTTGGAGAATTTGCTGTAAAAATGTCTAACAGCGGTTGTGAATTGTATCTCTTTGCAATAAAAACTTTGAAGTTCTGAGATGGATTTAGATGACTGGGTGACAGCCAAAATGGGCAACTTTGCTTAGACAAATAGGCAAATAAAGACCTGTTTAAAAGGATTTAAGACCTATAACACAATATTTCAGTGAGTTTAAGACTTTTAAAGGCCTAAAATTTAGTTTATTAAATTAAGACATTTTAAGACCCTGTGGACACCCTGATATTATCCCTTAATGCTAAGAAAACGTATCTAATGCTTACTGTTTGCAACATGTAAAGTCAAGCAGAAGGAACTAATCAAAACCTTCATGGTCAGAAGCATCTAAAGTAAATCAATCAATCAAATCATTTCCTCATTAACAATAGCACTGAAGATCAGCAATATGTTGTGCATCACTACTTTTCTGTCCTTTTAAAAGTGCTTGCCTTTCACTCCTTCTACATGTAAGAGAATGAGCAGGACAATTTCTTCTTTTGTGAGTCCGAAAAAGAAAGATGGGCATACAGCAACACCAGGGTTACTAAAGAGTGACTTAATACATTTTTGAGGAATATACTTTACTTTTTATTTAGATATATTTTACTAACATGAAGACAACTACTACTTTTTTGTCTTGTGACACTGACCTCCTCAGGATCCATGAAGCAGTAGTGATAAAGATATCGGTTGAAGGACGGATATGCGCCAGGAAAGCCTCCAGTGTTGACTCCGGCGCTGATGCTGGGAGTCCCTAATGAGCTCTGACACATCATCAGGATGGGGTTGTATAAGATGCTCTGTGAACTTTGAGCCATGGGATTCACCCCAATAACAAACACAATGTCTATAATACACTGCAGGATCGCCAGAACCACATCCACCACCAAAACTGTCAGGTAAAAGGCTTTTCCGCGCACACACCACATCTTTGAGAAGCTCACCACCAGGAAGGTCAAAGACACCACAAAATTAAGAGCTGCCATCGAAATCATGGCTGACTTTGCAGAGTAGGGCGTCATGTAAGAGCTCTGATAGCCGTAGGTTCCACCATAATACCCAGATCCAACGCCATAACCTCCAGATCCGGCAATATAGCCACCGATGCTGCCCTCATAACCGGGCATATCCCAAACTAAAGTGGACGCAACACAAGCGAAAATGATGAAACACAGCAGAGCAGTGAGTCCCTCCATAGTCTTGACGATGCCAGGGGGAGAGAACCATCTGTAGAAGTGCTGAGGATTTCCCAGCGCATGAGGGGCATCGGGGACTGAAGAGTACAGGCCAAACTCGCTCCTCTGAGAATAGAAACTTCTGGATGTGTACATATTTGATGGAGCGGTGTAGTGTGGACTGTATTGCGGTGGACTGTCATACTGCTGCGTCTCGTACATGATTCATGAGAGAATCTGAAAGAGAGCAGATTTAGATCATACGATCATCTGGGAACGGAATTTAAATGAAATTCAAACCACTGTGCTTCATTTGTTTAAAGTTTTAAGTCTTTTTTTTTTGACAAAGATTCAAAAGAGGATTCACAGTTTTAAAAATTTTGTCCACATATTAGACTCGCAAGGAATGCGATAAAATTAGAAACAAACCCAAAAAATCCACATCTCAAAGCATGCCTTACAAGCCCTGTTCTAATCTACTGAGTAATACATGACGAGTTCAGATGCAAAAGCCTCTAAATGCAGTTATTTTGTGTTAAAAACAATGAAAATAACCCATTATTCCCCATAAATCTGAAATGACTGAGCCTACACAAAGGAACCTGAGAAAAATGCTCATTTTAGAAGAAAATCTTAACTTGCATTTAGAAGCTTTTGCATCTGAACTCTTCGCATACAAATGATGCATTAGTCCATAGGGTCTTCATGAAGGTAAAAGCTAAAAGGATGCCAGATTTTGTGAAATTGCTTGAGTTTTCCCTTTAAACAGTACCTAATTCTCTCCAAATGTAAAGTTGAAATCATCTGCAGAGTGAGGGTAAAGAATGAGCCTACTCCTTTCAGCCTCTTTATTTCACTTTACTTTTACTCTTTACTTTACTCCTTTACCTTTGTGGATAAGGACACGGTGGAAACTCACTCACTCCACCTAAGACGTCTATATTTTTAATTTAATTTGTTAAGCGCAAAGATTTGTTTTCAAAACTATTTCTAAATTCTGTTCTAATTTCCAGCAATAGTGTAAGTGACCACTAAATGACTATATCACTTTAAATATTTTTAGAGCATCAGAGCATGTCACGTGTTTCGCCTAGGTAACAAATAGGTTAATCAGGCTAGCAGAGCGAAGAGAAGACCCGTTGCTGTGCAATTTATGGAAAAAGGAGGCTTAATCCTGCACCATTTATTTAATAGAACCCTTTGGTAAAGCGGAGCGAGGTATGTGAGGTTAATATTTAAGCCAAATGAGTTCGTTTGTATGTTTATGTTAATCGTGAGCTCTGCCTTCTTATTAGTTGTTTCAAACTGTCTTCATATACTTCATTGTTTCATTTTCATATGTTGCTCTGTACATTATATCTTTATTCGTCATATTATTCTGTATACAAGTTGTTTTTATTGATTTTTGTTGTTTCTTTGTGTAGTTTTACGGTGCTACGCAACAAAAGTTAAACGGCTCTCGTCTTGAGCATAATAAAGAAGCAAGCACCCGTCAGAAACTCTCTGTCTCGTTCATGGAAACCAAAGGGCAGCTACAAATAAAAAAAAATGAACAATAATAATGAAGTGTGGTCAAAGAACTAAGTTATATCCAGACACACGTCCTATTTTATACCCAATATAGTGACGCATACGTCTCCAAAACCCAACAGATGTACAAATCTTAACTTCTTTGTATTAAAACGAATATAAATATACATTTACATTTAGTCATTTAGCAGACGCTTTTATCCAAAGTGACTTACAAATGAGGACAAGGAAGCAATTTACACAACTATAAGAGCAACAATGAATAAGTGCTATAGGCAAGTTTCAGGTATGCAAAGAAAGTGTAAGAAGCAAAACAGTAGTAATTTTTATTATTATTTTTTTTATTATTAATGTAGTTAGTGGAGGGGTCAGAGAGGGAATTGCAGATTAGTAAGGAAAGTGGAGACTAAATAGATGAGTTTTTAGTCGTTTTTTTTTTTTTTGAAGACAGCGAGTGACTCAGTCGTTCTGATGCAGTTAGGGAGTTCATTCCACCAACTGGGCAGATTGAGCCCGAGAGTTCAGGAAAGTGATTTCTTCCCTCTTTGGGATTTAACCACGAGGCGACGTTCATTCACAGAATGCACGTTTCTGGAGGGCCTATAAATCTGCAGAAGTGAGAGCAGATAAGAAGGGGCGCAGCCAGTAATCGCTTTGTAAGCAAACATCACAGCTTTGAATTTGATGCGAGCAGCAACTGGCAGCCAGTGCAAACGGATGAGCAGCGGAGTGACATGTGCTCTTTTAGGTTCATTAAAGACCACTCATGCTGCTGCATTCTGAAGCATCTGAAGAGGTTTGATAGAGCTAGCTGGGAGCCCGGCTAGTAGAGAGTTGCAATAGTTTAGTCTGGAGAGAACAAGTGCTTGAACAAGGAGTTGAGCTGCATGTACAGACAGGGTTGGGTCGGACCTTTCTGATGTTGTACAGTGCGAATCTGCACGATCGATACATGTAATAAATAATAGTGCTAATAATAATAACATTATACAAATGCAAATTGTCATAAATAAACAAAAAAAAGCTCCACGGCATGAAGAAGGCATGGAGGCAGTGGTTTTTATTTAGAAAATTATATTTTTTATAACATTTTAATCCTTAATTTTTTTTATTTGTTAAGATATTTGTGTATTGTTGTACATCCTTTGTGTCTTAAGCAATCTGTAAGCATTTTGGACCTGCATAGGTGCATAACTAATGCACTTGTGCTGGACTTTATACTACTTCTTTGTTGGTCAATGGCGTGGCCTTATTCAGACCTTCAAAATAGCACACCTTAACACACCTCCATTTTAGACCAGCACACCCATGAGTCCACATAGTGGCGGAAATGAATTTGCTTTTAAACAACGTGGCGCAAAACATGAAAATTAGGGTTGCACTGGTCTGAAAACAGCAACAAATCGTGCCAAACACATCTTGTGCCTTATTTCGCCAGGTGTGTGATAGGGCCCAGTGTCTAGAATTGATAGAGTGCTCGTAATGTCAAACGTTTAAATATTTCTCATCTCTATCCTACCCATGCCAAAACTGTGCAGGTAACGCGTTAATCAAGAATGGTTTGACTAATCAACTTTAATTGAAAAATGTTTGTCTGTGTGGCCTGAAGATTATCAGTTAATAAAATAGTGGAAGAAAATTACATAAAGAAACAGGAAAAAAAATCCTAGGATTGATGTTCAAAAGTTATTAGCGTAAATTTGAGTGCAGCTTTGAGTTCTATATGGCACAAGAAGGTTGAGTTTGAGACTCCTGTTAGGACAATACACAATGTACCAACTTTAATAACTGCCATGTAAACCATTCCATAGGCTGATATAGACTTAAGTGTAAGAAGAAGAACAACACTAAACAAAGTCACAGTGCAGTATATTTTAACACTCCTGGCTAATTCCATTTCATTTGGTGTACTGAAATAATACTATTAAATCTTCATTTGTTCCCTTAAGATTACAGATGCACAGTTGTCATTACTCTACCTGTAGATCAATACTTTAAGATTTAACTGTAAAGTAAGATGGAGCACATCTAACACGGTCCAGCGTTAAACACCGTTCCCTTCATCAGGAAAACTGCAACTCAGACAAGATGCTCTGAATAATTCAGAGAAACATGAGCACATTGGAGGTTTAGTGCTGTTCATTTTCCTTCTCAATCCCCCAAGTGCAATATACAGTCATTATATGCGAATAAAAGAGGTGAGGAGATGTACTGCTAGCAGGAGTTTTTCTAATAGCGTACCCACTTAATCAATCATGCTTATGAGAGAGCGTGAGATGCACACCTGTGGTAACTTGAAAAGACTGGATAAATAATTCAAGAGCTGAAAATCAACCTAGCAAGCTTCGAAAAGCCTCGCAGGTGCATGTTAATGGGACTATTATAGAGTTTTAGAAAAAAGCAGGTGAAAGCATTTTTTTTTATAGCTGTGTTACACGAAATTGATGAAGCTAACGATTTTTATTAGTGTTCTGATCTAGTATCAAAGAAATACAATCACATGAGTTATAAAAGCATCATTCACAATGTAAAAGTTGCACAAAACATATGTAGCTTACCGTAACTCAGTAGCAGCTGGTGTTTTCCCTGTTTTGAGTTCAGTTTTCTGTCAGGTGTTGTTTAGCGCTTGAGTTTCTCCATTGGATGAGAACACTTGTGACAGCTGCTGCTTATGGTGACTCCAGTAGAAGACCTGGGCCTGAAACTCTAAACCCAATCCAACCCTTGATACCGACACTATCAGTCTCAGTGAGTCAAACTGTAAGCCGAGTTAATGATTGTTAATGTTTTAATGTGCCTTAAAGCGGCAGTGCAAGGCTGATTTTACATGTTTTGTTTAAAAATTCTCTTTAAATTAGGATTTCATGTGGATTCTCACAATTACTTTGTTTTCTAAAACACTTAAATATAATACTGCAAAACATTTACATAAAAAAATTTAAATACCAAAAATATAAAATATGATATCTATATATGGTGGTTACATATATACATATAGGTGGTGGGTTAGCTTGAGAAAAATTACTTGATTTCTTTGCAAAAAAGAAAAGAGAAAATAATAACAACAATAATGCTGAGATAATATTGTAAAAATTTATTAAATTAAATAAAAAAAAATGTTTTAGTTTTCCCAGTACTAGGTTGCGGCTAGAATCCGCTGTGTAAAAAAATATGCTGGAATAGTTGGCGGTTCATTTCTTTGTGGTGACCTCTGATAAATAAGGGACTTATCTAAAGGAAAATGAATGGATGGATGAAAATGTTTCAGTAATTGCTGTCCTTTGCATTGAATTTTTGCTCAAAATCACGAATTTTCATCTTGATGTGGCTTAGTTTGGCTTTCAGATATTCACATCTTTCCTTCTTCTCCAGAAAGTAAGGATCCTTAAAGAAGGAAATGAGAAATTAACAACATTAAATCGTTTAATTTTTTTGTCTCATTAGGTTTTCGTAAGAGATTAAAAAGGTGACTTACGTTCCTTTTTTGCTCATATGTTATTAATAAGTCGTTGATTCTTTTACTGTCCTGAATAAAACATCCACAATTAAAACAATGTGTTGGTGTAGTCTTATAAAAGGTAAAACAAGAAAGAATCACATCTCACCTCTGCGCTCCTCTTGTTATTGATGAGCTGGCTCATCATAGTGTCTAACTCCTGAAACTTCATTAAAGTGGCGGTGATCTCCCTGTGCAGTTCCTTGTACTCCTGGTATTGATCATTAAAGACGGCTTTGTATTGCTCTCTGTCCTCTAAAGAATGAATTTCAGGATATTTTCTGTAATAAATAAATACATCAATTAAACAATCTAATTATTAATGGGACATTTTCTGTCAAGGAATTTTGTTTTGTGTGTGTTTGTTCTGTTTGTGTGGCTTTTGTATTTCAATGAAATTAATGTACTATATTATAATCAAGGCGAAGCATTGGCGCAGTAGGTAGTGCTGTTGCCTCACAGCAAGAAGGTCGCTGGTTCGAACCTCGGCTCAGTTGGTGTTTCTGTGTGGAGTTTGGATGATCTCCCTGCCTTCGCGTGGGTTTCCTCCTGGTGCTCCGGTTTCCCCCACAGTCCAAAGACATGCGGTACAGGTGAATTGGGTTGGCTAAATTGTCCGTAGTGTATGACGGTGTGTGTGAATGTGTGTGTGGATGTTCCCAGAGATGGGTTGCGGCTGGAAGGCCATCTGCTGCGTAATAACTTGCTGGACAAGTTAGCGGTTCATTCCGCTGTGGCGACCCCGGATTAATAAAGGGACTAAGCCGACAAGAAAATGAATGAATGAATGAATATTATAATCAATATTTAGATACAGCTTTACAGTGCTAAATTACATATATACAGTGGTTATAATCCATTTATTATCTGTGAAACAACTTTTTAGCATAGACCTGACAGTGAAATTTCCCACTTGGTTAAAATTTCCAACTGTCACTGCACAGTGATCACGAATGCCTTATACTGACAGAAACAGTTGAATAAAAGTGTTTTTTTTTTTTTTTTTTTAAAGTATTCTTGTACCTTGTTAATATTCTGATTAACCCACTGAGGTAATATGCTTTGTTTTGATTTTTCAGGTTCTTAAAGGAGTCTGGAACTGTTTGTGGAGGACGAGGGAGCTCTCGGATTTCATCTAAAATAGATTCATCTGTATTCCAAAAAGGAACGAAGATTTCAGGCATTTGGAACAGGATGAGGGTGAGTAATTAAAAACATCATTTTCATTTTGGGTGAACTACCCCTTGTTCAGACATAGAAATATTACTACAAAAAAAATCAAAGCAATACATTAAATAAAGCGGGATCTTATCGCTTAGCACATTTTGAGTTCTGGTTTTAAATGTTTCTGCTCACAAAAATCTCACAAAACCCCATCCAAGGATTGATATAATGAGGAATGCAGCCAGGTGCAGTTGCTAACAAAAAGCAATTTGAGTCAAACACCACGACACAACATCCATCCAGTTTTCAAAAGCCCTTCCCAATGTTGTCTACATGTAAATCAGTTGCTTTTAAACCTACAAATATTTATAGATGACTGGAAAAGCCTTTATAGTGTCTTAGAGGAGCTAAAATTAGAGCCTTAAACACCAACTGGATATAACCAATACCTGCTTCTTTTTTTGGTTCTAAAAAATTCATTTGTTGTTGCTAGACCAGATATACACCGTGAAGAATACTAACATAATGTAATCAGCGATGACCCTGGGTTTAGGAATGTGTCCTGTTGGAATGGCTCCAGTTAAAATCTGTCGTTCTCCAGCTCTCTCTGAGAAATACAGCGGCCTGCTCTCATTCACAGAGCCTTCATCCATTTCATCTTTGAATGAAATTTTCTTGGATCTAGTCGAGGAGCTGCCCATTTTGGATGTGGATTCCAGAGTCTGCTGCTGTGAGTGACAGATAACAGCCCTGACAATTAGTACAAGCTTAGAAGAGTGAGACTTTTGCAGACACTGTAAATTTCATTAGTGCTGTTTAAATAAAAACCCTAATATATTTAAATGATCTTAAGAACAAAAAACTATTAAAATTCTTATTAAACATACATTTTAAATGAAATATAGACATACATTATTAATGCATACCAACCCCAAACCTTTGAATTGTATTTCAAAGAGTCTCAAGAGGGCGGCATTTTTATTAAAGAAGACCTATTATGCCCTGTTTCACAAGATGTAAAATAACTCTCTGATGTCCCTAGAGTGTGTATTTGAAGTTTCAGCTAAGGATACCACACAAATAATATTTTACAACTCTTTAAAAACAACCCTTTTAGGCTTTGATTCAAATTGTGTGCTTTGATAACTGCCACTTTAAATTCAAATGAGATTGTGTTCCACGCCCTCTTTTCAAAAAGGGTGGAGCTAAAAACACCTATGTGTCAGCATAGTGGCAGTTTGAAAACTCTAACGGCAGACGGTTGCTTCTCACTCAGGGCTGTTTATGCTAATAAGGGAGAGATCGTCACTAATGGGTGGGGCTTTACCCCTCTGATAACATAAACAAAGGGAGAATGTCAAAGTGTTTCTGCAGACTATTTTTATCATGTGTGATTACAAGAAATAGAATTAATTAATGTTTACCATTAGATGCTGATTATATTCACACACTGTTAGCAAACAAATGTGTATAAACCCCTTACAAAAGTGATTCATCCAAACTAAGTCCCCTTTAAAAGAAAGCGAACAGAAATATATTGAAATATTATTATTTTCATTTCATTTCATTTTCAACTGCTTTTCCACGGCCGGGTCGGGGGTCAGCAGTCTTAGGAGAGAACCACAGACTTCCCTTTGCCGAGACACTTCCTCCAGCTCCTCTGGGAGGATCCTGAGGCATTACCAGCTGAGAGACATAGTCCCTATGTCTATCAATATTATTATAATTAACTTAAAATTAAGCAAAGGCAAACTGGCAAAATTGAATTTTCAATGTTTTTACACAAGTTTTCAGTTGACTTAATCCTTCAAAAAGGCTTTTTAAGTACATTAATGTATAGAAAGTAAAAACAAAACAGTATTTACTAGGAAAAGCCTATACTGTTCATTTTTAATCCATTTAATGCCTTCTTGTTAAGTAATATTAATAAAAATTCTATTTCATTGCCAAAAAAAATCTTAATGGGCCAAAACATCATCAGTAAACTCGTAATTTTTGGTTACCCAAAGAATCTTAGTAAATAGTTAGAAAATAACCCATTTTTCCTGAGATTGTAGAACATTTTACAAATCCAAACAATATATTATCTACTGTTAAGAAAGTTTTCTGAAAGGGAAAGATCATTTGGATCATTTGCAATATTATCTTGTAGAGTGCAGTGTAAAATGTATATTTACCGGGCTGCTCAGCTGACATGTCATGGCCTCCCTCTGACGGCGGGCCGCTTCATGCCTCCACATTTTAAGGCACACCAGGAAGCTTATCAAGTACATGAGCATGTTAAAAAATATGAAAGCAGTCCCAGCCATCTGACCCCCCTCGACACGACACAGACTGGACAGGACTGGGTTGTTGCCAACCGTCATAAAGCAAAGCCCACCCCGATTCAGGTCATTCACATAGACGATACCCGCTGCCATGTACAACAGCGAAATTACTAGGTTCATAAAGGCCTCAGTGAGAGGCCACCATTTGGAATCCAGCAGAATCGTTCGGTAGTACATTGTCAATCCCAAAACCATCAGAATAACAGTGAGTATCCACGAGAGTCCCACGATGACCAACACAAAAGCCGTCATGGGCCCATTGTAGCGGTATCCTTGCGTATTGGTTGGCCTGTAATAATTGGACCACTCGCTGTCTCTCTGAATATAAGCACACACACAGGCGAAAACCATCCCGCCAAATAAAAGTTGAAGACCAGCAAGGAGTCTTAACAGACCGGGCCAGGACTTCATGTAGGAGTATTTTAACTTGTACACCTCCAACTTCTCAGCATAGTACTCTGCCGGATGGATACTGGTTAGTTCTGATTCAAGGGTGTCATATGTGTATCCTGCTGAACCTGGAGGGACGTCTGACTTGAAATCACCAGAAAAGATATTGAATTTTTTTCTGTCCAGTGATGGAGACTCTGGCGGACTACATCTTGTGCCATTAGGCAGTATTTTAATTCCTCCTGAAGATCCTGATTGTGATTCAGAATCAGTCTTCCTCCCTTTATTTAACAGACCAGTCCACGGCTTCTGAAATGTACTTGTTTTTGTCTTCTCAGCTTCCTCGTTGTCTGTCTGTTTGGCTGAACGGTTCTGACCATGAGATGAGAAACTTGAGTCCTCAGAATGATCATCCTCCTCCACATGTTCTCTGTTGAAATCTTCATTTTGTGAGGATGAGCCGTCAGCCAAATATGATCTGCTAAGATCCATTTTGTTTTAGCTTCTGAGAAAGCTCTTGTAGTTGTCTATATCAAACTAAGAGCAAACAGTAAGAAACGTTAATTAATTAGTTTTAATCTAACATGTAAAGTAAGCAATATTATGCATATGAATTACAAACAGTTATAATAGCCACTTGAAATGCTTGCTAAAAAAACATTAGCATACCTGCACACTGGTCTTGTGTTTTGGAAGCAAAATTTTGCTGATGGCCTTTGTAAATGTTTCTAAAGAGTATCAGTCACAGTCATTAATATTCATACACACAACAGTTGCCTATTATCAGCTAAAAGGAAGCTGAACTTTGCTCTCCTAAGCATTTGTTACATATCAAAAACATGAGTCCTGAAAACAAGTCACACTGTGATAAACATTAAAAACACTCACCTTGTTTTCAGAGCAGGATCGTTTGCTGTCAGTGAGTTTGGCTGTCCGGCTGTGTTAAAATGGCTTCAGAAAATTAAAAACAAGGCTAATAAAAGTGAGTCAGAGGCGCTGCAGGAAGCCAGGGCAGGGATTAAACATTAAACCTGCAGAGGCCGAGTCTGGTTACAGAGACAGGCAGGAATTCAACCACATGCTGCCAGTGGTTTCTTCCCCTCAGACACTTGGCACATTCCTGCAACCCTCAAAGGAAATGATACACAACTTATTTTGTTTCACTGTGTCTTCTTGAGTATTCATAGACGGCTAAACTACTTTTTTTCCATGGGTATATTTGACGGTATTATTCGAGACTTTATCACTAGAGGGCAGTAGAGGAGTAGCAGAGACTCTCATACACAGTTTTAGCAAAGCTGCAGTGTCAAATAAAATGTTTCTTGGGCAATTTCTGTGTAATTTGCTTTTTATAGATAAAATAAAAACGGTAACAGTATGATAATCACAAACTCTTATAAATAGGCCAAAACCAAATAAGGGAAATGGCAGTTGAGGAGATTCATGGTGCAGATGCAGCTATTTTGATTACTGTGAAAGTTGCTTAGGTATTCGGCTACTACAGAAGATTCATTGAAATATTAATACATTAATGAAATGATTAGTCAGAGATGTGTCCTTTAACAGACCATATAATGAAGACACTACTAAACAGTACAATTAAAAACAAAAAAGGTACTTTAGTGACTGTTGATTTCATGAAGAACCCCCTAAAGATCGATGGAAACTAATTCAAGAAGAAGTTATTTATTGAAGAATAAGATTATTTAGCTTGTTTAAATGTTCGTCACATGAATATTTATTATTATTAGTTTGTTATTGTCGATCAATTGTTAATTGAAATAATATGTAACCAAAAATGGTTTTTCTATAGAACTGCTATGAAAACTGAAATTTCAAAAATCAAGGGTTGATTTTGAGTTTCTTTCCCTTAGTAAAATCACACAAATGATGACTAACAGAAGAGAAATATTCATTCGATTAACATAAACATCATGTATTATGCATTGTAATTGACATCTTGCATGTTTGAATTGGTCAAATAATCTTAATTACAAATGAATCAATTAAAATGTTAAGTGTCATTGAATAATTTAAACAGTTCAATCGTTTATAAAGACAATCATTAAAAATGCAAAGATACTCCATTTGGTTTCTCAGCCCTGATTAACAAAATAATAGAAACCAGCACAGAAGATGCTTTGGACTACAAACATTACCAACTGTTAACCAGTATTTTTATATATATTTATTAGTGTGTTTTGGGACATATTCAATTGTAATTTAGTGGTTTTCACATGCCGCCAATAAAAGGCACCAAATAACCCACATAGGGACCATAAACTTTTATTTCTTTTAAAACCAATGCAGTTCCCTCCAGAACCATCACAAGTTCTATGAAGGCTTCTATTGTTTTATTTCAGCATAATTGCCACATCATGGCGAAATCCTGAGGGGAATCTCTAGACAACCTATTTAGGGTGCCTTAAATGGCCTATTATGTGCTCAGTGAGCTCCAAACTATATTTTAAGCATCTCAAAGCCTTTCCTTTATAATGGGGTGTTTTTTTTGTAAAAACTTGGACACCTGCCCTTTTAAATGCTATTTAAAAAAAGCTAAATTAAATTCCAATGGTACTCAGTAATATGCATCTGAATTCACCTTGGAAAATGGCCTTAGGGGAAGTTTTTGTCCCAGGATAGCTGCATGTGGTTTATCTTCATTCCGCTTCAATTAAATGTTTATGAGGTCCGCTCCACTGTTAATGGGCATATGTCTTACACTCACATGCTGTCATTACTAACGTGATGTGGCCCATTTTCATGGCTCTTCAGGGACTGTCTCAAAGATGTCCCTTTGCAATATTCTCACACTTCAGGATCTAGGTCTGCCTGCTTCATCAAGATTTTATATTTATTTTTATGAGGAATCTTCATTGCATATAGGCTTAATTGCTAAGATGTTAACACATCTGTCCCAGTTCCTTAAAAAAAGTTATTGTATAGAAAGTACACAGTTTCACTAAAGAGGTACACTACCTGACAAAAGTCTTGTTGCCTATCCACGTTAAAAACAACCAATACTAACTTGAGTTCTAGTTGATTATTTGGTATCAGAAGTGGCTTATAGGAAAGACAAATGCCTCTAGATTATGCTTTACTTAAATAAAATTTGATCATGCCTTAATTTTGAATTATTTAATTAGGCCAGCAAGGTCTGATTTTGCTTAGACAAAAGTCTAGTCATGTTGCCATTTACTTTGCAGGTCTCTCGCATGTCCCCATACTGAATGTAACCCCAAACCATAATTTTCCTTCACCAAACTTGACAGATGTCTGTGAGAATCTTGGGTCCATGTGGGTTCCAATAGGTCTTCTGCAGTACTTTTCCACTTTTCCAACTGATCAACTAGACGTCAAGTTATTATTTGGTGCTCTTTCAACAGGGATAGACGACAACACATTTGTCAGGTAGTGTACTCGGGAATTTCATGTTTTCATCCTCATTTGAACACATTCATCCAACATCACCACGCCACAGGACATTCTCAAGAATTTGATATTTATTATCTGAAACATGGGCAGATTTTTGTCCACACTGTAGCTTGTTGGGCTATCTCTATGTAAACAAAATAAGAGGATCTCAACATACGAGACCATGATAACCCATGCCTTTATGTACAGTCAACCTGGGAGGATACAAAATGCAAGTTCATCTCTCTGTGTTTGATCATTCACAAGTATTTCACAAAGAAAGGCATTTAGGGAAAAAATGAGAAAGAAAATAAAATTATGTAGTTCAATAAAATACGTCCTAGTGATTTGGTGTCCCATCTACTAGTGTATGCAGTTTGACATCAGAAGGCCTCTGAGTCGAAATTGGCACGTTACAACATTTAGACTGTGCTGACGGTGAAAAAGAGTGAGAGAAAGGCATGAACAAGGGTCGTGGTCTTCTTGTCTACAACCACGCAGTCGAACGTCAAATTGTTTTAATTAGGATCCAAATTGCACTTGATTTCTCATCAACAGCAGCTTAAACAACAAAGCGGTCCGCTTCTCTATTTTTGTCTACATTAGGAATTGAACGTTACGACTGGCTTTCTCAATTCGTCTTTGATCTTCGTCTTATTAAAATGTGCTAGAAGTGTCAAGTATGTTGCAGCAACGAAAGCTGTGAGAATTCTCCACCCCTCTTTGATAAGTTTTCACTTGAAATGTAGACATTATTGTTTGGCAAGGTTGCTAATTTTAGGCATCATTTGTACATAAGATAACAGAGTACTGGAAATACATAAGACCTAAACACAGTATTGACAACAGAATATTGAAACGAGCTGGAGAGAAGTTGCGATGAAATCTCTCAATGGTAAATTGTGTAAATGGTTTTCTCGTTTATAATAATTTAACAAATGCTTTTTCGAGCAAATCAGATAAAAGAAAACATGCATTATTAAAAGTGTTTAGGGAGAATTTGGCTTTAACATGAAATGTGCACAAAATCTGTGTGTGTCCTTGAGTGAGCGTGCAACTTAATTTGACATGGGTTTTTAAATTAACGATATGGGCTTTGGTTAAGAATCCGATGTCTTGCAGAACAAATGACTAAAGGAAAATCTAAATATTAAATCAGGCACAAATAATTGATATCCTATTTTTGCCTGACCCTATTGAGGTGTTTAAAAAAAGAAAAAAGCTTTCATATATCGCTAATGCCGCAAATATGGGAGTATAAAAAATAAACTACATAGGCTCATTCTGAAAACAAAGCCCTATATACGTTTCTGGAGACCGCCAATTATGTAGCCAGAGGTATGTATGGCTGCATTTTATTTTTTAAACGAACGATACAGGGAGGTATGACGCCATTCCTTTTCATGCTTACCAGCTTACCTTCATATAAACAGCTTTCTCTCTGTAACCAGTTTGTCCCGTTATCTCACCATGTATGTCGGCGGACTTCGGAGAAAGGTTCCAGAAAGCAGGTAAGACAAAAACAGAATACAAAAAATAAAACAAACAAGTAAATAACAGTGTGGTAAAACCTGAAAACGTGATAAAAATCAGACGAGGGCTTTTCTTTTCTGGATTCCTTTTTAAAATTGTTGCTTGGGTTTAGGAAAGTGGTTGGGTGGGTCAATCAATAAAATTGATTGGGTTTAGGGAAGGAGGAGGGTGGGTCAGTCAATCGGTCAGTCAGTCAGTTGTTCAGTCAGTCAACAGCAGCCTCTGGTGAGTTTACGTGAGAACAGCAGGTGTGAATGGCACTCGCGAAAGAAATTTGAGATCTGATAAGGTGTACAAAGCAGCCACGGGTGAATTCGCGAAAACAAAAACTGTAAAAAAACGTACCCCCTGAGACATGTTTCATGCTCTACAGAAATTTATATAGAGGTTTTCAGAATGAGCCTGGGTTGAAAATAAAACTATATATATATATATATATATATATATATATATATATATATATATATATATATATATATATATATATATATATTTATTTATTTATTTATATCTAAAGCAAGTTACCATGAGATGATTTGCAGTCATTTACCAGTGGTTCTAATCTGTGACAACACCATCGAACACATAACATTGTCAGTTGCTTTAAGGTTATGTGATTACTCAAAAACCACAGATTTCAGTAAAATACACGGGAACAGGAAAGACAGATTTTAGCTCTAAGCTGCCTTAACGGTATATTCAGAAAAGTGCAAATGTGAGCCACTTTAATGTCTTCCATAAGCATCTCTTTCTGCTCTATCAATACGCTTTCATGATTTATTTAGAGTTAATCCTACTCCATCAATCTCTTGGTCGAGGAATTCATTTATAGGTAGAACAAGGAATGCATCAAACAAACATTACAACATTACTGCACCGCTATATTTGCAACTCTAAAAATACTATCCAATTTTTAAAAAGGAATCTCTTGTGTAAAAAAAGAAATGAACCAAAAACAAAAAAGACACACACATACGTTTGAAAAAACCATCCATAATCCATTCGTCACAATTGCACTGAAACATGCAAGGTTTAAATCTCAGTCCTGTCATACGTTTGTGCCTACCACAGCATTTAGCACTCTGTGCTGTCATTTCAGATTCAAATATGCAGCCTCTCTGTAATATGAAGACTTCTGGAAGCTCAGATTTAGTTCAAATGAAAGTGTTACCTGCTTGAGTTGAAACAAGTTCTTCCTTCCTACATTTCTTCCTTCCTGTCCTTCCTTCCCACATTCTTGCCTGTCTTTCCCTTGATCTTTCTTTCTCTCTTCCTTCCCTAACCGGTGGAAGTACTGAAAGGCTTTGGAAAATAAGAGAAGACTGCGACAGAGTTAATGGTATTTGTTAAGACAGACGAGTTCAATTGTCTTCAAGAGGAATGTATCTGAAAAAGGAATGCAATGCTTGTGTTAACATCGTACAAAAAACTCGCTCCAAAATTTGTAAATGGACAACCCTCCACAATCTATACATTCAGGCACTGAAAAAAATAACATGCCAATATGTAACTAAAAAAAGATTAGTTGCACCCAATTTCCCTTGAAGGAGCAAGGGAACTGAATCCTTAAGGTTGGCATTCCTGCATTATTCTACTCAGTAGTAAGGTCATGTGCTCCTCCGTCTCCAGCTGGATACTGAAGTGATCGCCGAGCACCCAGACACTCAAGAGGTGCTCGCAGAGATGTCCCGTGAATCTCTTCTGTGTGGGTGCTTCGCTCCTTTGTCGGTTTGCTTACCTTCCCGTGGACCCTGTGTTTTCGCAGTTTGTAGGGCCAGTTTCCTGGACTCACTCCGGCTTCCTGAACTCAGTCTTGTAAATATATGAGGGCTTTACAAAAAAGCTAACTTGAACAGCCATACAATGGCTAAACATAAACCATATATCTACTATTTTTGATAAATCTTCTCTACTTATTAATACGAGTTCTTCATCTCGGCTTGATCATCAAACATGAAGAAGTCTGAGACCATAGGAAGCGGGGAGCTTGTCCAGGCCGCTGTTAGCCGCTGTCCGAGGAGGTGTGCGGGGCAGTGGAGGGGGAGCGCCGCCGTCTAGATGGGGTCCAGGAACGGTCTGAGCCCAGTGATGGGGGCCGGAAGCGGTGCACGAAGCCATCCAGAAGATCCTGCTGCTGCTGAGTTATGGCTTGGGAGATCAGACAGGGCAGAGCCTGCAGGCTGCCGGTGACTGCGTCCAGCTTGTCCTCCAATGTGCCAATACGCTTGTCCAGCTCCTCGCTGCGCTCCTGCAGCTCTGACACCAGGTCATACATCACATTCTGTGTCTACAGGAAAAAGTTTGAGAATCAATCAATTAAACAATTTAAAATAATTTAATACTAGTCTTTAAAAGAAACACTTTCCAGGTATAGACTTCACATTGTCACTAACATTTTGACTGATCTGTTATATATAGGTGCTTAGGAGGGTTTAAAATGAACTTTTATGCTCCCCACCCATTTTGCCTAGTAGTTTTCCAAAGTTACTAGCCACTTGGCATTTTCACTAGCCACAATTCTGTTGTTGGGAAAAAATATTTTATATGCTTAAATTTAAATTAGCTTGATTTAAAGTAATTTTACGATTATGAAATGCAGCAATCAACATTCAAAGTTGATCAAAACCTTTCGCCAAAGTTGGCCTAAAACCAAAACAATACCTGTTCTTCTCTTAGGACATCTTTGATTTAATTTTTGGATCCACTTCAAACGTTGACTTCTATATACCTGGTATATAGTGTTATTGATTAGTAACTGATAATGACTGTCAGGAGTTAAAAATCAATCATTTGATCTAATAGAGTTTTTCACAGTAGACAACAACCTTTGCTGTGTCTGGGACACTTCACAATGTCAGAACAGCTCTCAGTGATTGTTTGTTACTAAGCCACTTCATGTGTTTTTTCAAACAGCGCAAGTGAAAATACCAGGTCTAAATGCCAATGTGCAATCTGACTGTGCAAACCACTTCTGGAGGTGGTTTGAGATGCATTGCAGATACAACTAGACAAGTATAAACGCATCTTATTGTTGAAACCACAGCAGATTTTTAATTTTATCAGTATCACACAACAGTAATATTGTTGTACATGCACACGCATTAAAAAAGAATCCAATATTGGTTTTGGTAAAAACATGCACTCGTTTTCCATATAAATTGAAATATACAGTTGAAGTAAGAATTATTAGCCCCCGTTTATTTTTTTTATTCCCCAATTTCTGTTTATCAGAGAGCAGATTTTTTTCAACACAGTTCTAAACATAATAGTTTTAGTAACTAATTTCTAATAACTGATTTATTTTATCTTTGCCATGATGACAGTAAATAATATTTAACTAAATATTTTTCAAGACACTTCTATACAGCTTAAAGAGACATTTAAAGACTTAACTAGGTTAATTAGGTTAACTAGGCAGGTTACGGTAATTAGGCAAGTTTATGGCAGAGTGGCCTGACACACGAAAATATAGCTTAAAGGGGCTAACAATTTTGTCCTTAAAATGGTGTTTAAAAATTAAAAACTGCTTTTATTCTAGCCTAAATAAAACAAAAAATACTTTCTTCAGAAGAAAAAATATTATCAGACAAACTGTGAAAATGTCCTTGCTCTGTTAAAGATCATTTGGGAAATATAAAAAAAAAAAAATTCTAATGGGGCCTTATAATTCTTACTTTAATTGGAACTATATATGTTTCCTTTACAAATATTATTGAGAATATTACATATTCTATTCTAAAACATAAAATAACTTACAAAAGCTAACACGTATTCTAATGTCATATATAAATAATATAAAAAAATAAAAAAATGAATAAATAAATAAATAATGAGACTATTTATTAAGAAAGTAAATGTAATTTTTATTATTTAGTAGGAAATGAAAAAAACATACTTTCATAATAATATTAATAATGATTATTATTATTATTATTAAGTAGGATATTGTTTATTTTATTTTTTTGAAAAGTTAATCTTTACAATTTGACACATGTAAACCACTGCAGAAATGTGCTAACCAACAGGCGTACGTCATATACAGTACAGATCCTTAATAAATAACCTATAAATTAAAAGCAACAGAATATGCTATGTTTTTTTGTTTTCACAAGCTTTGGAGACTTAACAAAAATGTTTTCAAAGTGCACTGTGAAGTGAGCTCAATTGTAGACATGAAGAAAAAAAATCATTTCAAGTTTAAATGTTGGAATGTTTTAAATGGATAGGGCATAGAATGGTTAAGTGGGAATAGAACACAGCCAGGAACTATGTTTCTAACTACAGCTCCAGGGATGTATTTGCAAGCATGGAAGTTTGCGAGGCAGTTTGCGAATGTTCATTGGAACGACGGATTTAGGAAACACCAAATCAACAAACTGTTTGTTATGACACAATTTGCGACCTTAATTGGCTAACGATGGTTTTCGGAAACACATCCCTGGATGATTATCAGATCAGATCTCTGTGTGGAGTATTGGCTGTTGTCAGACCCCTTGTGCAAACAATAATCTCACTGTAAATTTTAAATCAATTACAAAAAATAATATTTGTAAATGTAAACTGATATTTCAAACTGACATGCAAAATAAAAAATATAGAAATAACCGACTTTAAACCTTTTTTTGATGAAAATACTAGTGGCCTGAGACTTCTGCACAGTGCTGTGTTACATAATAACCCAAACCAGCATAATTTCTTCATTTCCCATTTAACAGACCATAATATTAGCTATGATTACTAAAATGATTCTTTTGCAGATCATGCAAACTACAAAACCTCTAACATACCTTCGCCAGGTCCACCAGAGTGTTGGCCTGGTCATTAAGTTTCCTCTGCTCCATTTTCACACTGCGGAGCCTGGGAGGAGGCAGGGTTATGGAGGGACGGGGGGTTGGGAGGAGGGGGACGTTAGGGAAGAGTAACAGATTCCTGTCAGGAAGACTTGATAAGGATGAGGGATAGAGAGAGAGTGGCCTGCATGCAAGCATTCACAGTCCTGTTTGCCATACCAGTCATGCAAACCCAATCTATGAAATGTAAAGAAGAGAAAACTCTTAACTTAACGTTCAAACATGACACATCTCCTTTTGCCCCTGCAGGCACGCGTCAACCATTCACAAAAAAAGCCATCCGAGAGCCTCGTTTGTGGATGAGGTCAAAGGAAGTGGCAAACAGCTGAGGTAGAGGTATATGTGACACCGCTGAAAATGCTTGTGAGAATGGCATTGCTTGCTGTGGGCTTGGTTCTGAACAAAATTTTAAAAGAATGTGTTAATGAATTTTTTTTTAATTTGTGCCATAGCAACTATGAAAGAGTACAGGATGACTCTGACCATGAGGAGACATTGTAAGAAAGGCTGCCTTAATATCCTGCCCATTGAGTGTTGTAATTTAGAAACATGCGAGTCTGCTGCTCCGGTTTGTCATTGGTTAGCTAAGATTAGAATTTATTATTTTTGATTTTTTTGACTTTTAAAGTTAGACGGATTTATTTTGGAGCATCCGGAAAGAAAAAACAAAAAGGTCTGGAGATGCAGGACATGGTCAGCATTCTTTCTAATGCAAAAACTCCATATCATCTTGCATCAAAGCCCTGAATGAACCTAAAAGTCTTTAATTTAGTGGCTGTGGTGGAAGGAAACACGTCATGGACCAAATACATGCTGTGACCAGTTTATAGAAGGTAATTGCACTACAAGTCAATTGTTTAAAGTGCACTTTGTAAATGTCCTGAACATCCTGTCCCACATATTTGTTTCACTGGACACACAAGGAGGGGCTATCAATGCAAGTTAATACAGAGATTTACGTTTCTGGATAATGGATTCGGTGCAAATGGATAAAATCAACAGTTCCAAAGATGCTTCTCCTTCAGAAGGTTACTTAAAACCATACAGCATTAGGTAATGTTGCATCTTTTTCATTCTAGACTTAGAATGGAGAGAAGCAATATAGGTAACCAAAATCGGCATTCAGCTTCCAACTCCATGCATATGAAACAGAGACAGGGAGGATGTGGGGAGAAAAACACAGAGGACAAAACTTACTTCTGAGCTCTGCAGTGATAGAGCAGAACGAAGACAAAACACAGTTCAAGTTTAGAAACCACAACATGTACACAAAATGTGAGCCATTACACTGCACTAACCATAACCACAAGGTAAGGGTTTGGGGAAGGAGAGGGGAGAAGGACAATCATCACATCACAAAGAATAACATGCTGATCCATTTTCTTAAGAAGGCTCAGAACTCATTCATACAGTACAGCAAGGATTAATTGGGGAATACCCATCCCTTAAAATTCAACATGACTTTAGAAAGTATAAAACAGTTCTTCAGAAGAGACAAACATTTAAAACATTCAGTTTCTTGAATTAGTGAAAATAAAACATACAGCGGAGATCAAAATTAGAGAACAAATTGTAAACACTGAAAACAGTGAAGGTTGTGGCACGAAAAAATATAAAAAATAACAATTTCTAAAAGTTTCAGGAGTCAAAAATTAGTTGAAAGTGATCTTGGGACTTTACTAGTCTCTAAAAATGCTCTGATGAGATCTTGATCAGCTCTATGTTTATCTAAAGATGTGAATTAGAACTGGAATATCGCATTTAACATTTGCAAATAAAACCGTTTCCATCCAGTGAGTCAAAGAAAACTAAATCATTACTTCTTGATGAACTGGTGCCAAAAATCAAAACGAAAAAAGAAATTTGATGGTTAGAAGTCATTGTGGGCCTTTTTCTTTTTATAATAAATTACTTGCGCCTCAGAAGACGAAAACAGTGCAGCTGCAGCTGCTTAAAACAGTTCTGGAAGGCAATAATACACTATATATAATACTTTGGAAAAGGAATTTTAGAATGAAAATGTCCTTTGCTTTGCTTATTATTGCTGTCTCATTGGCTCATTATTTAATATGAAAACAAAATCACATGACTTTTTAATGCGCATGCTGGATCCTATTTGGTAAATGTGTTTCCAGCATTATGTGCATTTGTTCTTATCAAATAAAATTTATCCTTCTTAGCTGTGAGATATTTTCAAAATGTATGTGCATTTTGCTGTTTCCATGAAGTGCTTTTCATGCGATATTCCGAATAAAAAGTATTTATTTATTGCAAAATAAAAAATATTCACATACAAAGACTAAAAGAAATATAGTGATTGTATTAGTCTTAATAGCCATAAATTTGTCCTCATTTTCCAGAAATTTTCAATCAGGTTTACAAGAGAACTCTAGACTGGCCATTTCATTATTTCAGTGTTATCAGGAAACTGCTTTACCCATTTTGTGTGTGTGACGAGTCTAATTGCCTACATAGACAGACAGTCAATTTGAGAGACTTGAATGAGTCAGTGACATTGTGAAAATGCAGTATTCTAGTATTCATTGATTTGGTGAAACTCATCCCTTTTGCCTTCATCTGAACACCTAGATGAGGGTCTGAGGGTATCAATCACTTTAAAACAGCTCACATCTTACAAAGTAAGATAGTGCACCACAAAATTTCAATTCTGTCATTACAAAACCTGTAAGACCTTCCTTCTTATTTGAAAAATTTATTAAGATATTTTGGATGAAATTAAGAGTAGGTTTTCTGAAAAGTCAAAATCTAGAAAGTACTAAGAGCATCATCAAAAATATTCCTTTAGAGGTTAAATCTTAGTGAAGCAACACAAATGCTTTTGTGCATACAAAATACAAAAATAACAACGTTATGCAACAGTTTCTTCTCTTCAGCACTGGTACAGAGTGCAAATTCACAAGAACATGTGCCTCTTGCTGCTGATGTATACCCTGGTTGCCTGATGTCTGTAAAGATCCATCTGAAGTATAAGTCAGCTCTCGTGCTCTGTGAATGCAGACCCTGAACTGGTGCTGAAGAAAAGAAACTACTGAATATAGTCGTTATTTTAGGGGGAGTTGCACATAAATTATTCTTGTGCCTTCAAAAAAAACTACGACTGAATCACATTTTGGTTTGACAATGTTCTTGGTATCTTTCTGGGCTTTGAATGATTCTAGACCCATGCTGTCTATAGAGTGTCAGAGAACTTTTACATTTGACCAAAATATCTTAATTTGTGTTGCAAAGATGAAGGGTTACAGGTTTGGAATCACATGAGGGTGAGATATTAAAAGAGAGTTTTCTTTTTCAGATATTTTACCACAAGCTGCCAGATTGACATCAATAACAGAGTAGTATCTGAAAGTGTTCTCTAATTTTGACCAGTGCTCTTTATCAAATATCACATTTTTTAAATCTACTGCAGGTATGAAATACAGACCTCAAAATTTTAGAATGCGTTGGTTGTTCTCTAATTTTAAACTCCACAGTAAAGTTGATCATTCATTAAAATGCATATCCACAAAACTGGTAATCATACCTTTTAGTTTAAATAACTTTACATATTGTTCAATAGATCTTTAATCTTAAATTCAGTTTAGAATTTTAAGTAAGTATCATGCGTATACGCTGAAATGAGGTAAGAGTGTGCTTACTGGTGAATGGCCTGCAAGAACTTGCGCTGATGTTTGCGCACTTTGGCATGATCTATCTTCTTCACTAATTTTGTGTGTTTGTAGATGAGCCATGTTTCCCTGAGTACATTGGCAGCTGTGTTCTTCACCTGTAAATAAAAAAACATTACAATGAAATGTCACTTTCATGAAAATACTAAAGCAATGAATAAAATTGTAAAAAAAAAAAAGAAAAAGAAAAATGACATGACAAATTACTAGTGTTTTTTTTAAATAGGTACTATTTAAAATGACAGTAAAATTACTTTAAAAACATACAAAGTAATGCTCAAAGACATAAATCATTTTACCAACATCAAAATAATAAATTTATAATATCTTTATTTTGTCCTTGTCCTATTTAATTCTACCTTTCATTTTTCATACACTATTACCATGATTTACAAAAGACACCCACTGATATTCAGTGTTTAATAGTTATATATATAAATATACATATACATATACATACATATACATAAATAAATATGCATATATATTCAAAGAATCCTTTGATACTCTCTTAAATGACTAATACTTAAGGATCACTGTACAAATACTAATTCATTTTCATTTAAATTCTTTATACTTTGCCACTATTATAGGTTTTGCTCATTTGTCTGAAAAAAAGGGTTTTTAATCATTTAAACTATAATAAATGTAGAATCATCACTTACTCTTTTACACATTTAATGAGTACAGATAAGAATAAGCATATTATTTCACTTTTTCATAATTATATCTGTGGCAATACATTATTTCACTAATTTTTTTTGTTCACAAAAATTATATAAAACATGAAAGGATTTACTTGCTTTTTTTACTCCTTTACTTGCATTAAATATGCTATTTATTTACAGAAAGTATTCAGACCTCCTTAAAATTTTCAATCTTTTATTATATTGCAGCCATTTTTCTAAAACCATTAAAGTTATTTTTTCCTTGTTAATGTTCACACAGCATCCCAAAAAGTCAGGGCTTTTTTTTAACTTTCGTAAATGTAATCAGATGCAGATTCTGAAATGTGTATCTTGTCATTGACCACCAATTTATTTATTTATTTTGAAGAAATAATGTGCTTGACATAAATGGTTAGTTAGCAACTTACTCGTTTACAAAGTTGGGTGTCCATCATGAAATTGTGGACGTGTTTCTCAGCTTTTGTCAATTCTAACTTTCTGGCTACTACCGCGACTACAAGTGCAGTGCAGCCAGCTCCCTACAAGAAAAGATGACGAGTAGAGAAAAAATCATGATTCATTTTGGAAAAGTAAGCTCAGTTTTCTTGAAATCCGACATTTAATCATAATTGGAATTTGAAGACATACCATGATTCCTGTGAGAAGGCAGACCCCTTTTCCACAGTATGTGTGAGGGACCATATCTCCATAGCCAATTGATAGGAAAGTTATGGAAATTAGCCACATAGCTCCAAGAAAGTTACTAGTGACTTCTTGTTTGTCATGATACCTAGAATAGTAACAACAAAATAGGCAGAAAACCGTGATCAGGCTTTGGAAAACAATACTACAAGTATAATAATGAGTATTTGGTCCAAATTTCCAGACATTTCAGGTAAAATATACATAGAATTTATATCAAATTTCAATTTCGTGAACTTAAATCTCAAAATCAGGTTTCTGCCCATAGTAAGAGTAGAAAGTAAAAAACAACACACACAAAATAGAAAAACTTACCAAAAGCATGTAAATGCAGGATCTAGTATTATTGCTAATGTATTTGAACATACACACTTCCCAGATGCAATATTTTTGTCATAAGGTGGAAAAAAAAGATCTTTATGAAAAACAACATTTATAATATCCTCAACTTCTAATTACTATTCATTTTCGATAGGTATCACAAGTGGTCAGATAAAATGTTTGACAGTGAAAAGCATTGTAAAGCATTTTCCAAATCAGCTAAAGCAGTGTTTCTCAACCACGTTCATGGAGGACCACCATCTCTGCATATTTTTCATGCCTCCTAAAACCAAACACACCTGATTCAGATCATCAGCTCATTAGCAGAGACTGAAAGACCTGTAATGGGTGTGACAAACAAAGGACACATCCAAAACATGCAGTGTTGGTGGTCCTCCAGGAACGTGGTTGAAAAACACTTAGCTAAAGTACTGTTTAAAACACCTTAGAGATAAAGGGCCTATAAATCCTTATCCCGAGACTAGACTATTGCTAGCAGCTCATCCACATATTTGCAGGAGGTTGACCTTTTCAGCAGCCTGTCGAGGAGGAGCTAAGCACAGGTCAGAAGACATTTGTCTGCATTTAATACAGTAAGGGAACAGTTGTGATGAGGAATAACAGACCTTGGCCTTCAACAGTCATACTCAATAGTCGGACTGAACACAAATGACCCAGATTGTTACTTCAGTATCTAATCAAGCAGATTTTAAATGTCCCTAAATGACCTGTTTTAAGACAGAAAACACAAAAGAAGTCATGCCACTATCAGTTGTGCCTGTCTACAGCACCATTCAACTCTGCAGTCATGCTCTAAGAGCAGGAGCATTGTAATAGATTGTTTGTTGTTCAATGTTGTGGGAGAGCCCCATTTTCACATGCGGAAAGCATAGTGACCATGCAGGCATTTCAAAGAAGAAATCCACATCCTGCATGCTGAATAAGCCAGTATATTGAGAGCAAATATACAAAGCCTATAATAAAACTGACCACCATATTGAATGAAGACAAAAAAAAACATCAACTTTGATTTGAAAAAATAAACAAACAAAAAATATTTAAATTAATTCAGCTTTATGGGAATTGTTCTAATGAGGGATTATTTATGTACAAAATTCGGATGTTGTCTGCCCTTGTGCTACATCACCATTGTGAAACAACACAAAGTGCTGGCACATACCATTCTAATACAAGATCATTTGCAACTGATCTGTTTTGAAGCTGGTGTCAGATCTCAGACATCCTCTGTGTACCAGGGGTGCGTTTCCGAAAACCATCGTTAGCTAACTAAGGTCGCAAGTTCCGTCGTTACAAACATAGTTTGTTGATTTGCCGTTTCCCAAATCCGTCGTTCCAACAAACATTCACAAACTGCATTGCAAACTTGTCCGCTTGCAGCTACAACTCTAGTTAGAAACATAGTTCCTGGTTGTGCTCTATTCCCAGTTATCCCCCTATGCCCTATCCATTAAAACATTCCAACATTTAAACATTAAACATTAAAAAAAGTAATTAAAAAAAATAATAAAATAAAATAATAATAATAATAATAAACATTAAAAAAAATTAGACATCTCTTTTAGATGTAATATGCTTTTAAAGTTCAGTTTTAGCCATCTTCATATTGACAATTGCGCTTCCTTCGCAGTGCAATTTGAAAACATTTAAGCCATATTGAACACAGCCCATAATCATGAAAAGGGTATCTTATGTCTCTAAAGCTTGTGAAATATAAATATATATATATATATATATATATATATATATATATATATATATATATATATATATATATATATATATATATATATATATATATATATATATAGCAAACGTTAATGGTTTTAATATTTTAATATAGTATTTTTATAGTAGGTTATTGATATGGGCCCATTGGTTAGAAGATTTTTGCAGTGGTTTGAATGTGTATAATTGTCAAATTGTCAAAGTAGACTTTTGAAAAAATTTACTTAAAAAAAACAATACATTATTATCATTATTATTATGAAGATTTTTTTATTTCTTAATAAATATCCAACTGTAAATTAGGCCTACAAACACTAACGTTTTATATAATTATATATGAGATTATAATACATGTTAGCTTAGTGATTTTTTATGAAATATTCTCAATAGTATTTGTAAAAGAAACATATATAGGTCCTATATGTGTCGTTTACATATATTTAAATTAATATGAAAAACGAGTGCATAGTTCGTTTTTTTTCTCAAAAGAAGTTGTTACTCCACCCCGCTTAAAGCGTCATTATGGACATTTTACATTATAACTAATGTGGTCCAAACGATGGATCTGCAACAAAGCAACTACGGTTTTGGGAAACACTCGTCACTACATCATTCTTTTTTCAAACGATGCATCATACTATGATAGTTCAGCCACAAGTTATGTCGTTGTTTGGGAAACACACCCCAGATTGTCCTCTTGAAGAGCTCTGGTAAAGACCAGACTTGCATTCAACATTATCTCAACCATATGCTTGTTTCGAGAAACCTATTAAACTCTAACAATTCGCATGGCACAATTTTTGCAAAGAAGTCGTATCCTGTGAGGTCTGTCTGTTTGCACACCTGAACATGAATATGGAGTGCAGGTTTGATCATGACTATGCACACTGTCTTCGTCATTAGCTGGCCTTTGTTTTGACAGCGTAGAAGTGCATTATCATTTCCCTCAATGCTGGTGCTCGAAAGCAAAAAAGCTACTAACTGGCCTTCTAAAGCTCTCAATATACTGTATGCAATACTGGCATATAATGGAGAAGAGCTGGCACCACCTTCAACTTAGATCAAGAAGTCTATCTGGAGAAAGTGTTTCCCCGAATACTCCGGTCATGTCCCAATTTCTCATAAAACCTCTGCAGATGGTTGCTTAGTAGCAAAAATCAACTATTAAATACCTTTAATGACTCTGCATGGTTAGAGGATGCAGTGATGGAGTAAATATAAAGACATTTAAACCAATATCAAACCTCTGATAAGCTGATAACTGTTTTTGTTTTATGACTAGGCCCACACGGAATCTGTGCATGCAGAAATCCGCAGATTTCCACAGATTTTTAGCCCATCATTGAGTCTATGTATTTAAATGTGTGTAAATTTATATTTATTGCGTTTTTAAATTCATTTCACTGATAATATTGAGACATAATAATAATAATTTTAAAATGTTCATGATTTATTTACAGTAAAGTTTGTAAAGTAATGTTGTCTTTTAGTAGAGATATTATATGAGAGACTTGCTTTGTTTACCAAATAAGTGGATCTAATTGGATTGTAAACATTAAATAAAAGTAAAAAAATATATATATTTATATTTTATTTATTTTTTTCTTCATATATTAGCTTATTAGTTGTGATACTACTAAAATCATTCTACATAATTCCACAGATTTTATTAATTGTTTTTTTTTTTTACAAAATTCTCAGCAGAAATAGCAAAAAATGTCCGCAGATTCGGTCTGGCCCTAGTTATGACCATTAAGATGATTAAACTGATATCAGTTGATAACTGATATGGCACCAAAAAACTGTGCAAACTTAAAATCCAAGAAAGAATGCACAATAACAGTATATTATACAGCCTGATATATGTAAAAGCTCCAATATATATTGATACCTAGTATAACAACCACATAGTGAAACATCTAAAGATGAAACAGTAATGAATAAGACAATTAAATATTCATCACAGTCTACTAAAAAACAATGTTAAAAACAAGCCACTTAGGTCTGTCGTTAACTGATATAGTACCAATATTTGGTGGAAAATCTAATCTAATTTTAAATTTTACATTTAAATATTCATGTTCAGAGTAATGCAAATTTCCCTATCCCATAATTTAGCTCCCCATTCTCATTACATTGTTGACTCACACTGTATGTTAAAGAGCTCAGTGTGACAATAAAACCACACAAAGTTCAGGTACGATATACCAATTCTCCGGAGGAAGGTAACATGCTCGTTTTGTAGGAACAGTCCTTCTAGCAGGTCTGTAATTGGGCATATGCTGTCAGTGAGCTGGTGTCTATTTATTTTCTTATCACCATTCTTAAAACAACACAACTGTGTGCACCAAAGACGCTATACACGTGGAGCATCCTGACAGTACTGCAATGCACCTTCTCAACAGTGTGCAAATGCTCTCTTCCAATCCAAGCATCTCTTGCTTTTTTGTTATCAGAATTCCAACTACATTAAAAAAATGTTATCGTTTGAGGAGATAAAGATGAAATGATGCATGGAACTGTACGTACATTTGGGAAAAGGGCCTAAGAAAAGGAATCCGCCCGAGTCATGCATAAAATTCAGGGAAAAGTGGGCAGGGAGGTTGCGGAAACAGGACCGGAAGATGCGAAGCAATGAACAGGAGGTATACATGAACTTAAGTGTGAATGATAAGCCGACGTTGCGAATAGCAGCAATGTTCCTCCAATGACCCAGCCCTTCCTTCAGTTTCCCATCCCTCCCATTCCAGACGGACTCCGTGCTCGTCCAGTCTCACACCGTTCTGCCCTTTGGGCTGGCCAGTGTGCTTAGAGTAAAGAAAATAGTGCAGGCCCAAATTTAGCAGCACTTTGGAGAAACGAGCGCCTCTTTTCAATGACGACAGAGCAGTAAACATGAAGACTACCATGCTGTTTCATAGTTTACCAGAAGTGGGCACCCAGTAGTCTAGCATCCTACAACCTTGCTTTCTCTTGTCTCTGAGGAGAATGTGCTAGAATGGACAGCAACATTTCACCTTTTTGTTTCTAGATAGTATATAGTGTCAGATATTTGATCGGGAGCCATATTAACATTACCCCCCTCAACCGCCAACCCAATCTCTCACTGGATAAGCAACCCAATATTGTTCAGCAACTTGCAAACATTTTCCATTGGGTTGCCATTTAGATTTAAGTGAAACAAATATGCGAACAAACATCTGACCTGACCATTATGTCAGTGTAGATTTAGATTCAAAAGAAAAGCATGTACAACACAAAGGTTTGTTTCGCATATATCGTTGAAGCTCTGTGTTGTGCTGGGGCGTATTACAGTTCAATAACATCTGCTGAAGGAATAATCGGGAAAAAAAAGAGTTGCCCTCAGGCCTGTTTGTAAAGGTGATTTGAAGGAGCTGCTCCATTTTAACACAAACTCCCTCCTCCTCTTCCCTCCCTCCTACTCCTGAGCACTTTCGAAAGAGACGCTTGATTCACAGTGCTGCGCAAATCATAGCTTTCCAAACCATTAGTGCATTTGCTATCAACAAACTTCTCTTGATGGTGCCACATTCACACGTTTTGTTTTTAAACTGTAAAAATTGATCTATTGGAGTATCTTTTTTTTTTTTTTTCGGGCAGAGCTGCCGAATCCCACCCCTCCCCCCTCTTAGAGCAGCAGTGGCACCAGCTCAATGAACAATGATAGGTTTTCCACGGCTAGAGAACGAGGACTCACATGGCATCCCTATGGAGCAGCATAGAGGGGAAATAGAAAGTACAACAGTGAATTATAGTCACACACACACACACACGCACTCGAAAGCTTCCTCCCATACCTTCATACAGGCACGCACAAGCAACGCAAATTACTCACGCAAGAGTGTGGGCAGCATCGTGTCGTGCATAGCAGCCGATGAGACTGGGGTGCAGAGTGCTGGGAAGTGGTATGGTGTAACATCAAAACCTTCACCTCTTTTACCACTCCAAACTCGTCATTATTGCCTGTTCGGTTTCTTGTAAACACACCAAAGGGAAACACAGCCAGAGACTGCTCTCTTTAAGAAAAAGCCTTTGAGAGTGAACTGTCTTTCTGACAAAGAGATAAGAGTTACTTACACCTCTTCTTGTCATCTCTTTTCTTTTGCAAAGGATTTCATTTCTTTGGACGGAAATAGAAAGCTGTTTTTATTAGGGCTTGCTTTTAATGTACGTTTTCCAATTTGGTTCGTTTTTTTTTGTTTTTTTTTAGATTTACAAACAATTGATTTAGTTCAGTTTGAGTTGATTAATCAATTTTAATCAATTTAGATTATTTGGTCCTACTTTATATTAAGTGGCCTTGACTAATATATATTTATAATGAAATTAATCAATTGTTACAATGTATTTTTTGTGTAAATGCATGTTTTTACTTTGTTATTATGATTGATTGAATACCTGCATATAATTACACTTGTAATTAACTTCTGTAATTACATTTGTAATTATACTGATGACTATGGAGTCAATCTAGGGCCATATATACTTGCAAAATAACAAAGTTTTGCAAACCAAAAATAAAGTCTTGAGCAAAAAATAAATAAATAAATGCAAATCTGAGTTTGCGATGCTGTTTTCACTTTACATTTCACATTTGTGCACGTTTTACTTTGTGGCCCTGATTTGACAAGGGGGCGGAGTCAAGGGAAATTGGGCGTTTACGGTAGGCCCGGACCTACTGTGGCTACAAGAACTACTGATACTGTGCCTCCAGGTGATGACGTTGCTTAAATTGAGGCAAATCCAAGTTCCCTTGACTTATCAAATCAGAGCCACAAAGAGAAACACGCAGAATCATGAAATGCAAAGTGAAAACAGCATCGCAAACTCACGGTTGACTAAAAAGCAAATAAAAATGAGCATTGTTTTTCTTTTTTTCTTTTTTGCATTTTTTAATTGCAGATATTTTAGTTTTTTTTGTTTTGTTTTTTGCACTGCTTGATTTTTATTTGCATTTTTTTTTGCAAATTTCTTTTTTAATTCTCAAAACTTAATTTTCTCTTTAAAGTTTTTTTTAGCAAAATTGATTTTTATTTCTCAAAAATTATTTAAATTATAAAAGATTTGAGTTTTTTTTTTTTTTTTGCTTAATACTTCATGTTTTGTTTGCAAAATTGTCTTTTATTTTGCAAGTGTTTTTGGCACCTAGATGACCATTTCTTAAACCTTAACCAGACTTAAACCTACCCATTACCCCAAAGGGGGCCATAACTCTATCCCACCTCAAGCGCACCAGAAGTGTTCTGTAAAACTTTGTGAACACAGTAAGTACATTGTAATTATTTTTTGACGTAAGTACATAGTAGTTAAGGCCACTTAATATAAAGTGGGACCAATTTTTAAAATTGAATTCCAATTAGTAGGGGGACATATCAGTTTTGCTAATATATGTATGAAATATCTTTATAAAAGAAAAGTAAGAAAGGCAATATTTGTGCATGCTGTTTTAAAAGAGACATGTGTGTATCAAACTATACTTGTTGTCCAGCAACATTTGTCATTTTATAGCTTATTTTTTATGTTTATGTTTATTTTTGTTTATCTTTAGACATTATGTTGACTATAAGTAACTTTGGAAAATCATGCTAACCAAGTGTCAGAGTACTACTGGACTGTTATGGTTAGGGTAAATGTGGGTTAGGGTTACTGTTATGAAGGTTAGGATTACTGGAATAATTGAGCATTTATTTGCGAAGCTACTTCAAATATTTTCCATTGTTGGAGCATCAAAATAAATTGATAGCAAATATTAAAAAGGCTACTAAAACTAATCTACTAATACTGTAAAATTGCATAAAATTTATTTTGATGTTCTGTTGATTACAAGTTACTTTACAACTATATGTTAACTAACATTCTTTAGAGCATGGGTGCCCAAACTTTTTAGAATGAAGGGCCAAAAACCAAATATCATTGTGAGCCATGGGCCAAAGGTAAATATACCAAACTATATTACATTAAAGTTTCTACGGGTAATTTCCTAATTTATTTAATAATATTTCAAAATAAATACATAAAAAACATTACTGTAAATCTACATACTACTGATGTAGTAAAACTATTAAAATGATAACTTATTCCAATAAAAAAATAAACAATCGCATTTAACTTCCACACAGTGGAGTGGAATCCTGAATATTCTAGTCAAGCAGAATCTGCCTTTGCTCACCAAATTCTCTTCATTGTCAGGTGACGTTTTAAACAAAATCTGATTAAATTACACCATTTGATTGAAACATTTAATTTAACTTTTAAAAATGAAACAAAGTGTTACATTAAATTTGAACAATTTCAAAATCATGCCAATCATTTCTTAAATGGGATGGCAGGCCAGATCAAAGTTACCATGGGCCAACTTTGGCCCACAGGCTCTAGTTTGGGCATCCCTGCTTTAGAGTATTAGATTTAGTAGAATAAGTTGACTTGCAATGATAACTATAGACATTAGTTTGTCTGTTGGGGACCATCAGAATAAAGTGTGAGCAATAGATTATGTGCAAGTCTACTGCAGTCTAATACTCTAATGACTGTTACTACATAATTACTTATAATCAACAGAATGCCCATAGGAGACTTGCCTTTTAATTCATCACATCTGCAGTAAAAAATGACTTCTGTTGGATTTTTAAGAAATAATATGATGATTGTTCTAATTAGAATCACAATAAACGGGGATAAATAACTACATTTTACTACTAATTACTACTTTTTAGCCCTATTATGCTGTATATGCATTTCAAGTGCCCCGTTCACTCTGACAGCTTTTTGTACTGTTTGCCAAAAAATACCAGTGGAACTGGTAAAGTTTTTATAAATCTTGTCACAACTAAAACATACAGTCAGTAGAAATGTCAGTATTCTTGCTACAATAACGTTACTTAAAATTGCGTCGGTTCTGACAAAGATTTTTATGCTTTTAATATATTGCTGCACGTATCATATTATGCATTGAAATTTTTCTCAGTGACATTAACATCTCATCTATACTCAACTACTGTATCTCATAGGGGATTAATCAGTTAATTGGTCTACTTATTGGTTGTTGCCACATAACAGCAGCTAATCAGGCTGTTCTCCTTCAAGACAGTTCTCCTTTTTTCTTTTTCTTTTTTTTGCAATATTTAGCTTAAATTTAATTGCATTATCTCTCAATTTCTAAATATGTTTGGTGATTAAAATATTATTTTAATAAATATATCTGTTTATTAAATCTGTTTTGTTCAAATGCACTAAAATACATTGCCTATATTCACTGAGAAATGGATACAAATATTCATTTTCAAAATGGAGTGTACCCAATTATGCTGAGCACTGTAGGCTGAGTTTTTCACAGTGGCACTTGGATCTGAAACTCTGAAGCCTATTCTGAGCAGGTTTGAGTCTAAAACTTTGAAGGGTTCCATATTAATGGCCTCAGGTTTAAATAAATTTTAAATAAATGTTTTACCAATGACCAGTGACCCAATAAACCCAAAATTAAACGGATGCAATGAGATTTGCATCTGCAATGAAGAAGGAAGAGCCACAGTTAATTTTGGGTAAGAAGTAATTCAGATCAGGTATTGATCTATACTTACGCTTACACACTATTTTTCCTATTTTTGCAGCAACTATTGCTCCCAGCAGAGGCGATATTTTAGTAAATATTCCTGTGGATTATATTTCAGGGACGGTCGTACAGGTTTGAGGACAGGTTGCACCTCATCTCATTTGCATCAACTTTGTTGTAACACTGGAGGTAAACATCTCTCACAATAATGAATAGCTTAAATTTGCTTTGTTATTATGAGTTGCTGGTGGTGTGAATGGGGCTTCAAGTAAGTCTCTACTTGTTTGAAAAATTCATTCGGGTTCAATTAAATCTTGTATAAGACACATGTTGGAGAGGTAAAGGTGAGGAGAAGCAGGCAACGCAGGCAGGAATGTCAAAGACACAGTACAGATAAAGCAATCAATGATCTTTGTCCCTTAAATCTAACCCATTTATCACAGTGCTGCTTCAGCCAAACAAGACCGTGTATGTCCAATTCCTAATGTGCCTTAAATATGTCGAAATCTACAGCGCCTCATGGGATGAGATCATGATGATGCAGTTTTTGAAGTGGGTTATCCTCGGGGCTCCTCAAGATTACCAAAACAAACCATTCCGCAAACAAACAATTAGGCAGTCATGAATTATTTAACAATCGCTAATACGGCTTTTGAAACATGGACTGGGATTTGTGGTGCAATCGCAGAGCTGATGGGAGAAAAGCTCTTCATACAGGCAGCGTGAGGCTGTTGGAGATGCTCCTGGAGGGGAATGAGTGAGTGGGAGATGCAGAGAGAAAGAGAGCGAGAGACAGAGGAAGAGAGCGAGAGAGCGAGAGAGAGAGGACGAGTGGAGGGGAAGGGAATAGCTGTGTAGCTCGGGATCACACTCTCCGTGGTGCCATACCTCTCACAGACCCGCACGGTCCAGGCCGCGATGATCCAGGAGGAGATGCTGAAGACCAGCAGCACGGTGCCCGGACAGATGGTCATGAGGGTCTTCATCACGAAGCGTGTGTTGAAGTTGATCTTGTTGAGGGCACCTATACTGCGTGAAGATGCGTCCGTGAACAGTTTGCTATGAAGGAGCATAACCCGGCCTATCAGGTAGAGGCGAAGGAACATGGGGATGGAGAGGATGATGTCTACGTCGGCGTCGGCCACGGAGGGCACGTAGGTGAAAGCCAGCCGGGCCGTCCATGTGAATACGTACTGGCCCGGGATGGGGTGAATGGCACACACCAACAGCTCCAGGACAATGAAAAAGATGCGCTCGTATGTCATGGCTATCCTCCAGTCATCCGCACCATTGTCCACCATGAACAGCTGCAGGGAGCAGGCAGAGAGCAAGAGGTTATTTGGCAAAAGGAAAACACAAATAAGAGGAAGCATTGCCAAGTGATGGTTTAAAAGTGAAGTGTGCAAAGAAAGTTTTCCTTTTACTAAAACCTTTCTTGTATTTCTGTTTTTGGTATGATAAAAACAGGTTGATTCCTGTGTAAACGTTGTTTGAAAATAGAAATTGTTTAAAGGGGTGGTCCACTATGATATCATATTTTAAACTTTAGTTGATGTGTAACGTAGCTGTGTGAACATTAACAACATCTCTGAATGTAAGACGCTCAAAATTCAATGCAAAGGGAGACATTTGCCTTTACAGAGTTAGCTTAGAAAAGCCTACAGCGAACGAAGTTTTGGTGACTACAAAAAATACATCTGGGCTAGTGAGATCACAAACGCTTCAGGTTACATGCATTCACCACGCATATACAGACCGTGGAGCAAAGGGGCATGGCCGGAGGCACTATAATAATATAGCAGAGAAAGCTAAAATGCCATCCAAATGCTGCTATTTCCACAGAGCTTGTTTTGTTGCTGTTTTGGGGCTTCCAAACGACACGAAACAAAGTCAGAGGTGCTTACAGTTTAATTTTGTTTCAGAAAATTATAGAAAATATATAGCTAGCATTTGACAAAGGAGAACTTCCAGAATCTCTCCTAGTTCAGTGCTGGACTCGGCTAAAAACTCCTCAAAAAAGGAGCCGCTCCAACCATATTAGACCAAGCTGTGGATTTTGAGCCAAAACCTGTATTTTTATTTATTAAAATTTATCTATTACCTGCATAGTGTCTATCGTTAATGGTATGTTGAAGCGAGGACATAAACAAGGATGTAAACAACGGGAAATGCTGTTTGGCACCGCTAAAAATTTAGCTACAAATTCATATTTGTCCATCAAATCGCTGTGAACAGCCACAATCTTCACCAGCCCAGCAGTGTCTTGTTATGCGGACGCTTTCTTTGCGTTCTACATCTCAAATAACGAACTGGCAAAAGATATGTGAACGTTTCATATTACTTAAACATGCTTATAACCCGAATATTTGTGAAAGACACTTATCAGATTTTATTTAAGAGAGCAGGCATAAGGGTTCAGCTGTGTCCTCTTTATTTTATTCCTAATTCAGGCTCATACTGACTGACAGTAATTACACAACAGAGGGACAACATGTGCTAGTGACTGGACCTGACGCTTCCTAATGATGTGGAGTTGATCCGCAAATCACTGCACATTATGTTAGCTGACCAATCAGAGCCTCTTGAAGGTGAGTTTTCGAAGGAACTAGGAAATGTGACAGTCATTTTCATGTTAGCTAAGTAGCTGTATATAATCAAAGTAAGATATATGAAAAAAACAATGTGATTTTTTTTACAAATGAAGCATGAGCACACATTGCTTTGCATCTTATAAACAAAACCAAGTGTTAAAAAAACACTCTGGACCACCCCTTTAAATCTAATTGAAACATAAGGGATTAAGATTAATTGATTAAGATTAAAATCGAGTTACTTAATTTTCCAGTTTTCCATCAATGTTGAATCTTGTTCAGCGAATAATCTTTTATCAGTGTCTAGGTTATTAGAACTAACCAAAACCATAAAGAAATTACTTGAAATAACTTAAAACAAACTTTTTTGAATAAAAATCTTTCTTAAAACAACCCACATATAACAAAAACAATATTAAAAACGTACTTAATTTTAATCGGAAGGTGTTATATTTAAAATTCACTTTAACTTTATGTGCTAAAACAACTAACACTAAACAAAAATAAAAATAATACGAGAACAACTCAACACACTTAAACTCAAATAAAAGTAACCCAGTCAAAGCAACAGTGGATTTCAGCTGTAACATAAAATAAAATTGCAAAAAATATTTGCATTTTTAAATAAAGATTGGTTAAAAGTTACCAAAAATTAAATTACACACTTCACCTTTTATAATTCACATTAATAGATCGTTCAAACACAACACAATCAACTTTTAATAAGTGAAACTTCAGAACTAACCTGTATTTCCCGAGCGTGGTACATTATTATAAGACCAAGCAAAATAACAGTGGAAAGGCTGATAAGGCATTTCAGTGCAAATGAATATGAAGATTCCTGCACCAAGAGAAACAGAGCACACCATTAGCATGAACACACACACACAGCCACCACACATTCTTACCCTTTAGCAGCTTATGCTAAAGTTATAAAATCTCGCTTGCTAAATGAAACATTCTTGTCTGAATAGATGCTGTCTAAACCATCTGCGTCACAAAACACTGCAGTGCTTCACCCTGGAGGAGTTAATCCCTACTGTGTCAGGGGGGGGGGGGAATCACTTTCCATAATATTCCCCTTAGCAACAAATGAACCTCGTGCATTTGGGTACTAAAACATCTGATTAAGTCTGATATTTGGGTTTTTCTCTGCCTAAACTCCCTTTGACACACAAGCATAATCACGCAATGCATGTGGGTGTATCTGATGATGTGAATACTTGAACATGTTTTTCGGCACTGTCCTGTTATCTCCGCTTAAATGTGTTGGTGGGACTGAGGGACTTGTTAGTTGAAATGTTAGTGTTGTACAGTAGAATGAGGACTGCAGATCGGCATGTTTCATAGAGACTGGAGAAAGATATAATAAATGGTAAGGTGATTGTGATTCAGCGCAGTGGTGCGGCTTCATTGTTTTTTGTATGAAAGAAGAATAAGACCTTTGTGGACATGATGAGCATATTTTGGTTGTGCACTAGAAAGGTATATAAAAGAGCTATAAATCTGAGAGATCTGTCAAGTCCGAGCACACTCTTGTTGAGAAACAGTACTTGATTGGTCTTTACTCACCATTTCTGGGATTCATATTCTATTGCTTGAATTTTGTGATGTTTTCTCAAAAAATTTGGAAAACGCCAACATATCTTCACACACTGTAAAAAGGTCAGTACTACAACAAAAAAAAAATCCTTATTTACTTTTGCTTTTTCTTATTCACTCCACTTTTGAAAACAATGTTTTAAAGGGTCACGAAACACCAAAACACATTTTTTGAGCTGTTGACAGTCGTATATGTGTCCCACACTGCTAAAAACACTATTAGGACACCTATATTTCACAAAAAAGTGTAAATTGGTTGTTTTTGCGTTATTTCAAGCAAATTCGTACTTCCGGTTTGAAACGAATTTTTGAAGCTGCGTCACGATCATGACATAATAGCGTGTATTCCAGCGTGCAGACTGGGCGTCTGTGCCAGAGTGAGTCTTATTACGTCTTACAGTGTGATGCATTAATGCATGAGTAAGGCTTGGTTCAAACCAATCAGCGCGCTCTATTGTGCAACTTCATTAATATTCATTAGTGTCACCGTGTTTACACCCCAGAGACGCCACGTTGTGTTGGCAAAACAAGCGTGAAGTGTTGCTTTTATAGTTTGCTGCCATTAAGTTTCGTTTTCATTTTCTCTCTGTGAGAGCTCATCTGGAGTCACGTGTGGATTACAGTGTAGGCGACGCTCGACAACAATAACTTACGTGTCTAAGGAGGAACATTGTTTACCTGAGAGCTGTTCTCATCTGCAAACGCTGAAATCCGGATTCGCTTGTAACGTTAGTCTTCTCTTCATAATGACGCGGCTCTAGTTGCTGGTGATTGTCCTGTCTCTACAGATTTGGTAAGTGAGCGACCAGTGCTCTTTGTTTATTCAGTTTGTTCGTATCGAATTAAGTTAACTATTGCACTGAGTGCAAACATAGCACCGCATTTTGTGACCGGAATAACACACGCGGCTTTCTGACGCTACCTGCCATGTGCATCTTAGTTTCCGGGAAATGCAGAGTTTTTTTTCTCTCATTCGCCGTGCGGTATCAAACATTGCATGAAAAATACACGCTTAGAGCAGATCCTCGAATCAAATATCTCGTTTGTCGCGAGGGGCATGAATGAATTCCCTGAATGAAAGAGCCAAACTGCAGTTAAAGTCCAACATTTAATAATTTGGCAAATAATTCGACTACAGATGTCCATGTAGGTTAAACACCATCACTTTATCATGTGTGTGTATTTTGACTGAAACTCGCGCGTGCCCACATAGACACCCCCACACCATCCCACTTTAGTTCCTCCGACACTCCCCCCTAAACAGAGCTGGACACGCCCACTTTTCTGACTTTTTCCAAAGTAGAGGTGTGAAAATACCCTGCTGAAACAAGGGGGTTTCATGGGCCTTTAATAATGTTATCTTTTGTTCTGATAATCTGATATTGTTTCTTACCAATTTCCAAAAGAGTTTCTTTGTTCACTCAACTTAAGACATTTTAGGTCAGTGCAACTGATGTTTTCAAAAGGTGAGCACACGGCAGCACCAATCATGTAGTGGTTAGCCATCGACACATGGCACTTCGGTGTTCACCGCGACCTGAGTTTGATTCCTGCCTCAAGGTCCAATGCTGATCCTTCCACTCTCTCCTGTCCCCTTGCTTTCCTGTCTATACTCTACACTGTCCTATCAATTAAAGGTGAGAAAACAAAATGTTGAGTACAGGAGAAAAACTAAAGGAAATAAGGATTCCGTTTTTTTTTTCACTCAACTTCAGGCACTGTAGTTCTACAGACAAAAAAATATTGAATTGTAACAACTTAAAATGTTTTGTTACAGAGTAGTTCACCTCTCCAGAAATTTAATAATCTTATGTTTACCCAACTTAATGTTTTTTTTTTTATCACTGACAAATAATTTTAGTTCAGTGCAGCTGATGCTTTCAAAAGTTGAGTGAACAAGAACAAGCAAAAGGAAATGAGGATTATTTGTTTGTTGTTGTACTGACTTTACAATTGGCATACAATTTTTTTACAGTGCAAGGTAATCAGATCCTAAATGTCCTGTTGTTTTATCAAAGATGCTTGTCAAGCCACTCTATAGCCTGGTTTCCATTATAGAAGAATGAGACTTACAGTATAGGTGTATTATCTAAGCATTAATAGTAGTCACATAAGAGGTGTTTCTGGCTGATAGAGTACACACTTAATTCTGGAACTGTGGATTCAGAATTTAGGGATGAACAAATAAATATATATATATATATATATATATATATATAATTTATACAATATATATATATATAGTTAAAGTCAGAATTATTAGGCCCCCTTTGATTTTTTTATTCTTTTTTTAAATATTTCCCAAATTATGTTTAATGGAAAAAGGAAATTTTCACAGTATGTCTGATAATATTTTTTTTCTGGAAAAAGTCATATTTGTTTTATTTCGACTAGAAAAGCAGTTTTTAATTTTTTTAAAAGCTCAAAATTTTTAGCCCCTTTAAACAAATTTTTTTCGATAGTCTGTTATACAATAACTTGCCTAATTACCCTAACCTGTCTAGTTAACCAAATTAACCTAGTTAAGCCTTTTTAACGTCACTTTAAGCTGTATAGAAGTGTCTTGAAAAATATCTAGTCAAATATTAATTACTGTCATCATGGCAAAGATAAAATAAATCAGTTATTAGAAATGAGTCATTAAAACTATTATATTTAGAAACGTATTGAAAAAAAATTATCTCCGTTAAACAGGGGGGGTGAATAATTCAGGGGGGCTAAAAATTCTGACTTCAACTGTGTGTGTGTGTGTGTTCAGTGTATATACAGAAACCATTTTTGATTTATTTTTGTTAATTCTGTGTTTCCATTAGCCTTGTTTTCAATTTGCCATTTCAATTATTGCAATTTTAAGGGTAATGGAAATTCAGCTTACAATGTTTATCACAACAAGTAATCATTAAGTTATGCTGTGTTTTAGGCTTGTTTGAATCTACAACATCTACTCTAAAAAAAATGAATGTGATTGTGATAGTTTACTACTGTTTGGTAAAGCTACAATGCTAAATGTGGTCCATTAGCCTGTGTGTACAGTTATGCTTATTGTATTCTGTAGTTGAGACTTGTGACAAACCAGACTTAAAATAACAAATTTGACATTTTTATTTTTACTTTTTAATTTTATTTTTAATTTTGGCTAATATATTGCTTTTCCCAGTACTGGGTTGCAACGGGAAGGTCATCTGCTGCGTAAAACATATGCAGGAATAGTTGGCGACCTCTGAAATAGAGACTAAGCCGAAGGAAAATAAATGAAGAATTAATGAATGAATATATTGCTGAATATATACAGTGCTCAGAATATATACAGTAAGTACAATATATAAGTACACCCCTCACAAATCTTTTAAATTCATATTAATAGGAAGCTATACAATTTTATATTTGTGCATTAGATTAGTCTGTACTGAAACCAAATCTGGAGCTTATCTAAAAAAAATAACTTACGATAACGGAACGAGTACACACAAATTTATATTCATTCATTCATTTTCTTTTTGGCTTAATCCCTTCATTAATCCAGGGTCGCCACAGCGGAATGAACCGCCAACTTATCCAGCACATTTTTACGCAGTGGATGCCCTTCCAGCCGCAACTCATCTCCGGGAAACATCCACACACAGTCATACACTATGGACAATTTAGCTTACCCAATTCACCTGTAGCGCATGTCTTTGAACTGTGGGGGAAACCGAAGCACCCGGAGGAAACCCACGCGAACGCAGGGAGAACATGCAAACTCCACACAGAAATGCCAACTGACCCAGCCGAGGCTCGAACCAGCGACCTTCTTGCTGTGAGGCGACAGCACTACCTACTGTGCCACTGCGTCGCCCTCCCAAATTTTTGTTATAGAAAAATATTAAATACAAATTGTAAAAAAGAGGAAAATACTAGAAAGGCACAAAGATGGAAAAATTTGGTTGAAATTTTGTAGGTTGTAACTTTATTTTTGCAATATTTTGCTTGAATTTAATTGTATTATCTTTCAGTTTCTAAATATGTTTGGTGACTAAAATATCATTTTAATAAATCTATCTGTTTAAAAAATCTGTTTTGTGTAAATGCACCAAAATACATTGCCTATATTCACTGGGAAATGGATAAAAATATACATTTTAAAATGGCGTGTACTTAATTATGCTAAGCACTGTATAATATGTTGGCAGAAACATCAGTGTGGTTGACGAACCACCTGCAGACACACCCTTACCTCTCCATATGCACCAGACACTTCCCTACAAACACTCTGCTACAAGGAATTATATTAATAACATTTATTAAATATTATATTAATAGTAATAATAAAACTGCTAAACTTAGACTTATATATATATTGCTGCTCTATGGTGATTTGAAGTGCTTCTTTTTTCTTCATAGTTCTTCATACTTAAGTTACTTTGGTGTTTGCTAACTGAATACTGTATATGTAAATCAATAGATTTAGTCCAATAAATCTTCCCTAGATTTTCACTCTTTTTATCTCATGCATTGTACAATGATGTACATTACTTTGAGAGCAGGTACTGTTGTCCATCTTTTCAGTCAAAAGTTTCTGGTCTTGCCACTGATTCAAAATATAAAACACCTGTTTAAACCATCCAAGCATATCAGTAAATATGCCCAAAGATAGCCTTATTTTATATTAGGCTTCATTTTTAGTTTTGCACCTTACTTTTGGTTAAAGTAGGCATAAAACAGGCTACTCCTCTGCAAAGCATTTGTACTAAAAATATGACTTACAGTAAGTGACATTTTGAAAGAAACACGCTATATGCAAAAACGTCCAAACCAAAATTTGCTGGTATGAGAAAGTGTGCATAATTTATATAACCACAGAAAAGCAATTAAAAGATTTAATTTTAACAGTGAAATGAGAAAGTCTTCTCCATAACCCCATCTAATTTTACCCTGGCTCCCAATGGTCCCTCTATGAAAAAATGAGGTCTGAAATTGTTATAAATTTCCCGTGTGACAAATTACACCGTAAACTAATTAATGCACCTGTTGGTCACCAGAAGTTTTTCTTTTTCATTACTTTTATTCCAAAGGTCAGATTCCTGACAAACACCTTGCTTTTCTTTCCGGCTGACATTCACATGCCATTGTTCCTCCCTTCCCTTTTTTTTCTGTTTTCCTGCAAGATCAAGCCATGTGATAATTCACTTAATTCAGCTGAATGTGACAGTAGCAGTGTAGCAGTTCTCTCCCACTGGGCTAGAAATAGCACAACCATTACAAAATCCACATCTCATGGGAACTGAGTGGTCACAGTACCAAACACCTCATTTTGGAGACCCTGCATTAAGGATTGCTTTGGGAGTTGTCTGTAATACAGGCCTACCTCAAAGTTTAGAGTTTTTAAGCACTCTTAGACCTCCAGTACTGCTTGTAAAAACAAGATTACGTAACAGTATGTGCGGTGTGTGAGATTTTTAATGAAAATACCACGACTATATTTTGTAATACTTGTAACATGTTTTGATAAGAGACCAATCATTGACATTAGTTAAAGCATACATTAATACTGAGGCAGGGTTTCAATTAACTAAAAAGAATATAAAATATTTTCATTGCCTGATTAAGTATAAGTAGGGATGCTCCGATCAGGATTTTTGCAGACGATAACAACTACCGATTCCTTGTCATGGTGATCGGCAGATACTAAGTACCGATTCTGATGCTTTAAGCTTTATAATGCAAAAAAGCTAATTTACCTATAAGTATGATAGTAAAGTGCAGTGGCGCCATATTTATTTATTACATAATTTAAATAGATTATTAAACAATATACACTATGATATATTGACAAAGCAAGAAAGAATGAGAATAAATAAAGGTGTGCGTGTATGTACTTGCATGGTGGGAGATGGGTAAAGAAATCTGTTGGCTTTAGTTTTGCTGGCAGTTTTTCCGCACCTTAAAATTACAATTCAGATAACTATTGTTTAACACAAGGTTCAGAATGAGTAAACACTCTTTAAAACAGATAAACCTAATTGAGACATTTGCCAAAAGGCCTAAAACTGATGATACAAATACTGATCTCCTGCATGGGTTGGAGAATGCATTCATCAGTACCTAAGCCGGGGGAACTGTCTCTTTCACGGAGACCCGGGAGGGACATGATGGTGGGGGAAAAAAATAGGTGGAAGAAAAAAAAATTGGTGGTAGAAAAAAAATAACTGGGTAGGAGATGACGGAAAAAGTTGTGGTAGGTTATTCGAAATGTGGTGGGTTTCTTAGAAGGTGTTGGTTATTAATTTGTGGGTTATTAAAGGTCTTTTCTGTCACTACTTGTTTAGGCTGCTTCAATACATTCAGTGTATGCTGCATAATTAATCATTAAAAGATCAGAATCTTAACACCCACGCAACATTTATTATAAATGACGGTGATTTGCTTATGTTTATTAATCCTTCGAACCGCTGCATTTAAATCTGTGATTGAAAAAACACTAGAATCAAGAAAGGGATTTAGTTTTTAGTGTTTTGAGTTAGTTATGAAGTTACAAACAGTCAAATAACACAGAAGTACTGGGATAACATGAAGGTGATTTTAATCTTTAAAATAAACTGCAGTTTATAGTTTAGAAAAAAAACATGTTTATAGTAAAATCACCGTCATGTGCTTGAAAAATTAAAGTTGTAGGCAGCAACTACATTATTTAACCAATAGGTAGCCATCAAAGCCATCAAAAATATGACACTAAATAATTCTTCAAAAATGATACATCTAGCAATGAAACATGAAGTTTTGAGTGAATAAATGAATCATTTATTGAAAAAGAGACTAAAAATAAATAGGGTATAAACAAATTATAATGTTAGATTTATACATCTGTATATGTGTTATTAGCCACAGAAGTAGTAACTAGTAGTAGTAGTAGTAGTGGTAGTAGTAGTAGTAGTAGTTACTGAATATTTTACTTTTTTTTATTCAGCTGATTATTTCTTCATTTTATTTTATGAAACCAAGCATTTTTTGCAGTGCTGTTTTTGTAATAAATGGAAAGCTAATGACATCTGCCTCCTTTTTGGCTGATCTGAGAAATGATCAAATCCTTGACCAAAAAACCATGATGTGATAAGAACTGTGGGATTTGTGATCCGTTATACCACTAGTTAGTTTGTGTTTGTAGCTACATTAACTAATGAAACCTTATTGTAAAGTTTGACCAATGTGGGTAATAAAGCTACTCATTGATGGATAGAAAATCTCAGATTAGGTCCTGTAAATAATATCATCAGACAATTTTTAGCACTGGATTACTAAATGTTGAAATAAACATTCAATTTAATACAATTTTTAAAGTCTATGGTGGTTCATTTTATTAACTGTTAACATCTGGAACCTTATTGTAAATAAATACCAACATTTTCAAAATAAAAGTTCGAGCTGATCAGGAATTTTAAAAACAATTTGTTTGTCCCTTTTTCTTTTTGTTAATAGTGGTACTCTAACTGATTAATGTGACCAATTTTATAACTTATCCCTTTTTTACATATGAAAATTCCTGATTTATTTTATATTATCAGAAAAGGTCAAATTGAGGATACTGCACACACATCAGTCCACATGACATGACTGCAAGTTAATCATTTCTTCCAAAAAAGAAAAGACTGTATTTGCAATTAATTTGCTATGAATCCAAAAAAGGATTACACACCCAGATAATATCAATTCCTTTAATTATTCCATGGCCAAATCTTTTTTAGACACACAGCAATTTAATTAACTGAATTTTTAAGCATAGACTTTTTACTCATTTTCTACAGTATTATGATAAAAATTAATCGTTTAGATTTTTTCATTTCCAGTTTAGGATCAAATGACATTTTCAATCCCAGAATTTCTTTCACACTTTTCAATCCCACTGTTTATCATATCGTTACCTTGGAATTATAAGGTTCTGTCTGCGTTCTGAATGATTTTGAGATATTGAGCTGCAAAGTATTTGCAATCCATATAGTAAACAATATGCGTCTAACAGTTTTCCTTCATACATTAACATGACAGAGACCCTAAATGTACTCTAAATGTAAATTATCAAAATTCTCTTAAATTTGCTCTCTTATTATTGAAGAATTACTTTCCAAGAAATACAAATCACAAAACAATATAAAATGGTAATGTAACAATATTTTGATGTTTGTGAATGTTACATTTTTGCTTTCTATATCATTTATTTAATGTTTTTGGATGAATATTGTTTCTTGTTCGAATTAAGCATACAAGGCTGTGCTGAGTATTTTATACAGTGCAGATGTTAATTTTATGAAATAATATGGAAAGGTTATTGAATTTTATGCTTTTTTTTATTACATTTTATTTATTGAATTATATGCACCATGAATGAAATTAAGTACTTGCCCTTAATGACGAATTTAAAAACTTTAAAATAAAACAGATGATAAACAAATGTGTTTAATAAACACATTTTAAATTTTACATTTCATCTCAAAGTCAATAAGCGCTTCGAAATCATCACATTCACACACATCTTTTAAGTGCGGCATTATTTAGTCAACTCCGTATTTCTTTCTGGTCTCTCCTGCTGTCAACGGTGCAGTCCAGCGAAATGACAAAGAAAGCTGAAAGCTGACATGGTCCTCGTGTGTGCATTCGAAATGCTGATTGGCTCACTGAAATAACCTTATAGAGACAAGCTAGAGTTCAGCTTTGTAGATAAAAGCTTTTTTTGTTTTGTTAAATAAAAAGTCTTAAAATGTAAACAAACTTATAAAAAAAAAACATCACATAAATAAGATGTCATTTAATAAGAATATGTGAATAACTCTATATTGACAAAAATGCCAGATAGACTCTTAAAATTCTAAGGTGACGATATTCTATCATTTCCATATTCGTGTTAAAATCAGAGAGCACCTACCTTAGTGTAAACCCCCCAGGATAGTTCAGTCTCTGTTACCATCACAACGATCCCAAACATGCCGAATATCAGGGCATAGTCACTGAGCCGCTTGCGTTTCTCAAAAAGTGCCCTCCTGTGGCCCAGTTTGTAGCCAATATCTTTATTCTTCTTCTGCGGTGCGTTGCCGCTCTCTCGGACCAGGCTCTCATTGGACGCCTTGCTGGGGTCTTCGCCTCCGCCCTTGGAGACGACCACTTCCAGGCCGGAGCTGTGCAGCGTCTGGAGCGGCTGGGTCTCAGAGTCATGCTCCGCCAGGTTGCGTCTTGACGCCGCCAGGCTGCCCAGTGGTCTCACCACTCCTCCATTGTACTTGCAGCTGTTCATGGCTATCTGAGGGAGTGAGTGACTGCTCTCGGAGACGGAGGCCTTGGATCCAGCATGGCTCAGCTTTGTTCGCTCAGCATGTGCCTGTCAGCAAAAAAGCAAACGCAGACAAATAAGTGTCAGCAGCATATACACGGAAAGCTGGCATTAGTCTGCTCTCTTGGCCCTGCTCCATGGGCAGAGTGTCCCGTGGCTCACTTCGTCAGAAGACCCACTGTAGCATTTCCAAACGTAGCACTTTAGCATTTCCAGGTGAGTAAAAAGTAACTAGGCATTAAAATGGAGCAGGATGAAGCGCAAGCTTATAATTTTCCCCACCCCAATACCACATACATCATTCGTCTATTACTTCAAATTATTTCTTCTTTTACTTATCGCTTCTTTTTACCTGAGACATACATGAGCTTTACATGAGACATTTCATCCTTTTGGCATCTTTAACGTATTGTATGGTTAATTCATCATTTGTATAATGACATAAAAAAAACTGCAAACAGCCAATAACAATTAAAGCATTTTGTTCTTTTTTCAATCACCTTTATTTATCAACATATTTCTTTAATAATATATTTTTACATTTCACTTATTTTTACAATCACTTCTATTAATCATTATATTCCTTTATTAATATATTTTTATACAACTTTTTAAATTGATTAATATCCTGACATTGTTTGAGAATCTGTTCCATAATTTCACACCACATACACATTTTTTAAAAAAGTTGTTCTTGTTTTTCAACCTAAGATTTTGTTCCACTCTCAGATTACATCCCCCTTGTCTTTCTTCAAAAAACTTTTGCATTTCAGAAGTAATTAATTTCTAACTTTACACATAATTTGTGCTGTTTTAAATTTAACCAAATTCAATTTAAGTATCTTCAACTGCAAAAATAAAGGATTTCTATGCTCCAAATACTAGTGCTGGGCAATTTTGCCTAAAATCAAAATCTTGATTAATTGAACATTTTAACTCGATTACGATTATTTAAAAAAAATTTGCCCTCACAGTTTACTGACAGGTTTTTGTACAGTAAATATGCTCACATATTACAAGTAAGAGATTTCTAAATGAAGGTGTATTGCTTGATTAAGTAAACACACAGTATCTGCTACCTATGATTCTTTATTTTCACCGTTGAACATCTGAAAATTAAAATACACATTGCCTTTTTTTCTAACTCATAAAAAGTGAAAATAAATAACTTTTACTTTTGGAAACAAAAAAAATTATTTTGAATGTTTTTCATATTAAAAGTAGAAAATAAGCAGAAAATCATCTCTAATAAATAAAATAACTCTTGCATATCATGTAAATAATATTTCAAACAGTGCATTTCTTGCATCTTCTGTAAACAAATACTTTAATGTAAATAATAATTTGAATGTAATGAATAATTAGCCAGCATATCTGGCGAAACTTCCAGTCATTGTCAATACAGTGCAAAGTAAGGCTCAAAAATGGATCCTGATTGACCAGAGATCAGATGTGGCTGCAAAGTGGCCTCAGAAGAATAAATCAGCCACAGCATCTAACAGAGGGGCCTCATGTGACACGTAGGGAAAGTAATTTTAAAAAATCGTCCCGGAAAAATTTGATCGATTATAGGTTCTGAATGTCGATTTCGATTACTTTTCGATTAATCGCCCAGCCCAATTTTCTATCATTCTAATTACTTTCTTCTGCACTGTGCATAAGGATCTAAATTAGATTTATATGTATTCCCCAGCTTTTCAACACATTAAATCATATACAATATGGCAACATAAGTGTGTTGTATAGTACAAACACTGACTTTATGTCACCCATCTTGTACATGGTAAACCAAGTGCATGTGTGAACTTTGCATTTAGTGCCTACATCTTAAGCTTATAGTTTTTTTATTTTTATGAAATAGTATGCACAGTATATTCTTGCATTCTTTGCATGAGTTTAACTGCTTTTTTGCCCACAAGATGGCAACAATGACCCTGGGGTGTACATTTTAATGAGAGTTGAAGACGTGCATAAATGAATGAGATCAAAATGCATTCAAGCAACAGCATTAATGGATATATACATGGGTGATTGACTGTGAAAAGGAATCTCAAGTCAAGTCAAATCAAATCAAGTCGAGCTTAATTGTCATACCAATACAGTAGCATGAAATGTCGTGTCTTGCAGGACCACGGTGCTTCATAAATAAACAATTGTAAATATGAACACAACACTGGATGTAAGAGCTATTTTAAACCTATACATAATTAACCAACTTCAGCGGAAATCTAACATTATTTACTACTACTCTATAGATAGACAGACTATACAAGTACTATACATAAGACAGTACAATAACAGTGCAAGATATTGTGCAAAAGAGGTATTTTAAGGTTGAAGAAAACAAGTAGTGCAGGTAAACATTGTTTTCATTGAGTCCTTGTAAGATGGAGTATAAGTAAAGTGTCCGGTGCCAATAGAAAGAAGTGTGTTTTTCAAGCCCACTCAGAGAAACACATATACTGTACATAAATATAAGTCTTGTCGTCTATATGCAAGTTTTAGGAACAACAAATAATAACTGACTAGTTGATCATTTGGTATGTTTATGATTATTTTACCAAAATAAAATCTGATCATGCCTTGATTATTGAATTATTTAATTAGTACAGTAAGGTCTGACTTTGCTTAGACACAAGTCTGGTCACTTAACAGAAAAAAATGTACAGTTTAGAATATAAAGTCATGGTGCAATGGAAAAAGAATTAATATTGTGTATGACTCACATGAGCTTGAAGGACTGCATCCAAACATCTCTACAATGACTCAAATAACTTATTAATAAAGTCATCTGGAATGGCAAAGAAAATGTTCATGCAGGACTCCCTGAGTTCAACACGATTCAATTTCAATGCCTCCTCCTTCATCTTACCCCAAACATGCTCAATAATGTTCATATCTGGTGACTGGGCTGGCCAACATAGGAGCACCTAGATCTTTTTTGCTTTTAGGAACTTTGATGTGGAGGCTTAAGTATGAGAAGGAGCGCTATCCTGCTGAAGAATTTGCCCTCTCCTCTAGAAGTCAGGTTATTTTTTGTTGCTCTTACACTGGGATCAACAACAAGACTTTTTACATATCAAACACATTTTTATGAATTATCTATAAGGTAATGAAATGCTTGTGTATTAAACGCCTGTGTACATCTACACATTAAATAGAGTATATTTTGGAAGGCTTTGGTAATGTGGACATAAACTTCCAAAAATATATGTATGCCAATGCTAACAATCATGTAAAAAGATGACCTGTGCCTCAAACACTGTTTAATACCAAAAACTGTTTGGTATTAGTGGCTTTAGTGCCATCAAGTTTGACTTAATATAATTATATCAGGCTGGTCACATCATTCACACATTAATATTATAATTATTTAAATAATAATAAGGTATGTTATGCTCAGGCGAAAGGTGATTTGGGTCAATTTGGGTCAGATTTATATTTCAGGACTCGAGAAGACCTCTCGTTTGAAAAATCTCTATATGAGCAAACTGTGAGATTTATTATGTGCAACTCTGGCAATACTGAAACACAATAACAGAAAGTCTAGTCCTCTGATGAAATACATGGCAGAAATTACCCACACACAACAGATGTGCGGCAATCGTGATGGTTCATGGCTAAATTTCCCAAAATGGAGAGACATAATGACGTTTCAGTGTTTGCCTGGAGTGAGCAGTGGGCTCTCTGAAAGTCATGTTGCTGCTTTTTACTCGCACTCCTGGATCTGTGTCTCTACAGGTGATGGAAAACCAGCTCAAGATCATGACTTTTGTGCTGATGATTCATATATATATTTAATTTATTTTGTCCATGTCACTCACTGTGTGCTCCTTATACATTATATTTTTAGATTGGCAGTTCATTCCGCTGTGGCGACCTCAGATTAATAAAGGGACTAAGCCAAAATGAAAATGAATAATATAATATAATATAATATAATATAATATAATATAATATAATATAATATAATATAATATAATATAATATAATATAATATAATATAATATAATATCACTTTATTTTTTGTTTCAAAAAGGAATAAAATAAACATTTAGTGTTTTTCTAAGCAAAAAAAATTATCTTTTTACTGAGTAATTAACAGTGTCAAACTGTAAGGCCAAGAGTTTTCCCTCGGGTTTATGTGCTTAAACTTTCCTTATTATAATGGCAAAATTCATTTTTATTTTTTACTATACTATTTAAAATGTATCTACTTAAAATTATCAAGGTTATTGTAAATAATCAGAATAAATAAGTAATTAGATTAAATAACAGGAAATTATGCATACACACACATGCTTCTAGCATATATGTGGACATTTATGATTCTAAAATATAAGGGACATATATGATTCTGACATTCATCGGATATATATGTTTCCGGCATATATTTGGACATATATGTCTCAGAAATATTTGGGACATTTATTTGTTATACACATAATGGTTGTATATTTTTCTTGCATATATGTGGAAATAAATGTTTCTGACATATGTGGGACAGACATTTTGTGTTTTATACATAAATGTGCCATTTATGTTTCTGGCATATATGTGGACATATTTGTTTTTGAGATGTATGGGACAAATATGTTTCTGACATTTATGTTTCTGAATTAAATGGGACATATATTTTTCTGGGTCAGTTGGCGTTTCTGTGTAGAGTTTGCATGTTCTCCCAGTGTTTGTGTGGGTTTCCTCCTAGTGTTTCCTCCGGGTTCCCCCAAATCAAATCAAATCTCTGAGGTCCCTAGAGTGTGTGTGTGAAATTTTAGCTAAAAATACAACACAAATAATGTTTTATAACTCTGAAAGTGCCCCTTTTAGGCTTTGATTCAAATTGTGTCGTTTTGGTGACTGTCGCATTAAAACAAGACTGTGTCCTAGCACTCTTTTTGAAAAGGATGGGGCAATTAATGCCTATGTGTCAGCATAGTGGCAGTTTTAGAACTTTAACACCAGACGGCTGCTTCTTACTCAGGACTGTTTATGCTAATGAGGGAGAGATCATCACTAATGGGCATGACTTTTCCTACTCTGATGAC